TTTCCGCTCCCTTGGCAAGGCTCTGGACATTCGCCTACACTTCACCTCGGGTTACCATTCCGAAGGCGACGGTCAGACCGAACGAATGAACCAAACACTGGAGCAGTATCTGCGCATCTATTGTAACTACCAGCAGGACAATTGGTCTGAGCTCCTGCCCCTGGCGGAGTTCGCCTATAATAACGTGCCGAATGCTACAACCGGTGTTTCGCCGTTCTTCGCGAACAAAGGTTACCACCCGAACCTTGCCGTACACCCCGAGCGAGATCTGACTTCGGCGCGAGCCCAGGAGTACTCAGTCGATCTCGACTCTCTCCACCAATTCCTATGCGAGGAAATGAACCATGCACAGCAACGCTACCAAGGCCCTGCGGATGCTCGACGGCTACCTGCTCCCCCATTCAGCATTGGCAGCTCCGCATTCGTGAAGGCCAAGTACTTCCGCACCACTAGGCCTTCGGCGAAGCTCGCCGATAAGAACCTTGGGCCGTTCGAGATCATCGCGCAGCCAGGTTCTCATTCTCGTACTCTCCACCTCCCCGACACCATGAAGGCTGTGCACCCAGTCTTTCATGTCTCCCAACTTGAGCCCACTGTTCCCAACCCCATCCCGAACCGCACGCAGCCGCCACCGCCGCCAATCGAAATCGACGGCAAACTTGAATATGAGATCGCCGAGATCCTTGACTCTAAAATCGATCGCCGGCGAAGCTGCAAGCTGTTGTACCTTGTACGTTGGGACGGTTACGAAGGGACTACAGAAGAGACTGAGTGGCTCCCCGCGACCGAACTTGGTCACGCCTCAGACCTCGTTGCGGACTTTCACTCACGATACCTGGATAAGCCAGGACCAAATCGCGCCTAAGGCACAGGACGGAATGGATGGATTGCGCTTAAGGATCATGTAAGAACAAAGTGGAGTAGGAGTCGGAAGTAGACGTCGTGGGATGATCGACCCTAGACCCCGTCACACTCGCCTCCCTCTCCCCCGCTTCCCTCACCTCGCGCCTCGCCCTCGCCTCCATCAACCGCCTCTCTTCAGTGTCACAAACGTGTTCCAACAATCGTCCTGCCACGGCGGTTAGACCAGAGATCGCTTGATGGATGTCGCGAAGCACATCATAGATCCTGTCCTTCTCGTTGACCACCTCATCTTCCTCCGTCTCCACATCGTCCACATCCATCGTTGACCCCTCTCCTTTTGGCGCTTTGATACGAGGTCGCTTTGTAGATTGAGGCGTCCCTGCTCCGCGTACACACTTCTGCCTGGACTTCTGACACGCGGCGCAGACGCCGCGATCGCTGTTGCCTTTGACACACTCCACGCCTCTCTTCACGCAACGTTCGCAGGGGGGCAGTCCTTCCCCCGCCACTGATGTAGCAGCAGGACGCTTTGATCAGGGCGATCAGTAAGGGTTCCTGGCAAAGATCACACTGATCGGGGTACTCACCTTGCCTGCGACCACATCTGACGCCTTCGATCGCCTCTCCTCCTCAGCGGCGAGACGTGCAGCCTCAGCTCGAGCCCTGGCCGCCTCTTCTTGTTGTTGGGCCTCACGACGCGCAATCTCAGCCCTGCGACGCCGCAACCTCTCCGCCTGTTTCTGCTCCATCAGCTCTACATCGTCATCGGACTGATCGACGATGTCCTCCTTGCTCCACGTCCTTATATCCGTTGGATTTTTCTTGGGAGCCATGAGGTTGGAAGATCAGGTTGTTGTGGTGGTAAGTTCGATCACCGCACCGGCGGAACCAAAATTTCGGGCTCAGCCGAACCGGTTCCCACGCCAGTTCCTTGGGACTTCAAGGGTTCAGTCCTAAGAGGGGGATACTGTCACGACCCGGCGTTCCCCGGGGCCAGACGACCTCCTCCCTGACCCTCTCCCACGCCCGAACACTCCCCGCACACTCCGCTCGCCGCCCGTCGCTGTCTAACCACTTCCCGCCACCTCTCCACAACCCCTCTCTTGATTGTCATTGAACGACCTAGCGGCGCAGAGCGCCGCGACCTGTTGTCCCATGTTTCGCCGCACCTTGTTACCTCGCGGCGAAGGTCACGCTTGACCTTCGTTGTCTTGAACACGTGCTCTTTGTTTGTTTTCCTCCTTCTTTTCTCCGCCCGCAATCTCCGCGAGATCTGGCGACTTATTCCCTATTCAGTTTCCTAGCGCTTATATACAGCTTGTAACTAATGCTTGTACTGTAGTTCGAAATCAACTAGAATTACCCCTAGAGCTTACCTCTGTCCCCGCGAGACCTCTGACCTTCTAAGTATCAGGACCGCATCGAGAACGAGGCGCAACGCTCCTCCTAGAGTCGTTGAAGCCGAAATCCCGGCTCACTTGCCTAAGTAGCCTCGGCCTCGAGATCGGTGGGGTTTATCCCTCGCTAAAGCTCGGTCGGGTGTAGGACGCCTTTACCACTAGCGGGCAACGCTCGGTCGCCTATGGCTACCCTTGGTGAACCTTCCTACGGTTCTGACACATACCCAACCTCCTTTTCATCATCCTGTGCCTCGCACACCCTCGGACCTTCACCATTTCCAACAATTGTGACTCCATCGATGCATAAGACCCATTCAGGTGGGCAACCATACTCTTCTCCCTGACATCGACTACCCCGATGCTGTATCTCATGATACACTCTCTCCCACCTTCGACAAACCTTACCTGGCTGGTACCCCGAGTTTCTGCTCTGGACCTCCGGACCTTCAATACCATGCCAAGGTACTCCTTCTCAAGCCTTCGGCTTGCTGTCACGGCCGTGCATTCCGGCCTGTTAGCCGCCCGTCCCGATGCTGCCTGAGCCCATTCCCGCTATGCGAGCGTGAGCGCAAGCCCCGACCTCAGCCCTATCCTCCCTGAGGACTCCCTGCTCACTCCCCTGCTTGCCCCTAGGCTTCCCTATACTTGGCTGACTCCCCCGCTGCTGCACCAACCTTCCCACCCTGAGTCCGCCTCCGGCACCGTGCCCAGCGCGACTCCCCTACCCCGCCCACTTGGCCCCTACAGGGCCGCTATCATCCCCGCGCCTGACTCTGGCCCAACTCCGAGTCCAGCGCCGCTACGATACCATCGCCGCTATCACGGCCCTACGCTCTTTCCTTTATTTATCTGTTATTGTTTGTTTTGACCCTCGGTCATTGCCGGCCGCTATGCGGCCAACCCCGCTCCTTACCCTTGTTTGCTTCCGGACCCCTCGGCCTTCGGCCCGGGTCCGCTTCCATTCATTTCTTCCTCCTATATATATCCTGTATACTACATTATAGTACTTTAGCTCTAATATCAATGTGACCACGACCCCTAAGTCCTGACCCCAACAAGGCAACCCCAGCTAATCAGGGCTAACAACTGCTGGTAGTGGGCAACGGCCACAAAGGGCCCATGTGAAATTTGCCGCATGCACGCGACGCGTGACCCGCGTTCTCGTACATACAAAGGAAGAGCAGGAAAATTACTAGAACTGATGAGAGCCACAACTGAAAGCGCTAACAACTAAAACAGCAAACAGAAGCTAATGTACAGAGGTGAAATACAATGAAGAGAAAGTGAACTACAATGAAGAGAAAGAGTAACAGATGATGTGAAAAAATTCGACAAGAAGAGATGGAGGAGTATCGGGGAGGAGGAGGGAGACAAGAAAATATAAGCTAGGGGCTGGAGCAGATGGGAATGTAGTCGAGAATCGTGGTATTGGCAGCAGCAAATCCGGGATAGAGTAATATGCAGGTGGCAGCAGCGGCAGCGGGTCAAAAGCGTGAGCCCGGAAAGGCAAGCGGCAAATTGGATCTCACTCACCAGGGGAGCGCGAGATACCAGTCGATAGGGAGAGGGGAAAAGGGATCCGTCAGGGCCCCTTTATAGGCACGACCTAGGTAGTATGAAACCTAAGGTAGTATGGAACCTCTCCTCAACAGCGAAAATTCAGTACGTACCTCCACTGAATGGTCTGCTTCGCACATCTGCGCCGAAAACATTCAGCGTACGACTGAGGCAGCGTGATTTGACCCGTTCAGGCTAAGTTGCGCGATAAATCATGGGAAAACCGCGATCGGTGAGAGAAGGCATGTGAATGCCAAAGCGGTCGCGACTGGGCGCAGTCAGGTTTCCCAGCCAGTGGCAAACAAGGGCGGAAACCTGAGGTCAGCTGGGGGCAGACTGCTAACCCGTGATTAGTCTCGTGAAATGAAGACATTAAACAACAATGAGTCCGAAATGAGGGCCAAGAGACAGCTAGGGGGCACAGCACTCCCTTTAGAGTTGCTGAGGCCAAATGCCCTACCCCCGGGCCTTGTTCGTGGCATCACGGCCATCGCGGCCTATAGTGGCCCGCATAGGCGACCTTCGGTGCCGACCCCGGACCAGTGTCTAACACTTGCCCCCCAAACAACTCCGATCCCTACATGCCTGTGGAACTCCACCCCTTGTGTTGTCAATCTTGAGTTCTTCCCCATGTCAACCCCGAAAGGGATCCCGAGTTTGTTCTCTTACCCCCCTGCTCCCTCTGAGCGAGCTCCAGTCCCGCATGTTCTTTGGAACTCCATGGACCTCGTCTCACACCATCATTCCTTTCTGTGACTGAGTTGTACCATGCGCAGCACAATCCCATCCTTGAGATTGTTGTTGCAATTGGGAACTCCTTCACTCTGTTCCTTCGGATACTTCGGAGCCGACTTCGGTCCTCCTTGTATCATCACATGGACCTTCGGTCCCTCCCACACACTTTGCGAGTCACCCATCCGGCCTCCTTTGTGTCCCCTGGGTTCCTCCATTCCTTGAGGACCTCCCAACCCACCAAAGCTTGGTCTTGGAACAGACCTTGCTCCGGATTTTCCGCCACAACCTCCGGACTTGCCACTCTTAGGAAGTTATGGTTACGAAGGTTGAAGTTCTCTTTCTCAGACAAGGGATGAATCGCACCCACTTGGCTCCACTTCCCTTCCTTCTCTGAGCTTACCCTCTTGCTCTAACTCCATTCCTACTTCCGATAGGGTCTCCTCCATGTCCGGATCCGACTCCGCTACTCCGAGTCTTCAACATCGCCTTCGGTTCCTTGTCAAGTTCTTCCGGACTTTGACTCCACCGGCCTCCGGACCCTTCCGGACCTCTCTTCTCCTCCATCTCTCATTGGTTGAACACTCTCCCCAATCTCCTGAGTTGATTGACGAAAGCTTGCTAACACCTGGCAGCCTTCATCTCACTCCTGTGTTCTCCCACTCCCTCTGTCGCTATTGTAGTCGGAATATTCAGCCTCCGATTCTAAGGCCTTCAAGGGTTCAGGCCTAAAAGGTTATCCCACCTCCGGCTCTGACACCACCTTCGGTCCGACTCCGGGACATTCCGGGTCCGACCCCAACCTCGACACCTTCCAGACAAGTACGCAAAACCTATGCTCCCGACTCCGGACCTCCACTCCGGAATCCCGTTCGCGTCTCCGTCTCCGGAACCTCCGGTCTTAGCTCCGACCTCGGACTTTGACCCCACCTCCGCTTATACCCATTGTATTGGTTAGCTCATTCCATTTAATTACGTTTGCCAATATTCCGGAGTTTAACTTCCGAGTTCGGACTTTCCGGACTTACGTCGGACCTTGCAACTATTGCATTGCTCCATTCAGTTCCGCTATTCTCCCTCATTCCTATTTGGGCTGCTGCTTCCTTTCTATTCAGTCAGCTAGCCATTCCCCACTCCCAACCTCCTTCCTTCCTCCTTGGGCCTTGGCCCTTCATTCCTCCTTTGGGAAACACCATTGAGTCAAACCCTTGACCCTCGGTGTTGTTCCTCTTTCCATCTCCCTTTGTCTTCTTTCGTCCTACCCTTGTTCCTTTTGATTCCGGACCCCTCTGTCAGGGGACGCGCGTGCTCGCGCAAGATGCTCCGATAACCTAGTTGTGATTAAAGCCGGGGGAAAGGGATGTCCCCATCTTAGGGTCAGCTATATACATGTAGAGTCCGGCAATAAGGAAACCAAACAGATTGCCGATAGAATCACGTGATCATAGAATGTTCCAGAACAATGCCGGAGATGATCCGGGTCACCGGGGCTTAGGTAAGCGGAGTAGACGGGAATTACCGGCATACTTCCCACGCGCATACGCGCAGCCGGCATAGGGTCCAGGGTCATTGCTGATCCCTGACACCCTCCTTATATACAATGTACCTAGTAACTTGTAACCTCAGTCCGAAATCGACATGAATTCCCCCCAAGAGACTTTCCCTCTGCTAGATCCGAAATTAGGGACCCCTAGGACAACCAGCAATGGCACAGCGCTCCACCTGAGTCGCTGAGGCCAAGGTCCTTCCACGCTAAGTCTCCAATTCCACTCCGGAGTCGTCTGAATCCGCTGTTGCAGGGATAAACCCTTGCACTACAAAACAGAGCTCTTTCATTCTTTCATGTACATACATTCCCGTGACTGCACAGCCACAACTATACAACACCGTATCACAAGGACCTTTGGTGAGATTGAGAGAGGCAGGCAGGAGATTACTGTCCCCCCTGTGAGCCTGTGTGACGTTGGGATAAATTCCCTGTTACACCGCCCATTCTAACAGGCAGGGCATGTCGGGGCATGCCCTGACACACATCCACCACCGCTCGTGTGTAAACACCACTTACACATGAACCCTCACAGAACAAGTGAGGAACACCAAAGACATACAACCTTTGGGTCAAAATTCATTTTCAACAAACTCCACAATTTTTTTTTTCTCTCCCTGCAATACCAATGTAGCGCCGTTCACTTCAAAGTAACGGCCCACACTCATTCATTCCTTAAACCCCCTCTCTTTTCTTCACCAACATGTACAAAATCGCCCACTTTAAAGTGGCGACAACAAAACACTCATTGATAATTCCAAACTCAATGTAAATCAATTATTAAAACTCTGTTTTATTCACTATCAACCTTGTATGCGTCACAAATGCAATGCAAGGGGGGAGAATGTCAGGGCAATAGCCCCGAACCCCGAGCCACATGTAAATTAGATACATATAGTCACGTGGGCAAGTGGGAACCTCCGGGTAACTGCTTACACACCACTGTAAAATACACAAACTTGTATCACTTATGGCCTTGTGTGCTGAGCTACCCAAAGACCTCACAGGACCCTATTTGGACTACTGCTTCCTTCCATTTTTGTCATATCCGTGCATATCCGACCCCGACCCGACTTCCGGACCTCCACCCTCTTCACCTCCGGAGTCATAACCTACCGCTGCCGTTCCGACACTCACCTTCGGTCCTGGCAACACACCTCCTTCTTACCCCCCCACGCCACCTCTACTCCTCCTTCCTCTCCTACCCTATCTCCGTCCGCTCCGATACTCACCTCGGACCGAACATCACCCCTCTCGCCACCCTCCTACTACTTCTCCACCCTCCTGTTCCGCTCCTCCTTCGCCCAACCTCCACCCCCCATCATCCTCCTACACTTCCCCCGTCCGCTCCAATACTCACCTTTGGACCTGACAACCCTCCTCTCCGCCACTCCTTCCCCCTTACCTTTTCCCTCTCTCCTCCCTCTGGTACTCCTCCGCCACCCTTCCACCAAGTTACGACCTTCCACCGCTGTCCCGTACTTCCTACTCGGACACCGATCGTACCTTTGCTCCGAGCCTCCGTCATAGTCCCGACCTCGGACTTTGACTCCACCTCGGTCTTAGTCCATTGCATTGGTGACCTCATACTACGTAAACACCATTGCCAATATCCCTCGGACTTTCAACCCCGCCTCCGTAACCTCCGTAACCTCCGCAACCCCCGAGCTTCGCGGATCGCCTTCAGCACTTTCGCCGCCTGTAATGTATTTCTCGCGTTTACCCCTCATCCCTATTTGGACTACTGCTTCTTCCCATTCTAGCCAGTTAGTCATCATCCCCACTTCTCCTCATCCTCCTGCCCCTCTGGGCCTGCCCTCCCTACCTCCTTTCGGACGTATCACAGGTCCTGCCTTATGACCTTTGGTACCGCTCCGCTCCTTCTTCCCTTTGTCCCCGTTCAGACGTCTTCGTTCCGATTCGGTTTCCCTTTGTTTCCTTGTGCTCTTGCCCCTTCCATTATATATATCGGCGCTTGTACATACTCGTTTTGGCTCAGTCCGAAATCGACCTGAAATGCCCCCCAGAGACTTCCTGCTCACCTACTGTGAAATTAAGGACCAAATGGACAAACAGCAATGGCACAGCGCTCTGCTTGAGTCGCTGAGGCCAAGGTCCCTCCACACTAAGTCTCCGATTCCACTCCGGAGTCGTCTGTATCAGCCCCGTTCTAACAATCTTAGCCAGTTAGTCATCAACCCCACTTCACCTCCTCTGGGCTTCACCCTCCCTACCTCCTTTCGGACATACCATAGAGTCTAACCCATGACCTTCGGTACCGCTCTGCTTCTGTAATTCCCTTTGTCTCCATTCAGATGCCTTTGTTCCAATTCAGACCCCCTTTGATTTCCTTGTGCTTTCGTCTCTCCATTATATGTAGGCACTTGTACATACTCGATTAGACCCTCAGTCTAAAATCGACTAGAAATGCCCCCTAGAGACTTCTTGCTCATCGCTTCTGAAATTAAGGACCAAATGGACAAACAGCAATGGCGCAGCGCTGTAGGCGGGCACAGCCAGTACCATGCAAATGAGCTGATTATCGCGATTCTACCACCCGTGTCAAGCACCCCACTTCCGAAACACATCTACCACTGTTCCACATACCCCTTCCACATTTCCCATATTTTTTTCCGATTTTTTTCAAGCCATTCCTGACCACGGACAACCATCAGTTTCCAAATTGGGTAACTGTCACCCGCATATTCCGCCGCTTCCTCCATATCTCCATCAATTCTCCACCGATCTGGACGAATTTGGTATCGTTGGAAAGCCCTTGTTAACACAAGTCGAACAATGTTATGAGTGACGCATTTGGTTCAGCGGTTGTTCCGATCGCCATGTTTCTTTGTTTCCTTAACAACATCAATATTTCTTTGATATTACTTTTTTCTTATTTGTTCCTTGTGGATCTGTTGCTGTCCTAAACCTGTCGGATCATTCGGATTTCCACACGTATTTCTTCATATTTATAACTGCCTCTTTCCTGTATTTACAAAGAGGACTCCCCCAACAGAGAGAGGTGCTCCCCAACAGACATGAAGTTCTAGCAGACATTACTGTCAGGGACACATTGTAGGAGTGCATAATGGGTGTGCTCAAATTCATGGAGCCTTACACAGCAAATACGTCAAATTGGGCTCCCCCCCTTGTACATTATTAGGAAAAAGGAATCGTAGGAGGGAGTAATAAAAAAAAAGAAAGAGGGTTTTCGTACGAACCGAAAGCGTCTTTTCGCAAAGGAATTGGTTGAGATTTGGTGGAGAAATTCAACCTGAGATGTCCTCAGGTGCGAAGTCTGTGCACTTGACCGCGACCATGGGAACAAGGTCAAAAGTTAATGGAAGAGGACGATCTTGAGGTCATTAAATCCAGAAAAATGCCCAAAGACTCAGTGTGAATTTCACCCTAATTGGTTCAGTGGTTGTGGAGATATTCTGATTGTCAGGCATGACGGGAGTCATGGGACGATATGAACTGTTTGGATGCTCATGTGCAAGCTAGTCTCAATGAAAATATGGGTTAGTGTTAGACACTGGTCCGGGGTCGGCACCGAAGGTCGCTGTTGCGGGCCGCTATAGGCCGCGATGGCCGTGATGCCGCGAACAAGGCCCGGGGGTAGGGCGTTTGGCCTCAGCAACTCTAAGGGAGTGCTGTGCCCCTAGCTGTCTCTTGGCCCTCATTTCGGACTCACTGGGGTTGCCTTGTTGGGGTCAGGACTTGGGGTCGTGGTCACATCAATATTAGAGCTGAGGTACTATAATGTAGTATACAGGATATATATATGAAGATAGAATGAATAGAAGTGGACCCGGGCCGAAGGCCGAAGGGTCCGGAAGCAAATAGGAACAACAAGCGGGGTTGGCCGCACAGCGGCCGGCAATGACCGAGGGTCAAAACAAACAATAACAGATAAATAAACGAAGGGGTGTAGGGCCACGATAGCGGCGATGTTGCGGAGTCACGCTAGGTCGGTGCCAGAGGCGGACTCGGGGCAGGGAGGTCGGTGTGGCTGTGGGGGAGTCGGCCAAGTGTAGGGGAGCCTAGGGGCAAGTGGGGAGTGAGCAGGGAGCCCTCAGGGAGGATAGGGCTGAGGTTGGCGCTCGTGCTCGCGCTCGCACAGCAGGAATAGGCTCAGGCGGCATCGGGATGGGCGGCTAACGGGCCGGAATGCATGGTCGTGACAGTTAGTCAAATAATATAAATGCTGAAGAAGTCATTGGAGGAGTCTTGGAATTATGGCATTTTATTTGGACCCAGTTTCCCTGTGCACAGATAATCGAGTTATGTATACTGCTTCTGAGAATTCCCATTCTCAGTCAAATCTCCACCAAATTTCACAAAATTGGTATCATTAGAAAGCTATGGATAAGGAGAGTCGGATGGAATAAGGGATGGAGGTTTGACGCAGTGTTTGGAGTGGTATGAGGAAGTTTGTGTTTTCCTTTTCAATTTCTTTTGTTGATTGGAATTTTATTCTAAGCCAACGGCAGCGGAACCTTACCGCTGTTGTTGGTGGTCTTACTGCAACACCCTTTCAGCCCCCTTTCTCTTTCTTCCCTAGTTTTTGGGGAGTGAGTTGGAGTGCTACCTTCCGTTTTCTGGAGATTGTAGCAGATTCCTGCTTGCAGCATCTGGGGTAGAGGAGGCCCAGGTGAGATGCCCGACACTGGAAGCCTCGTGGGGTGTGGAGCAGGCATGCGTACTGGCAGGCCCAGCTCAGGAGGCAGTCCCTGGCCACTTAGACTGAAGTGGAAAAGGGTGTTATTATTATTAAAGGGGAATGCTATGCTACTTACCTGAAGTGGAAAAGGGTGAGAAGAAGGCTACTTCTTTGGTTCCCACTTCAGGTATGTTTATATACATGCAGCTTGGGTCACATGATGGGTGCCACGTCACCCTCACATACAGCCATAGTCACCCAGGTGTCCCTGTGGGGGATCCCGAGGACGTCTGCTGTGAACACATGAGTTGGACATAGCAGGGGGTCACCTGAAGTGCCTGGGCCAGGTGTGTTGTAAGCACACTGCAGGTGGGTCAATGGTACATTGATACAGAGAAAGGCTGTCTGTGTAGAATAAAGAGAAAATAAAGAGAAAGTGGAATAGATGAAGAGAAAGTGAAATAGGGAGAGAAAGAAAGCAGAAGGGGGAAGGAGGTAGGAGAGGACTGGGTGGTGGGGTACCAGGTGAAGTGGGGGTCAGGCGGGTGTGCCCTGACAGTTACCAGCGCCCAGAGCAGCGAATACGAAGCCAAAGAGGCTAAAGACATAGTACAGGGGCAGAGTTCCCTATCAGTTTGATTATTAGTGAGATTTATGAGTTTATCTTTTTTTATCACATCGCACCCGGACCATTTCTCCTCCCCCCTTTCTCATCATCCGAACCTCCCCTGAGCACTCCCAACACCTAGGCCCCCTCTCTTTCTCATTAGGGTGGTAGATCCCTTGACACTTTTGTCCACCAATAGCCCAATGAGTCCTGATTCCACAAATAGAGAAAGACATGAGGGAATATACCTATCATGGCAGATGAATCCTGAAGACCCAGGTATGCAAATAAACACCATACTGTAAGGGGTTGGTGTAGGTTCCAACCCCAGTGCTCCTCAATCCTCAGGTCATCAATAAAGTTGAGCTGTATGGAGCTTTAATTATCAACAATGGGAAGGAAAAGGAGTTCTGTTCCTTTTCCCAAATTCCCACCTTATTGTATATACATTGTTTATACATGTTTATTATGAGACACATATAGAATGGGGGTGGGAATTAGGGGGTGGGGTTACCACTCCTTACACATACAACGTCATCAACCAATAACTGTTGCTTCTCTTCCATCACTACCACATCATTGTCAAACCTCCACCACTCATTGATCTTCCACACATACTCATCCTTTGGCTCATCATGAGAGTCATCATCACCATCATCCAACTTAACATTAACAGCCAACTTTTTCAGTGAGTCCACCCCCAGACAAGAGAGTTGACAAAAATAATTGTGGAACTGGGGGCAGGGTATTCTGAGGATCTCCTCTTCTTCCATGGAATGGGTGACAATCAATGAATGACTGCCTGGTATTCAGATTGAGGATGGTGAACATCCTGTGTGCTCTGTTGGAGGGACCGTGTGCTATGGGAGGCCAGACGAGTTTTCATACAGCCACATTCCCACATCCAAGCGAGGAACTCACCCAGACAGCCACATTCTCGCAGTAGCATGACTACTTGGTCACAACACCTTTTCTTCTTGGTCACTTCAGACTTATCCATGAAGGCCACAAACTATATTCAATCTTTTGAATTAGTTTCTTTTTCCCTCAGTTCTCATGCATATAGTGAGACTGAGGTTAGTTACCTTCTTTTCATTTCTTATATCTTATACTCATTGTATATTACCTTATAGCTACTATCTACTAGAGCAAGCGGTTATTCCATTATGCTCTACTGAGGACTTTGATGATGATACAGTGAGGGAAAGAGGGTGAAAAAAGTGATTTGAGATGGGTAAACTCATCAGGAGCTAACATAGGCAGATGATCAGAACAAAGATGAGTAATATGTGAATCTTGACTCTGACATACAATTCTCCCAGCCTGAGTTCTTTCTCATCTTGCATTGGTGCTTGATCTCCTTACCAAATAACTCAGCATGCTCATGTGGATGCACTTGCTCTTCAAGGGCCAAATAAGGTGAATTCAAGTCTGTAGGACCCTCACTTTGTTGTGGTATCTTCAGCACTTTTTCATGTTAATACCCCCAATTCCATCCTTGTTGACTTACTTCTTCTGCTCCAATGTCATCTTTGGCCACTTGGCCTCATCTGTGCTCAACGAGAACTGTGGATGCTTCCTCTTCAATTTGATAAACCTGATCCTTATTGAGCTCCAGCTTCTTAACCTCATGTGAAACCATTAAGTTAGCAAGATCTTTTGCCTAGGTAAGTGTCAGGGCACACCCACCTGACCTAGCTCCACCCAGCCCCACTTCACCCAGTGCCTCACTCCCCTCCCCTGCCTTCTCCTTCCTTCTCTTTTCTCTCTCTTCCTTTTCTTTCTTTCTCTCTTCTCTTTCCTCTTCTTTCCTTTTCCTTCTATCACATGGACAACTTCTTTGTATCAATGTACCATTGACCTACCTGCAGTGTGCATGCATGACACACCCAGTCCCAGGCATGCCAAGATCTGTACTTCAGGGGATCACAAAAACTAGTCTCTATCCAAAAATGGAAGTCACCGGTCAAAACAAAGCACAGTAAAAGCGAAAAACAACTTAGAACATGCTGGAAAAATCTACATAAAATCGTGTGAGACTGTATCAAGGTAATAAACATCCATGCATGCAAGAAAGCTGAAATGATCAGTTCTAAATGCTGGCCATGCACAAATGTATGCGAACAAGACACGTGATTGCTGATGGTGTGCACGAACTTTTGCTATCTTGGCAAATATTGAGAACTGGGAAATGACCTTAGTATCAATAGAAAGGTCGGAATAAATGAAAATCATTGGTGCAGAGAGAATGTGAGAAACCATACAGAAATGAGCAAGATATAGGGGAATGATGTGTCATATCCCAGAATCCCAACCCCACACTTCCCCACCTCACTGCACCTTCCTAACAACTTTGCCATCCCCTACACCATTTCTCCCTATGATCCTACCCCACCTCTGCCCCTACTGTCTCAGCTCCGGCCTGGACTTTGGCACATTCACCCTTGGCCATCTCCACCCCGGAAGCTCGGTCCCAAGTCAGAACCTTCAGAATCCCCAGATTGCTCCAACCTCCAGATGGACCTCCAGCATTTTGTTATATACTTCTAAAACCATTCTTCTACCCATTTCATTTATTGGAGTCACCCAATATTTCTCAGATGTGTAACTCCGGCTTCAGAGCTATCTGTATCCCTCAGTGACTCTGCCCTTCACCATCTTGATTAGTCATCACCCACTTCTAGCATGGCTGACATCTTCTTTTCATTCAGTCAGCTAACTCTCCCTTACCCATTTCTCATTTCCATTCATTCCCTGGCCTTCTACTCTGCCCTCCTCGACCCGACACCTCGGTTCCCCATTAAAGATACCCTTCAGAACCTTTCAGTATCTTTCGGTACCTTTCAGTATCTTTCGGTACCTTTCAGTATCTTTCGGTACCTTTCGGTATCATTCAGACTTTGACTAAGTCCTCTCCCCACTTTATTATATATACATGTAGATTAGAACCCACTGTACATTAGTTTTAATCTTGACTAAACCTCACCCCCAAGCTCCCCTATGAGTGATTCATGTTCCCCTCTTACAAGATACCTCAGACATCTGAAATTAAGGACTACTAAGATGTAATGGAGGCACAGCACTCCCCTCCAAGTCGCTGAGGCCACGTCCTTCTATGAGCCTCTTGTAGTAGTCAGCAGACTCAGGCTTCCTGGAGAAGCTTCAGTTCACTACTGGAGCTCTCGGAACCCCCCTAGTTGAGCCCTGTCTGCACCCAGGATCATCGTGTTTTGACAGAACTCACTCCGTTTGATCTTTTCACAACCACCTAGGTTCGCCTGCACTACTCCTCCGCTCCTTCCTCACAACACCTCCACCCTTCCGTCATCCTCCTACACTTCTCCCGTCCGCTCCAATACTCACCTTCGGACCTGACAACTCTCCTTTCCGCCACTCCTTCCCTCTTCCCTTTCTCCTCTCTCTCCCCTCTGGTACTCTTCTGCTGACCTCCTGCCAAGTTACGACCTTCCACTACTGTCCCGTACTTCGTACTCTGGCACCGCTCATACCTTTGCTCCAAGCCTCCGTCATAGTCCCTACCTCGGACTTTGACTCCACCTCGGTCTTAGTCCATTGCATTGGTGACCTCATACTATGTAAACACCATTGCCAATATTCCTCGGACTTCCAACCCCACCTCCATAAGCTCCGGAACCTCCGAGCTTCACAGATCACCTTCAGCACTTTCACCACTTGTAATGTATCTCTCACGTTTTCCCCTCATCCCTATTTGGACTGCTGCTTCTTCCCATTCTAGCCAGTTAGTCATCATCCCCACTTCCCATCATCCTCCTGCCCCTCTGGGCCTCACCCTCCCTACCTCCTTTCGGACGTATCACAGGTTCTGCCTTATGACCTTCGGTACCGCTCCGCTTCTGTCTACCCTTTGTTCCCGTTCGGACATCTTCGTTCCAATTCGGATCCCCTTTGTTCCCTTGTGCTTTTTCCCCCTCCATTATATATATCGGCGCTTGTACATACTCGTTTTGGGCTCAGTCCGAAATCGACCTGAATGCCCCCTAGAGACTTCCTGCTTGCCTACTGTGAAATTAAGGACCAAATGGACAAACAGCAATGGCACAGCGCTCTGCTTGAGTTGCTGAGGCCAAGGTCCTTCCATGCTAAGTCTCCGATTCCACTCCGGAGTCGTCTGAATCTGTGCCTCATCTCTAACATGCACCTTATTCACAAATCACACTCAGAATGCACGGTACAAGGGGGGGGATGTCATTCAGCAAATCAAAAAAAAGAAAAGAGAATGATGTACAACAGGGTAGTTAAGATTGAATGGACGAGGGCCTGGCAGTACTGGGCAAAGCATATTCCACATCAAAGCACACACATGACCCACAATCCAACTCATCATCCAGATCCTCTCCTGCACCCCCATTCTCCTTCTCAGGCACCGGAGCCTGCTTCCCATCCATGTCAGCCCCATCCCCCATAACCACCTTGTCAACAGCCAAGTTAGCCCATGCACAGGGTTAGATGTCCTGGAAAGTGTCTGCAAGAGTCCCCATGTCAATTAAATCTTCATACACATCCTTTGTGATTTTTCTGAATCCTCCTGAGCACTCCGGAGTGCATTTTGGTTGTTTGTTTATTTCAGTACAGCTTGTGGTTTCCATTTTGGGCTGAAAACCAGTTTTGCGATCTCCTGAAGCACGGATCTCGGCACTGCCATCCAGGATTCTCGACACCGCCACCCTCACATGTCTTTCAACATCGTGCAGAACCTTGTGGCAAGGTAAGAAATTGCCACCACCATTACTCCTCAACAGCTGGGTTGATCTGGATGAAACTTGGGGAATCCATATTTATTATTTTTCTCTATTTTCTGAGTCCTTGCTCGTCTCTCAGCAACCAGTAGTGCCAAGTGTAGTTTTTGGGCTGGAGCAATTCAGTACCAGTGCCTTATGCAGAATTGTACTTCAAAAAATGAAATAAACATGCGTTTACGCTCCATGAGCGTTGGCAGATGGTCCTCACATGTGAGAAACCTGTAAGGAACGTAAACCACAAAATACTGGTGGTGTAGGGTATAGTAGGTTATCCTGCCTACAACGACCATAATCCCACCAGAGACCATGCCCTCCTTCTAAGAAAGTTAAGGGCCACACATTTAACAGAACGTTGGCACAGCACTCCACCAGAGTCACTGAGGCCAAAGGCCCCTCCACTTGTTCTCTCCCTCCATCCTCTTTCCCAGGACAGGTCCACAACCACACCCTGCATGCTGTGTAACACCATGTTACGGATATGGAGTCTCCAACGACCATATCCGTCGCATGGTCAAAGACTTCCCCTCTCTATCATTCCTCCCCTCTTTCTCTCTTCCGCCCTCTATCCCGATACCCTATCCTCCTTACCCGTTCTACCCCTTTCCCCCCCTCGTGCAAAGCTTTCCCCATTGGGGTTTTGGTGCTGGCCGAGGTTATTTGTGTTTCGCGGGATTTCCCGCGACCTTACCATTTGTAGATAGTCACGCGTCTTGTACGGAAACCGCCGAAGGCAGTTCCCGCTAACTAACAACTGCTCTACAACTGTCTCGTGTACCGTCTTCTGTAACAACCCTCCCTGTGACTCGACTGAACCCGTGTGACTGTACAACTCTCAATATGTCTTATAAGTCTGGTTATATCGAGTCCTCTAACGGCCCTCACCGCGAGAACTCGAGGTCGAGAGTCGAAGACTCTCGACATGTGTATCGTCCTATCGAATCTGTACCCTATGGGTCCTCATCACTCCGCTCTCCCCCCAGTACTCAACATACGACGTCACCTCACGATCATGGAGATCGTGAATACTATGAGGCCCACCTTCCCGTGATGCCAGCACGTTCGCTACGCGAACGCCAAGTCGCCGCCCATCCACCGTCTGTTCCCTCCTTCACCAGTCATCATGCTTCCCCGCCAACGGTATGTTCCCTTTGGGAACACCAAGTCACCGAAGGCCCTACAAGTCAGTCCTCATTGCGCGCATATGACATCAACCCGCTACCAGTACGTTCGCACTGCGAACGCCAAGTACCCGATGGCAACTACACGAAGTTCTCACCCATCTCACAAGTCGCGACCTTGCACACGGTACGCTCCATTGAGGAGCGCCAAGTACCCGTGGTTGACCCGTCTGTCCTGGCATCTCCGACTACCTACCATCAATCCTTTAATAGCTCACTACATCACCAATTGCGATCTATGGGAATACAATCATCCACCCCCAGGCAAGACTGGGATCACTCATCGATTACATATCCTGTTATGGTACAGACCAGATATGACCTCACTCATCCCACTATAAGAATGGATCGAGGAATGGGGAATTTCCCCCATCCCCGTAACACACCACCCCTCTGACCTTACAAGCCCAGGTGACCTCATGTGCCCCTGCAGACCTCTGGATATATGTCCCTGACAGGAAGGGTGAAACAGGGTTTCACTCCTGTCAAAATCATAGCTCTATACTGCCTGATTTCAGTGGCTTGAGGACAGCAAGTGTCATATCCCAGAATCCCGACCCCACACTCTCTGTCATATCCATACATACCTGATCCTGATCCAACTTCCAGACCCTCCTCTCCACCACCTCCGGAGTCCTACCCTACCCCCATCCGCTCCGATACCCACCTTCAGACGTGACACCACACCACTCCTCACCTCCTCTCGTCATTCCTCTCCCCATTCCTCTCCCCATTCCTCTCCCCATTCCTCTCCCCATTCCTCTCCCCATTCCTCTCCCCATTCCTCTCCCCATTCCTCTCCCCATTCCTCTCCCCATTCCTCTCCCCATTCCTCTCCCCATTCCTCTCCCCATTCCTCTCCCCATTCCTCTCCCCATTCCTCTCCCCATTCCTCTCCCCATTCCTCTCCCCATTCCTCTCCTCACTCCTCTCCTCACTCCTCTCATCATTCCTCTCATCACCTCCTCTCATCACCTCCTCACCTCCTCTCCCTGCTCCTCACATCACTCCTCTCCCTCCGACCCTCTTCTGCCAACCTCCACCAAGTTACAACCTTCCACCACAGTCCCATACCCTGTACTCAGACACCACTCGTACCTTCGCTCCGAGATCCCATCATGGTTCCAACCTCGGACTTTGACTCCACCTCAGCTTAAGTCCACTGCATTGGTGACCTCATTTCAAGTAAACTCCATCGCCAATCGGAGTGGACGGGAGAAGGGTAGGAGAGTGACGGAAGGGTGGAGGTGTTGTGAGGAGGAATAGGAGGAGGGTGGCGAGAGGTGTGGTGTTCGGTCCGAGGTGAGTATCGGAGTGGACAGTGATAGGGCAGGAGAAGGATGGAGGAGTGGAGGTGGCATGAGGGGTGAGAGGAGGTGTGGTGTCAGGTGTGGTGTCAGGACCGAAGGTGAATATCGGAACGGACAGTGGTGAGGTAGGACTCTGGAGGTGGTGAAGATGGAGGTCTGGGAGTTGGGTCAGGATCGAGTATGTACAGATATGACAAGTGTCATGCTGTCAGGAACGTGTCAGATGCGTATCCAGATGATCTGCAAGGCATGCAAAGTCATCCAGGCTCATAAGGTTGGAGGGGTGGGACTTCAGCTTCAGTGACTCAGGTGGAGCGCTGTCAGGGCACACCCGCCTGACCCGGCTCCACCCGGCCCAACCTGACCTGGTACCCCGCCAGTCCACCCTTCCTTACCTCCTCCCCCTTCCCCTTCTTCCCCCCTCATCCTCCCCTCCTCAGTTTCCCCTTATCTTACTTCTTCTTTATTCTCTCTTTATTCTACATGGACGACTTTCTCTGTATCAATGTACCATTGACCCATCTGCAGCGTGCCCACCATGTACCCGGCCCGGGCACCTCGGGCGACTTCCCACTGTGCCCAGCACGCACGCCTGCACCAGATGCCCTTGGGATCTCCCACGGAGACACCCAGGTGGTTACGGCTGTGTGCGAGGGTGACGTGGCACCCATCATGTGATCCAAGCCACATGTATATAAACGAACCTGAAGTGGGAACCGAAGAAGTAGCCTTCTTCTCAACTTTCCACTTCAGTCTAAGTGGCCAGGGACCACTGTCCCGCATCGGGCCTGTCAGTACGCATGCCCAATCTGCCCCCCACCAGGCTCTCGGTCCCGGACGCTACACCCGGACCCCCTCAACCCCGGACGAGTCCCTGACAAGCGCTGCGCTTCATTCTTACGTTTCAGACAGGAGCCTTACAATGTAGAGAAGAGATGAGGGGGGAAATCCAAGTCGATATATGAACTGAGGTACATCTGGTGCAACCTACATGTGTTATAAACACAACTAACTAAATAGGACTGGCCCAGAAGGGTGGCAGATCAAGCGCGATATTAATGAATGAAGAAAGAGACAAATAGTCAATATCGGAAAACTTGGTCAACAAAAGGCAAGCAAGAACAACAAGTGGCAAAGGAGGAACAATAGTCCACAAGTGAACAAAAGAGAAAAGGCCATCTGGCCATCTTGTCATATCCATCCCCGGCCATCGACTTCCACTCCCTCCGATCCCTCTGGTCTACCTCCGCTCCTCCTTCACTAACCTCGGAGCCCCTGTATTCCACAATCACCTCAGTACCCCTCAATGGTCACCACCCCCTCCTTTCAATTTATTACCTATGCCTCCCTAAGTACAGAGCCCTGAAGGCTTCCGGACAGCTCTGACGTCCGCTAGCGCACTCCCGCCTCCGCTGGGCAATACATTCACTTGCCCTGCAAGCCCACCTTCAGGCCTATCCCTCCTTTCCGTTTCTGGGTTATCACCTACCATTCCGTTAACCCCGTAACCCGACTTGTCGGTAATACTCAATCAGCTAATGTCTAACCCCGTTAGCTCCACTCCGCCATTTGCGGACCTGCCCTTGTTGTAACTATATATATACTCAACTTGTACATAGGTTACACCTCAGTAATAAAATCGACTAGAGTTTACCCCCTTCAGTTCTGGTTGCCAGTTTAGTAAGTTAGGGCATGGACATGTTACTTGGCACAGCACTCCTGGCATAAGTCACTGAGGCCAAAGCCCTCCACCACAGAGACACTCCCTCATCTCAACCTGGTCTCTGACACATCTAGCAAGCCATCTGGCTGGCAGGCAGACAACAATGAACCACTCAAATGGGCAACCTTGATTGGAAGGTACATGCAGGGGAGGAAGTGCAGATGAGGGTGACAGGTGGATGGATGGATGGATGGATGATGATGGTAGCGGGTGGGATGGTAGCGGGTGGGATGGGCCAAGTGGCACTAGGAAGCGTTGACAGAAGTGACAGATATGCCAGGTCGTTGTAACAGGTCTATCGCCTAGACTCGAGACAGAGAGAAGGGGGAGGGTTGTAGTGTGCACAGGTGTGGTTCGTGGGGCTGGGTTTTGGTCCTGGGGCGCTACCAGGTCTGCTAGAACCTCAAACAAACACTCACCTATGTCTCTCTTGGACGTCAAGGCTGAGGATTCTGATAAGAGGGGTCTTAGACATAAGCAACTAACTCAGAGGGGGTGTTAGGGTCATGGATGGCATCTCTTGGATGTAACTTCTGCTTGTCCCTTCACGGGTCTATTCAGTACTAACTTGTTATGTACAAGCCATTATCTATTTTATATGAGTTGGAAATGGAATGAATGGAATGGGGGAATGTAAATGGGCCATTAGGCAACCGTAAATGATGAATATCCAATTGGGAACAAAGAAACAATAAAAGAGATATGAATGAATGGGCAACATATGATAATGGATCCGAAATGGGAATTGTGAAAGTTATCTCCGCAACACTTCGCCACAGCGCCAGCCTATCCTCCCTTCAGCAATCTCCTCGTCTCCAGCTTTCCAACGAGCCCTTATTCATCCCAATTGGTGCAGTACTTCCTGAGATATGGCCATTGACAGGTGCTGTCAAGACCACGTGAGGCTATACACCATGCTGAGCCATCCGAATATGGGGTTGCCATTCTGGGAAGTGCTCCATGGGTAAAGGAGGAAGGTATAGCATCACCAATGGGTAGAAAAATGGCTGGGTTGTATGTGTGGTTATGGAGATCTGGAGAGGGGGTGAAATTGGCGGCGTGGTTGGGTGTGGGAATTTGGCTTGGGGCTGTCGGGAATGATGGGGAAAATATGGAAAAATATGGAGTGAGTGTATGGAGTGTTGGATAGTGATAGAATGAGTATCGGGAGTGTCAGCGGATATGTAGTGCATGTTGGTGACCAAATTCTGCAGAATCCGACTTTTTGCGGTACACGGAGTTGTCCCCACAACATCGTGACACATGCCCAATGCCTCTTCAACACTGTCTCCAGCAATCAATGGCCAGTACAATGTCACTTTCCCTCTCATTTTATTCCCATCCTCCACACCCTTTGTTTACAAAAGTCTAAAAGTATACATTGATACCACAGTTAATTTATGTTGTGGAGATATTTTGGTCAAGTTGCAAACATAATGTCTGAGTCATTCAACCCAAACAAAAGCTGCAACCGGATGCAAAAAGCCTAGTCACAAGCAAGGTCAAGGCTGCACAGCAGGCCATTTCTAGTAAACAATATGAAGTCGTATTCACAATAATGATTGTATGTACATCGGAGTAAATAAGGAATGAAAAGAAGTCCCAGGTGCATAACCTTCGCTCCTTACAATGGAGTGAGGGGTGGCAGTGTGAATGAGAGCAAGAGATGAGATTGAGGGTGGATGGCTGGGTACAGTGGAGTGGGCAATGACAGCAGGTGGCCAGGGTGCATTGAGCTCAGTACATCGCGTCTCTTAAAGCGGCGCGTGTGTGTGTATGCAGGGGGCTTAGAGGGCGCGAGTATGGGTCTGGAATACAAGCGCACATGTTGGAACGTGTGCGATGATACCAGAGACGGCGCGAGTGTGTGTGAGCGCGTGTTTCTAAGTGTGCATGCGTGAATTTCGACGGGAATGGCTAGAGAGCGCGAATACAAGTTTAAAAGCGTGAGTGAGAGCCTAGAGTGCACCATAGCATGTCTAGAATGCCTCAGCGCGTGAATAATGCATGAGGAGAGACTGGGGTTATGCTAGTGGTTTGTTTCCAAGATTGCGTGCACGTGAATATCGCGAGTTTTTCCCAAAAAAAGCGTGTGCAGGCATGGGAGACGTGAAAAGCAAGCCCAGAAGTTGAGAGGGTGAGTCCAGGGAGCCATGGGTGCGTGAATTCAATGAGAAGTAAGCAGAGTAAGAGAAGGAAGTGCAATTGCGATATGTGCATGGGAATAAGCCTAATTGCGCTTAAAAATGTAGAGGGCCAACCCTGGCCTTAGACTGACATCGGATGCGGAATTTGCTGATTATGAGAATCCAAAAGAAGCCTGTATTTTAACCATTTATTCAATTCATCCATATCGAGCATTGTTCCGGTTAAAACATAAAGTTTAACCAAGTTATCTATAGATAAATTTTGGCTAATCAGGGTTGACTGAGGTCGTAGCGGAAGACGGCCCAGGAGGCCCAGAATGTATTGGGAGCAAGCAAGCGTGAACCAGCTACAAGTACAAAGAAGTTCCAGACAAAACAACAGAAATACACAAGAAAGTAGAACAACGGATGATAGTAATACATGCAAACTCCGGAACGGGTGGAAACCAGAAAAAGATATATATGGAAACAGAATACACGCAAGATCGGAAACGAAACGAAGTAATCGGTGGTGAAAGGGGAGGGGGTGGGAGAGGCGAAAACAAACTAGTGTGAGACTGCAGCAGCGGATATGCGCGAGTCGAGGGGGAAAAGCAGCAAGGGAAACAGGGAGGCAGTAGCGGCAGCAGCGGCAAAATCACGAGAGTGAGTTCGAAAGAACAGCAGCAAGTTGGCCTTGTACGCACCACGAGAGTCGCGAGAGATTCAGGCGATAAGGAAGGAAAAGGGGGCGCTGTGAAAGCCCTTTTTATAAGCACGGCCTGAATTGTCGTGAGCACTCTCGTGATAAGTGAGGTTCAGTACGTACCTCCACTGGTGTGGTCCGCTTCGCGCATCTGCGCCAGAAAACCCAGCATACGACTGAGGCACAGTCCCTGGGTCCATCAAATGGTCAGGTTGCGCAGCAACTCGTGAAAGCGGCAAAGGGGCAAGTGCGGTGCTGAGACAGGCACATCGGGGTGATCGAGCCAGGGGAAGTCATAGCGTTGGCTGGGCTGAGTTCGATCGTTGCCCCGTGATTAGTCTCGTGAAATGAAAACATTAAACAACAATTAAACGGTTAAAACACTGATCTTCATTCAAAATTCCTAGAAAAGCGGTTAAATTGAGAGGTTCTCAACACATGGAGACCTGAGGCTTGGGGGGAAGGTAGCGGCACTCCAGGTACACATTCATGCCCAATTCCAGCTCCTCCGCTAAATTTCGCAAGTCCTGGCAAGTTTTTGCGCTCCTGCATTGCCTCCTTGCAATTAATTCATTGCTACCAGGGGTTGTCAGGTGCTGCTGAATTTGTAATATTGTGAGTTCAGCGAAAATCGAATCGGTCCATTTTTTCCACTCTGCCAACAAATAGAATTCATTCTTAGCAATGTCATTGTCAATCAACTATGAATTTATTATATACAAAAATAAGAAAAGTTGAGCAAAATAGACTCGATGAGGCTAGCAGGTGGGAATGGGGGAAGTAGTCTGATGGAGGCGGTTCCGAGGATGAGGGAAGGGTCAGGGTGACGCGGTAGATGAAGGCAACAAAGAGGTGGTAAACTTCTCGGCATTGTGTTCGCGGAACAGAGCGTGAATGTAAATGGAAAAAAGTTAGCTCTCAAACAAGAGGAAGAGGGTGAACGGGGGGAAGAGGAAGAAAGTCCTCCTCGTCGTTGAGTTGTAGATGCACTGGTGAGGGGATCTCCAGACGGTCATGGAGGGTTTCCGATCGGACTCAGAGTCAAAGGTGATGCATAGGGGATGCGTACAGCGTCAGCAGGTTTAGCGCAGTGTCATGCATCGTTGATACAAGATCTACAGCGAACGTAAATGGGCCAGTCAGTTACAGCGCGTTCAATGGGCAAAAACTGCGAAGCCTCTGGGGAACGGACTCACTTCTGGTGTCTCCTTCCACATGTTTCACCCTGCCCATGCATGCAAGACCGAAGTCCGATGCACGCATGTTGGGAATCCCAGGCGTCGGGTGCTGTTTAGGGGATGCAACAGGTAACGTTGGCGTGTCAGTCCTGTCGATTGGGCTGGTCAGCGGCCGAGGAACCAGCCCGGCAAGGTAGTTAACACGAGTCCTTACCGGTTCGTCCTCGTCCTCGTCCTCAACCAAGGTGGGTGCAAAAGCCCTTCAGGCTTGCTTGCAGCCACATCGCGGACCCCCAACGACGAATGCAGTTAGGCAGCATGTGGGCAAGGGCTTTTGTTTTTTCGTTGTCGAACTGAATGGAAGAAAAAACAAAAGTGCCTCGGAATCAGATTGCGATTCAGGCGTGGGACCAAGGCAGTTAAGTCGTTTTTTTATTGTTTAATGTTTTCATTTCACAGGACTAATCATGGGGCTACGATCAGACCCAACCCAGCTCATGCTGAGGTTTCCTCCACTCGATCATATCCTGCCGCTTCTGTCTTAGCACTGCCCACTCCCCTTTGCCGCTCCTACCAATCACGAGTTGCCATGCAACCTGACTTTTCAATGAGCCTAGGTTTTGCCTCAGCCGTACGCTGGGTGTTCTGGCATGGATGCGCGGAACAGACCACACCAGCAGAGGTACGTACTGAAACTCCCTCACCGCGAAAGTGCTCACAGTTAGTCCAGCCCACACTTATAAAGAGTGCCTGCACCTTCACTTTTCCCCCTCTCTATCACCTGAATTCGTGCCGCTCTCGGTGAGTTGGGCCGCTTACTGCTTTGTATCCAAACTCTCACTCGTGCATTATCGCTGCTGCCTCTGCTGCTGTCGCTCTCTTGACTCCCGGAATCGTCCATGCCTGCTCAGTAACTTGGCTGGCTTGTTTTTGCACTTCCCACCACCTCCCCTCTCTCCACCTTCTCATCTTTCCATTTCCACTCCTAATCAAATTCACAAACTGTCCGATTCACCAACCCTTTTCTCTGTCGATTCTTGTCCGTTTTCCTTCGTCTTTTTTGTCTGCATCTATGTTCCGCTTTTCCTTTTTCCTTTCTGTATTTTGTTATGCTTGTTATGCCTGCTACTCTGTATATGGACAAACCGGGTCACGGGTCACGCGTGGCTTGCTGCGCTTTGCCTAATATACTATGGGCCACTTGGCCGTCTCCCGCTACGACCAGTAACACCTGATTAGACCATTCAATCGTTAAAACGGCTGAGATATTGTGACTTATCGTGTACAATGCATGTCCGCATGTAATGGATCGTGCTCACGTCCCCACGCGCGCTCTTGTTTCTAGTAAAGGATATATGTATTGAAGAGAAGTGAAACCATTGATGATTGGCGTACTGGAACTGCATGCAAAGGAGGAAACGGAAACAGAGTGGGCTCCTTGTGACTTGATGGATTCTTTTTTTGTCCACGTGAGGTTGATCGAAACGTTCGCTCGCCCATGCATGCATGCATGTGCGAAAAAAAAAAAAAACGAGCCGATTGAATCAAAGGGACGTCGTCGTTGCAAATTGCGGCATTCTGATGTTGATCCGAAGTCCGGGATCGATTGGGATGAAAAAAGATACGACAAAAGTTGTGATATATGAGGAAGCTGAGATCAGAACCATGTAGTATCAAGTACAACTGCTTGTTCGGAGTTTGAACCTGCATGGTTGGGGAGGATGTTTGGACAGATATTGCTATGACGAGGAGAGAGGGGTGAGTCGGGCGGTTCGGGCGGTTCGGGGCGAACTGAAATGAAACCAACACGCTGAAATATTTTTTAAGGCTTCAGACTTCCTTTGTGGTGGCTTGTTTTTACTCTTCAACTTCCCACGGTTTAAGCGCTGAAAAAGGTCATCACATTATTCGAACTCGATGAGAGATGGACCTGAAGTCCAGTAACTCGTCATCCTCTTCTGTCCCTCCTACAACTGCTCGTGGAACGGAAGCGGGAAATCCTCCACCGCCGCCACCACTGCCCTCAAAGATATCGACGACACTTCTTCACGACCCATAAAACTCCACATCCCACGACACTACTACCTCCTCCCAACGACCACTTCCTAACAGGTCTAACCCTAGGCTTCCTCCGCTCAGCTCGCAAAACGTCCTTCCAATACCTAGTCGAACATGCGCACAATCCACCCAGAATGGTTCAAGGGTGGTACTTTTATCACAAGCGGAAGAATTATAAAGTGATGTGGGAAGGGATGAAAGGAGGGATGAAGGAAGGTGGTAGGTTTGGGGTTGGAGGTGTTTGGTGGGTTTTGATGGAGGAAGGGATGGAGAAGGTTGGTTTGGGGGAAGGGAAGGAGGTTGTGGGTGGGTTGGGGATGGCGGGGACTGAGCATCGTGTTGGTAGCTCAAGCCTCCAGTATGTTATGCACTTGCGTCCATAGATTTTTCGAGACAGGCGAATAAGCCTGTTTCCGTCAGGCCACATACAACAGAGGCGACTTGAACACTTAAGAGAAGTGGAGCACCTAGCATTTGTGAAGTAAACGTGTCCCGCGTCGGTCTTTCCAGGCTCTCTTGTCTCGACCACCAATGTGGTTGGGGGAGGAACGACCTGCGTGTCCAGTCACGACTTAAAGCCACACGATACTAGAGGGGAGCACCGAAAAGAGCGCGTCACTCGGCTGATCCGAATGCTCTGAGAGCACTTTGGATGTAGACACGTTCCCTAACAAATAGCGAGATGGTTATGTGAAGGGGCTTCGAAGTTGGGGTAAATCCAGCAAACGATCGATTCATCCCGCCGCAAGGGTACAGATTCAGTACGTTGGCACTTTTCAAATGATGTGGCGTTGTTGCTGAAAGATGTGGAATAAAAGCTAGGGATCGTTCTTCCGTCGGAGGACAATCCCAGTCGCTGACTTTTAATATAAACATTCTTCTTAGAACAGACTTTTGCGGCATCGGAAGGAAGAGGGATGCGCCTCTTCTTAGGTGCATGTCACCTTCAGCTCGCACTATAGAAGCCTTATTCCCTGTGTCACAGAATTTGGCGGTGGTGCGGGTGATCCGAGGTTAGAAACGTAAAGAGCGCAGCAATATCTGGGTTTCTTGAAAGGTTCGTCCGAGAGACACAGTGTGACGAATTCCAACATGGCGAGGACCTCACTGCTCCTGCCAGGATTAAATGCAAGACTGAAGTACCCTTCAAATTTTGAGAAAATCAAGTTTTTGGGAAATTGGGGAACAGCAAAAGGTACTGCTCCAGACATGTTAGGTCATACAAAGTGATGGAGCTGTTTGACTCAACCGAGACTGCGGACGCAAAGCCGCATAGCTGTAAGGGGCACACGTATGCACCAGTAATGTTAATCTGTCATTAGAGAGATTTGCCCTCCGAAAATGCGAAAGTTATGTGGAGATGCCGCCCAGGAGTTGTCACTGTCAGCTAGCAGGACACAAAGTCCAGTTGGTTGAGTAGGGTGTGGAGCCTCCGGGCGGTTGACAAGCCGTCTGAAGTGAGAACCTTCCGAGCAAACACAGCAGGTTCGGTAGGACAAAAACCCATTGTGAACTGAACCGGAATTGAATGGATGTTGCGAGGATCACATAAATGCGCGCAGACAGCATTGAGAGGATCCACCGTCGCAACGAGGGCCTGGGCAACAAATGGAGCACAACAACTCCACGACTGCCCGAATTCACTCCCAAAATCACGTTTCAATTGCTCGGCTGCCAGTTGTTGCTCAGGACTCGTGGCGATTGGCAAACTCTACTTCTCAACATCTCTTCTGAGCCGTATCTTCTGAGCCGTATTTTACTCCGAGATCGAGCATTCTGGGCGTCTTAGTTCTTGTTTTAGAGATGATAACCCTTATTCCATCATTCCCTTGTACACTTGAAGCTCCAGGATTTCTGGCATTTGGTCATCCCGCAGTTCTTGGTGTTCCTTGTCTGAGGCTACATACCTCTTGCTTAGTCATGAAGGTAGCGGGTCATATTTCCGTGGAACTCGATCGCACCCTGCTCATGAAAACTGGGCATGATGATATTTGGGTGGTGTGTCCTAGGCATTAAAGGACACGTAATGCTTGGTCTTAAAGACATTGGGATGAAGGGAAACTAGTCGACTTATCGAATGACTTATCGTCATATCGTCCATGTTCTCCTTCAATCGACAACCAACTGCCCATATTATCATTATTCATGCAGATAACACGGATCTGCTAGCACACACAGTCGACCCTAAATCATCAAACAGTGAAACACAGTTCCATCTTCGGAACCAGCACTCCAGTTCTTCCTCAACTTCCGCAGGGACCTTGTAGAGCGTGATATAAAGTGTGAATTTTTTGTGCTTGCACCGTGCTAAATGTATGCTTGCAGAGACGAGGTGGATTTATAGTCCTCAAGTACTGCTTTCAGTGGTTCCAGCTAACAATCAACAACCGCCCACCGTACGGGGAGGATGTATTGGAGCCCATTCCCACCGATGACACCCGCAATGGCTTTTTGGCCCAGTTGACACTCCGTACCGTGATTCTCAAGGCCTTTCATTTGTTGCTTGTATTGGGCGTCCCTAAGTCATACACGCTCCCAATCATATGCTCGATGCTGGTGATGCTCAACCTGACCCTGCTGGATTCCCTTTCACAGTTTGGTGACACAGCGTCCAGCCTGCTTCCCTGCAACATAGATGCTGCCTTCAAGCGAGGAACACATTTACTCAAGCCTTCCGTCCCCACATTTTATTCCAACCACGGCGCCGCAGTCGTTAAGTGATAGGGCTGTCGTATGCAGGTTTTCAATCATTGGCCAAACATCCCCCATCTTCACAGTGTTGAAACTCCCCAAGCCGATGACTTTTCCGGGAGCAAAAATGACCGTGAAATAGCGGTCGGAAAACGTGGGGGCCATGGCAATGGCGGGGGTGGCAACGGAGGTGTAGGAGAGGTTAAGGGGGGTGGTGCAGCAGGTGCAATAGGCGATGCAACTGCCGTCATAGAACCCATGAATGATTATGGGGGACGGTGGATGACTAGATTTGTATTTCCGGGGCCACAGTCAAGCTACCTTGGAGCGTCGCTACGCTGCAGAAGCCGAACTGTCTTACCATGTTGTAACTGAGGTTTCGAATGCACCGTTCGCCGAGCCCGGAATGATGAGAGTTGCGAGCTTGCTTGGCGTGCACAGCATCGCCGGTGCCTGGGCATATTCGCTGCATTCTGTCACTTCGGGGTCAGCTGGAAGATTGTCCGACCTTGGTAACGAGTTTTCCTTTGCGATGCACTTCCGCAGTCCCCTTGCGCACACATGAGGACATTGGTGGCATCATTTTGGCCTCGGATTCGGCTGATATCTTGGCAGAGTGGGATCCATCGCCTTCCCGCACACCTGGGTGTCTTGCCTGACATTGGTTTCCTCGTCTGGCTATTGAACTGTTCATCCCTAAGCTAATCGTCCTCGTTGTGGGTCACAACCACTAACCAGCTTCTAGATTCGACGCATACCTTAGTCCTCGCTCTCGAGTGTTCAGATTCTATAAGAGGCTCCATGGTGAGGTGACGCCTGTCACCCTCTCTTCGTATGCTTGGCACACTCTAGTCCGCGGCCCTTTTGGGATGGTCATCCTGGTTTACACTTCACATCCTCTAGAGAAACCGGCAAACACGGTGTGAAAGTGTTTGCATTGTTCACATTCAGAGGAAGAGATATCAGACAGATAGTTGGTGACCCACGAGATACAACTGATTTTCCCAATGCAAACACCGCTTGGGCGATTTTTGGATAAATAACTATTGACTAAGTATGGACCAAGGCCACCTCGCCTATATATAAACACCAAACGTGCCTTCTCATGAAGCCGATTCCCTTGTGTGGGACCTACAAATGTGTATCGCACTCCCAACGCACGATCCCCCGCTTGCTGCTTGGATACATATAATTTCAGAAGGTCCCTGATGAGTAGCCCTCGTATGCGACACAGAACAGCGGCGAATAATAAGGAAAGCGACTTCTCTGTCTGAATAGCCCATCTGGGGCAATGGTTGGTAGCAAGAACGTGTACGTATCGTTCATTGCACGTACTCGGGTAACGGCTATACTAAAATACGGCCAATGACTAAATGTACTCCAAACAATACAATGACCACACTGCGCGGCCCGCTTGTGAAAGCCTTTGTTCACATTCTTAGAAGGTTGCCCAGTTCGATGCTCAGTGTCATGGACGCACCCGCTCATACAAAGGCGCAAACATATTTATTTGATAAGCCTTCGCAGTATTGTTAACTCTCTTAGTCGATCATTGGTCGATCAAGCGAAGGGTCTAAGGACAGCCGCGCAGCACTGGTTGCATAGCTGTATAAGCAACGGGTAACAGCATTCGGCCCGTTGGATTCAATGGATTGGCAACATTGACGTTTTGTCTTTATTCCCAAATTTAGAATCTGACCTGCTATTACGCCCCTCCGCGCCTCGCTGGACGCCCCAGGGACTTGCGCTTTAAAACCGAGCCAACCAACTTTGAAGTTCGTCCTCCTAACCCCCTCGAGATGTCTGTGCGAGATTCTGCAGTTGGTCTCGGGACAACAGGTTATGCAAAGAAGGCCAAGGAATTGATTAAGGTTATTGGTGATATTCGGGCTCTTGGGTGAGTTTATCGATTCATTCTTCATGTGATCCCCGAATCCGAATCCTCCCTCTGCAGTGGACAGGTAAGGCACACTGCGCAAATCATACTTGCTGCTCAATCACCTGGACATAGGGCGACTTGGACCTTCCAAGGATCGCTGTCATAGGAAACCAGTCGGCAGGGAAAAGCTCGCTCATTGAGGCGATATCGGGGGTGCGTGCTGAGTGCCCATGCGAAGCTGCTTGTTCCCTCATGCGATTCATGATGTGTGTAGATCACCGTTCCCCGTGCAAGTGGGACGTGCACAAGGAAAGCGTTATTCCGCCCGCTATATTCCTCCAGCACACCGCTTATGATCCACACCATTTCCCAGGTGTCCCATGGAATGCCGGCTCCAGCAATCCGATGAGCTGTGGAGGTGCCAGGTGTACCTCCGGTTCGATTATGACACTCTGAACCGCCCCAAACTCGAGGTTCATGAGGAGAAATTTGGCCCGATGTTGCACGACCCCGCTGCTTTGGAAATCATGTTGCGGAGGGCTCAGCTTGCGATATTGAACCCTACCGTTGACGCGAAGAGATTTGAAGACTTGGATATAGATTCCTTGGATGATGAATACCCTCCGCTCGGATCCTCAGAGCAACTAAATTTTTCTTCCAATGTAGTCTGTGTGGATGTGTGGGGTCCATATCTTCCAAATCTGTCCTTTGTCGACCTTCCCGGTAGGTAATGGCTTCGCTGTGAAATGTAGCTTTGCTTACTTTCAGTACAACCTCTCCAGGCATCATCTCTAACGTGGCGGATGAGAAGGACTCGGGGAATATCGATGCAGTGAAGAATATGGTTAAAAAGCATATTGAAGGGAATTGTTTAATTCTACTCACTATAGTAAGATCTATCTTTCGATTATCTCTGATGCTACACCGACAGGTCTCCCGTCACGTCCCCATAGACAATGCGAGGTACATGGATTTTGCTATTTTATGCTATTTTACAAACTGACTGACCTGGTAGATGATATTGATAACCAGAGCGCGGCTTGGTTGGCAAAGCAAGCCGACCCAGATGGACTTCGGACCATCGGTAAGACTTATGATTAGGATGTAATTTTATGCTCATTGGTTAATTCTTCGTGCAGGAGTTCTGACGAAGCCGGACACCCTTCAAGATGGCGAGGAGAAGGGTTGGGTTGACGTCCTGGAGGGTCGAAAGCATCCATTAAAGTTGGGGTATTATATTACTAAGCAGCCTGCTCCTAAGGATCTCTTGGAGAAAATTACGCATGCTGAAGCTCGAGCTAAGGAGCGCGACTTTTTCCGAGACCATCCGACTTGGTCCAGGTTGCCTAAGAGTCGTATGGGCACGGAGATGCTTGGTGTTAGTCTGAGCAAGCTTCTTTCACAATTGATCGATCGGACGTGAGTACTTTCATTGATTGCTTCGTGTCATCTCGCACTCAGTTGAGCGAATCTTGCAGTCTCCCGAAGCTTCGCGAGCAGGTCCGAGAGCAGAGTAAAGCAACAGATGGGGCCTTGGCTCGGCTTCCAGCTAAAATAACTAATCTTCCAGCGGTGGAGATCAACGCCCTCATCGGTCGTTTCTACGAGGAAATGAGGTCTTACGTCGAGGGAGCGCAAGGATATGAGACTCTCCTGCATGGTTGTTTGGAGCCATATTCCACATTTAGATATGAGATCAGGGCCACTGCACCTGTTTTCGACCTCAGTGATCCGCCAAAACCTGCTGATTTGCCCTACGGATCAGGAGATGCCACTGACGAGTCTTCAATTGGGGGGTCCTCACGGAAGACTACTCTTCAAGAGTTGAGGATGATTATCGATCGGTGTGTCATTTGCGCCCCCCCGGGTAACCGAATAATTTATCCGCACGGCCAGGCACCTCACCAAGGAGCTTCCTGGCAACGTTCCGTTCTCTGCGAAATTGAGCTGCATGCTTAATTGTCTCAAGGAGTGGTCGGCGCTGGCTGATGCATGTTTCGACTCTGTCTTTTTTATGGCTGAAGATCACTGTGTTCAAATTGCCCGAACGCACTTCGATCGATTCACGTATTCTTCACTGAATACTATCATCAGGTGAGAGTAGTATGGCACAATTGTATGGCACTGTTGTCTCTAACCGATTCACTTCTAGGGATACTGTTGCGAAAGAGCTTCTTCGTGCAAAAAATGAGATTGACGAAAAACTTCGTTGGGTGATAAAATGTCAGTAATACTCCTAATCTCTGTTAGTTGCTGCTTACACGGTATCTGGGTAGTGGAGTCCACACCGTTCACGCAGAACGCGCACTATTTTACTTCCTGCAAAGAGAGATACCTGGTGGAATACAAAGCGAAACGGCCCGTAAGTGCTGCGGCGGTGACCTTTTGGATTCAGATGGCTGAGAGGGGCTCTAGACGAGCAAATTGATAATTAGTTATCTAGAAAACGCGCTCGTATCCTTGCGTGCCGCTGGGTCCTCGATCAGATCGATAGAGGAGATCAAGAAATATGAAGAAGATCCGTATGAGCGGGAGATCAGCGTCGCAGCGGAGGTCCGGGCATATTTCCAAGTTGCTTATAAGGTCAGCTTGATTTCGCTATATTTGTTCAATCGTCCTTATTGTTTCTTTTTCTTGCCAGCGCATCATTGACCTTGTCCCTCGGATCATAAATATCGATTTTATCTCAGAGTTGCATATAAGACTCCGAGCTGCCCTTGAGAAAGAACTCGGAGTTGGTACGGAGGCAGGGATTAAATTGGCTGCCAAATTGTTGGAGGAAGAGCCAGATGTGTTGAATAAACGAGAGGAGCTGGAAGCGAAGCAGAAACGACTGCGTGAGATCCAATTAAGGCTCAATGGATCGCTTGTCTAGCTTGAGAAACCTGGCGTAGTGCAGAGTCCCTCGTCAGGCGTAACGGTTTAATGCATATAGCTTTCCCACAAAGGGCTTCCCTTCAGCTCAGAAGCCAGTCGCAGCACCAGCAGAACTGAACATGGGTTTCTGATAATACAGTTTCGCACGTATGTGCTTTCCTCGGGCAGCCGGGACTACCTCATCAGTCTTCCGATACGATGCTCCATTGCCCCGCAGTAGGCAGGATCCCAGCCTCTACTCAAGTGCCCCGTAGGTGGAAGGCTCAATGCATAGGCGGAAAAAACTTCATCCACATTGCTTCGGTGAATCGGGTTGTCATACAGACGTTGCCGCATTTCCTGGTGCGCGATGCGGACAAGCTATAAGCAGGTGACCAGCCTCTAGAAACCAATATATGACAAACCAAGCACAGCCACTGACGTGTTGGACAACACCTGTAAACATCAATAAACGTTCAAGTCTTCAACAACCCATAAGAGTCACTCTCGCACTACGCATTCGCAACACCGACTAACGCAACAGGAAAAATTACAATAGGACGGTTTTGTACAGGCACATATTTATCCCAGTTCCGGTCCATGTCACGCTCTACTTCTACCGACTCGCAGGTGTCCAAACTCAAACAACCATTCACTACACGTCCACGTTCACAAGCTAGTAACTACTCCGATGCAAGTTCAACTAAGATTCCACTCGCTCGCTCGAATACACCATCTTTGGGCCCCGTCGCGACCAAAGTCAAGGCAGCCCTTTCGTCCGAAGCTCGCCTTGGGATCAAGCCCACAAAGAAAGCACCAATGCTTAGGCCTATATCTAGACCTGCATCTCCCACTAAAAGATCTGCTGCTACTCCATCTCCGACACCATTTGTACGCGACATTAATCCGGAGGAGGGATTGGTAGATTGGACTAATGTCGAAGCAGACCTGTCCCTGGAATTGGACGATAAACCGCCGCACGATATATTCGATTCCCCAGACGACAAAGTATTAGTGTCTATACGCGTCAAACCAATTGTGAATGATTATGAAGAACAATCCTGGATTGTGTACGTAAGAACTCTTGGATCTTTGATCGTCTCTCAACAAGCAATTGATGACATGACAGCAATACAGAAGGGAGTTGGATTAAGCTTCATCCAAACCATGCTAAAATAACAGGAAAAGCCGTTGAGCATCACTTTGACGCTGTTCTAACTGGAAGTGACAACAAGAGCGTCTACAATCGCGCAGCTCGTTCTCACGTCCGGGCGGCAATGGAAGGGTATAACAGTATTGTATTTGCATACGGCCAAACGGCATCAGGTAAACCACCCATCGCTGTCCGTCGTCCAGATCCAGGAAACTTGACATCTATGTAGGGAAGACGTTCACACTAATGGGCGACGAGAATGAGCCTGGAATAATACCCCGTGCCATTAAAGATGTATTTGGCTACATTCGAAATGTATGGTCCTCATTTGTTCGTGTCCACCTTACAACTAACCAACCAATCTAGACATCAAGTCGAGAGTTTCTCTTGCGAGCATCATATCTAGAAATTTATAATGAAACTGTTTATGACCTCCTTGCCCCCTCATCTGTTGGTATCGTTGGCCCAACAATCACCGACGCTGGGGTCGTCAATCTCCGCGAGGAAGTCGTGACCAGCTTGAAAGGGATCAAGGACGTCCTGGAACGAGGTGACAGCAACCGCAGAACAGCCTCAACAGATTGGAATGAGCGTAGTTCTCGAAGTCACAGTGTCTTCCGCCTCGTTAGTGTCATGATCCTCTCAGGAGCGAATTCGGAGCATTGATGTGGCGCCAAACAGGTGATCGAATCCCGGGAAGTTCTGGGCGAGGATGAGGAAGTTGAAGCGATGCTTGGGACGCCATCCACCCCGCGAGGCACTCGACTGCAGAGCAGAGGGGGTCGTGCTGTACAGTCCTCCGTCCTGGTGAGATTCGACTCCCTTTTGGGTTGCTCCGTCAACCTGAAATTCCTTCTAGAGCTTGATTGACCTGGCGGGTTCAGAAAAGGCCACCAGTGACAAGGACCGTACTCGGGAAGGAAAGTACATTAATACAAGGCAAATATCTCAAAGTCAACTGGCATCCGGCTCGCCCGAACTAACCTTCGCACAGTCTTCTCACTTTAGGAACAGTTATCGCTACTCTCGCAGAGAACGCTTCGAGGGGAAAATCGTGAGTTTTTTGTTGCCGCCACCCCGATTCCGCGACTCCTCAACACTTGTCCAGCAACCATGTACCCTATCGTAACTCGAAGCTCACTCGAATGCTTCAGCCCTCTCTGTCTGGAAACGCCCGCATATCGGTGATCTGTACTCTGAATAGCTCTGTGAGTGCCATTGGTGAAACAACCTCTACTCTCGGTTTTGCATCGCGGATAAAGAAAGTTAAAGTACGAGCATGTTTTTTGCATCCTCGGACGTCTGATATTGAAACCAATTACTTTCAGCTTCATGCGACGAAAAAGGAGGTTATTGACACGGAGGCCCTTCTCGAGCGATACCGGAAGGAAATTGAGGAGTTGCGAGCACGACTGGCAGAACGAGAAAGGGAAGCCCCTGTACGGAATCGGCGGCTGAGTGCCAGGCAGGTATGTGCCAGTGCTTGACTCACCTGAAAGGGATAGCTCACCACTACGTTTGCGTAGAAAATTGACGAGAGTCGGACACTGAACGATATGAGTGGGAGAATCAAGCAATTGACTAAACTCATCCTCACTAGTCAAACTGTGGATGAATCTAGGGGTGATCAGGTACGCTTCGAGAGATACGAGCAAAATAACTCGATTCAACCTATTCCTGCAATATAGTCGTGCCCTTCTAGTCCTACTAAACTGGACTTTTCGCAGTCACCATACGAGGTGGGGATTAGTTGCAAGCAATGTCAACCCATCGAAAGATGCTAACGTTCTTCCCAGCTTCAAAAGGAACTTCTTGTAGCGAAGGAGCAACTCGAGCGACAAGCTACCTTGATTCTCTCGTTAGAAGCGAGCCTTGAGCAACGGGCTGTAATACCACTTGACTCACCCGAACACGAAAAGGATGCAAAAATATCGGAACTGTAAGTTTTCGGTGCCCCTCTGCATCTTCTCAAACGGGGCATAACCACCCGTGATGATCTCCAGGTCGAAACAAGTTAAGGAACTGGAATTCGTTACGAAACGGTATGAAGAGAACCTTGGTGAACCATTGCGCGCGGTGAAGGAAGATGTTGAAAAAGAATGGATTGGCAAGGTTGAGGGGTTGGAAGAACAACTCCGCACTAACAAGGCATACGCTTTAGAGTGCGAACGTGCTCTTGACAAGGAAAGACAGGTGAGTTTGCGCAAGGATGGAAATTTCTCGCCCAGTCGTTAACTTGCTTGCTATGCTGATTGCGATAGACCCGTAAAAAGTTGGAAGAAGAGAAAAGAGCCCTTGTAGCGTTCGTAACGGATTTAGATTCTGCTTTGCCTTCGTTACGAGGACACGCGCCTCTTAACATTATCTCATCCTCGACACCCCCTCCACTACCATCCTCATCCACCTATCGTCCCCCCCTTAGTCCACTCAACGAGTCGGACCCAAATGCTTCGCCATCACCACCTCAAGCGGCATCTCCGACTAAATCTAGAATCCCCACTTTAACTTCCCCCTCTAAACAGCGAATTTCATCATTCACAATGCCAAGCATGATGAACGGAACTGGAGGCGAAAACAGAGAGGGTATTTTAGGCAGGGCTACACTATTCGATCAGCCCCCCGTTGATGACCTACTCGATGGTGAAGCGAGCTTTACGGGGGACGGTTTGGGGATCGAGGATAAGGAGAATCGATCGGTTTGATGGACCCTTTCCCCTGTAACGCCGTCCGTTTGTTGGTCTAGCTCCATCGGGGCGTATGATCGCCAGAGGCGACGGTTCAACTGCCCATGCTGATTTTTTTCTATTTGGGTTTCGTTCAGAGCTTTCTGATAGATCATAGCCAAGTATCTATCTTCCTGTGCATCATCTTTTTCTTTGAGTCTAGATGTTAAGTATTGTATGTACATGTCACATAGGACTATGGATCATTGCGCTTGATCCCAGGAGCTATAAAAGCTCGAATTGATCAGGTATGGAAGCATGATGTTGGAGTACATTGAGCCAGCAAGTGTTGGTAATAGCTTGTATTCCAGGAACGGGGGTATGGTATTCGCATGTGTCTCGAGGGCACGCGACGCTTCCAAGAGACCAGACGAGAATGCACGTATGTGTTAGAATTCTTGGTATTATGGTGTTCGCTATGACCAACTCACGTTTGGTGATGTTGAGTCGTGTGGCGTTTAGATTTACACCTATTGCCTTTCTTGGTGGCGTCCGTGCCAAAGTCAGTGCGCATTCATAGCGCCTGACTATAAAAGAACAATTTTTCACAACCCAACCTTTCCTCAGTTCACGTACAACGGGACTGAGGTATGTTGGTTATCTCTTGTTCATCATCCATAAAACGTGTATCTAATATTCGTACACCAGCGACAACATCGCCAGGTGATTATTCTAATATACTTTTAGTTCACGTACAACGGGACTGAGCGACAACATCGCTAGTCCAACATTTCGTCTTATAGTATGTGTGACTAGTTGTACGTACGCCACATACTTGGATTGTTGACGGAATAACGTCGAGGCAATCGGCCTGGCCCCATCGTAGGGATGATAACAGCAAGCACTCATTTTTTATTCAGTGGCTGGTGGCAGGTGCAACACTTAACAATGTAAGTATTCACACCGCGGGGATCTGACCGTTCCGCCGCGTCCGCACTCGTAGGGTAGGCTGACTACGACTTTGTTACATCAACTTTTGTCGTTCCAAGTGGCAATTCCGAGTCGATCGACCGATCCGAATAGGTGGCAGTTTATTATGAACGGTTAGCCTTTCCTGCAGCGGTGGGCACCATCACGTATGTTGTAATCACGAGTCACGGGGACCGGACACAGCCGGTGTTTATGTGGAGGACTATGTGGAGGGAATTACTAATTCCGTAGTCGCACAGGAGTTACCTTAACAGGCCGCTCCGTAATAGATTTACAATGTATATAAATACGCACAGACGGGCGTTGACAAAAATCATCAGATTTTTACCTTAGCTTACATCTGGTCTCACGAGTGTTACCGCTGAGGTAGCGGATTGCCTTATACGGAATCCCTACGTTACAAGAACGTACCTGGGAATAATGGTGAGTCCCGCAGTTTATGACGCTGTTCAGATCGTTTGTAAGTCCAATGAAACAAGCGTACTAGTACGTTGGGCAACACTGGCAACACATTCTACTTATCTCTGGGAGCAGCCAGATGGACCTTTTTTTGTTCATTGTTTATCCTTTGCAGTATGCACCCTAGCTTCTTGGATCGTCATGCACGTATATATATGATCATCCGTTAATACTTAATGTTTGGGCACGGGGGCTTCGGTTCGTAAATCAATAATCAATGATTACAGAAGGTAGTTGGCAGGACGTGACTCGCAACGTTGAGAGGGGTTCGACAAGTATGGGAGGGGTGAACTCCGGCATATAGGCCATCGGCAAAGTACCCTGCTAGCAGGTAGTTCAGAGTTGCTAGGGTTCTGACCTGTTCTACCACTATAGAGGCTGGGATCCTGCCTATTCTACCAACCCAAAACCTTGAGAACTACAGGGACCCTTGGAATTGAATTGAATCTGATTCACATTTCGAAGGATCTGTGGGCAGACTTTGCCGATGCAGAGCAGGCCAGGAAGTTCATGATGGATTGTGTCACCGCATGCATCCGAAGCTGTCTTTTTCTATTGAAGCATGCATGTTGAGTGCATCCAAAGGGTCAGTTTTCGGGGATCAGCGTCGTAAAAGTCCGAGGGAAGCAGCGCGCGTAAATAGCTATAGAAATTTATGTGACTATGAAATCGGGCTGGCGGGCGTACTAAACACTTTGTTCCTCAACATTAGGAGCGTTCTCTCTCTCCAGGTGAATACGACGGCGAACTTGCTCACTCACTATCGACTTGCTCGGTCTTACATTCCTCAGTCTCATTCTTGCATTTTCACCGGTCGTAGCACGACCCTTTAAGCCATGACCTCAACCCCAAATAATTCTGAAAAAGTCGCGATCGAAATAAGACGTTCTTTCGAATCCTCTGAACCCGCCGATAGGCGACAACTAACACCCGCCGTCTATCCGCCATACACGCCCGAAGAAGAAAAGGCGCTTATTAGAAAAGTAGACTATCGACTGATACCGTGGCTGTCTTTTCTTTACCTGTTATCCTTTCTCGACCGAACGAGTATCGGGAACGCTTCACTGTATGGGCTGAAGAAGGATCTGAAGATCAGTGATCAGCAGTATTTGTGGGCGTTGACAATTTTCTTCTTCTCGTACGCGACTTTTGAGGTGAGTAGAAGGATATATGTGTGTTGCAGGGTATTATGACTTATGAGCCTTCACGTACAAGTAGGTGCCGAGCAACGTGTTGCTGAAAAGACTCAAGCCTCATCTGTGGTTGAGCTTTCTGATGATCGCTTGGGGGATCGTGATGACGTGTCAAGGGCTCGTAAAGAATTGGAAAGATCTAATGGGTATGTCAAGGTTGAACTTCCGCCTTCACGCTCACAACTCGTTGCGAACATCTATCTGACCTCTGACTTGTATTTGTGCATGTGGATCCCTGCGACGCCAGCCGTCCGGTTTCTCCTCGGGATGGCGGAAGCAGGCCTTTTCCCCGGTGTCAGCTACTACCTCAGTTGCTGGTACAAACGTTCCGAATTCGGGCTTCGAGTCGCGATATTCTTTAGTGCTGCGACGGCATCGGGAGCGTTCGGTGGATTATTGGCGGCTGCCATTAGTCAAATGCATGGTGTTGGTGGTGAGTGCTTGGCTGACCTGATTGGTCGATTTTGGTCTCGGCACATGAGGTAATCATGACACTGATTGGCTATTTTTGGAATCGTTGGATAGGTAAACCGGGATGGGCGTGTAAGCTTTTCCTCGATTTTCAAATTCGCGGTTTATCAACTCCAACTCATTATGATTCACGGGGATTGAATAGGGATCTTTATTTTGGAAGGATTGATCACGGTCGTGGCGGGTATGATGTCATACTGGCTTGTCGAGGACTTTCCTGATGACGCTAAGGCAAGTTCGCAGCAATATGTTGTCTTTTTCGTCCCTGTTGTCTAATGACTCTCTACTAGTTCCTCACCGATCGTGAGCGAGCCTTCATTATCGGCCGACTTCAGACGGATGATCAGTTCAGTGCCGGCGGTGAGGCCTTTAGCTTCAAATATGTCTGGAACAGTCTCACGGATTGGAAAACTTGGTTGGGAAGTGCGTTCTTTTTTATGTCCTTTTTTTCTCGTCCAAACAACTGCTTCGCCTGATAGTGCTCTGCTATGCCGGCTGGGTCGGTCCTCTCTATGCCTTCGCGCTCTTCGCACCAAGTATCATCAACCAACTAGGCTACCGCGCTACACCTGCTAACCTCCTCTCGGTACCCATCTACGTCTGGGCAGCTATACTTACCGTAGGAGTCGGTTATATGGCTGATAGGACTGGTCACCGAGGGTGGTATAATTTGGGATTTTCCTCGTTGGGAGTTGTGGGATATGCGATTTTGATTGCGAGTCGACATGCAGGGTTGAGTTACTTCGCTACTTATTTAGCAGCGAGTGGGATTTATCCTGTGATTCGTGAGTCGAGTACTTTCCTTGGAGGCTAGAATCTAGGCTAATTGACTTTCCGCAGCGAATACCTTGTAGGTACTTCAAGGACGGCTGTGGTGTGGGCTATTGATATGATTCATTTTATCTTCATAGGGCATGGATGAGTAATAACGTCGAAGGGTCCTATAAACGCTCCGTCTCTTTGGGAATCATTATCAGGTGTGTATTTATTCTTAATGGCTCACCGGTGGTCGCATCTTATTAACCCCCAAACAGTTTTGGAAACATCAACGGAGCTGTTAGCTCGAATATCGTACGTACCCCAAGCATATCCAACTTTACATTTAATTCTCATCACGCCCACAAATTGCAACAGTACCGTGCCAAGGACAAACCATGGTATCGCCTGGGTCACACCATAGTCCTCGTCTACATCATCATGGGGATCATCACCTCCCTCCTCTTCCACTTCTTTCTCGATAGAGAGAATGAGAAAAGAGATCGAGGCGAAAGGGACGAGAGGATATTGGACAGATATGAGAGTGAGGAAGTGGCGAAGAGGGAACATCATGGGATGGGAGGCACGTTTGTGAGTTTGGATGAGGCGAGAAGGGAGAAAGGGGATGAGTGGAGTGGGTATCGGTACACATTGTAAGATTGGTGGGGTGTTGGCCTGATCATGAGGTGGTGACGGTGGTGAGGGTTTGACATCTTCTGCTTCAATTTGTTTTGCGTGGAAACTGTTTGCACAAACGGGCATGGAAGTTTTAAAGTGTGAAGCTGTGTCGTCCGTTGGCTCAGACTCGTATCACTATCAGAGATCTAGAATGTATTCCAAGTGACCTTGAAAACCAGGTAATTTAATGTGTTTGCTCATGGTCAATTGTACACAGCTCTCAAGAGTCCGAGCATGGGAAGATGCCACATTACTCATTCAAAATCACAAACCATGTGTAGCCCAACGTCACCTTCTCATGCATACTACCAATGCAGGGGCTGAGAGGGGGGCGCAGTAGAAGGCTTCGTTGCTTCGTCACTATTAGTAAACTTCCTGGGTGAGATGCAAAAGATGATCTGAATACTAGCAATTTGGTATCATACTGTTAAAGGTCAAAAATACACAGTCACCGATCAATCCAGCTACACACCAGTATACCATATGAACCCAGTAATATGACGCATTACTCCTGCTGTGACTTATGCCAAATGCAACGGCGAGAACAGCCAAGATAAGAACGATGCTCTCAAAGGGATCAAAGAGGAATATGAGAGGTTTCCCTATGATCTACCCGAGAATGACGAGAAATCTAGCAGAGAGGTAACTCAGTTACCGTGCCTCCCATAAAGGGGGGGGTAAAACAACTCGGCGCACAGAATGAAGAGGAGGGAAATCTGGATCGAGGATCCAACGGCCACACGACAGTAACGAGTTCGGCGACATCCCCCAACAGAGGCAGAAGAATGAGACCTGCCCATTCCGCGGGGATGTAACTAGAGGCTGGTAACCTGCCTAGGATGTAACCCCATTCCGTTAGCCCATCGATAGAGATAACGAGGGGCAGCATGGTGATAATTACGAGCTGCGAAGAGATAAGATAAAGCGAATCGAAGCAAAAAGGCACGCCAACCAGTGTGTATGGCCAAAAGTCCAATCGCATTCGTCACAGTCAGCTGTGGAGTCTTCTCATCCTCAGCCGAAGTTCCTATGCATCCACGTTTCCATCCTGAACCGGTACGGTTCCTATCGGCCAACCCATAGCGCAGAAAATATTATGAAAGAATATGAAACTGGCTGTGCACCTCCGACAACGAGCCATACCAAAATTACTGTCTTCTCTTGAGAGTAGCCTTAAGAATGATGCTCAGCCTCTCATAGACGAGTTACTTAAATCAGATGAGTCATGTACGATACATATATCCATTGTAATGAATAAAATTAGATGCGCTGTTTTTTTTTACTAAATTGTTGTCAAAGGGTTGACAAGCAATGAATTCATGGTTATGTGAATAAATAACTAAACGATTTATTCGGCAAATGCCCTCGGCTGAACTGTGCCGGTGGTGTTCCCACGCCAAGTTTGTGCAAATACGTTGATTTTTACTACGGGGCTTCAGGCCGGGGATCTGTCCGATTAAAAGTGAAAGGTGTATGGCAAAATCAACTGACCAAATTTCTGGAATTTCCACTAGTCAATACAGTTCGAATTACATATATTCCAATACAGTAGATTACTGAAGTAAATGGGAACAAATGGAAACCCCGCCGAACGCTGCTTCAAGATGGCTAGAGTCAACCCTCGGGGGCAGGAACGCGTGAATTATGCTCTATGACGCAATGAAACAGTCACAAGTACTGGAAACTGGAATTCCCCGTCCGCCGAGGATGAATTGCTGCTGCGTAAGCCTGTTTTAGCAACTATTAGTTCAACAACTCTCTCCTTCCACAAGCCTTGTCCACTCAACACCGTCAATCCTTCATGTCGACTGATACGTCAGGTTGGCCCGCAGCCACGACGATTCCTATGTTTAATGACGCTAAAGTACTTCTAACGTCCCACAGTGTTACATTCGAGAGAAGCCACAGGTTTGGCCAGCATTCCCCCTACCGCCGAACCTCGCAGCAATAGTAGCACCGAATCATATATTCGCACTGCTTCTCCAACCAACGTCGTTGAAAACACTACGACCGGACCCGACAGCCTGTCTATTCTCACTTCTGACCAGGACGCCGAAGACGCTCTCACCAGTGCAAGAGATCACCCGTGCGTCACTTCGCAAGGAACCCGTGCGGTGGTGTCGCTTTTTGTGCCAGCGAAGAAGATTGTGGAGGAGCCTACCAAGATGGACAGTTTGAAGGCAATCGTCTTTGCTTCATGTGAGTTCGCCGCTCATTTCAGTTACCCCGATCCGCCGCGCCCGGCCATCACCCATCTCTGACAATCTGCGTTCATTTTGTTATGTAGGGCTCAACCCTCTTCTCATCTTCGTCCCCATCTCCGTACGTATGACTTCACCGTCAGATCCACCGCTCCAGATTTTATTACCTGACTGATATCGGCTTACCCCAAGTGGGCCCTCAATTTTGCTCTGGACCCCGATAAGTCATCTAATAAGAATACAGTCGTTTTCGTCAGTACGTCTCGCCTCCTTGGGATCTGCACACTCGCAACCTCTGTTGTCACCACCAACATTGGCTAACAAGCGTTTCTTACCTCCACGTTTTAATGACTATTTGGGGATTCGCGTTATATCTCACCGCTCCCGGTTCCTAAATTCCCGTCTTCGGATTGGTTGCCATTACCGCGTGTGGATATGCATCAACAACGTCAACTTCCTGGCGCAACCATTCATCTACCCCGCCTTTTTTTCCATCATCGGCTTGTATGGCCAACCAATCTGAATACCTGTGCAATCAGCTGTTTCCCTAGCGATAATACCTCTCGTTAGGCTCCTCTCTTTCGGGACGGAGCAACTTGCCATACGACTTGGACAAACTCTTGGCGGTCTGTTACATGTCACGCGTAGGTAACTTATTTCGACTTTTTAGATGCGTTAGTCTGACGAGCGTCGGCGGCATATTTGGGCAGTGCGCAATGTTGTCGAGTTGCTTGTTGGTGTAAGTTTTTATTGACCGGACATCCTCGCCCTCTGCATCCAATGTTGATTCCCATACTCAACCTGGCGCATAGACAATCGCCCTTGTGTGAGTTCCTACCGTCCGCACAATCATTGACATGATGATCTTTGCCGTGCGCCGATAGACAAGGCAGATTGAGGGTTGTCCAAAGTTCATGTATGTTTCCCCTCCCAATTCTCCTCTTCTTTTGTTAGACGTGAACTGATCCTTTGGAACCACTAATACAGTGGTAGGCTCGATCCTGTCGAACCTGCTTCTAGTCCTCGGCACGTGCTTCTTCGCGGGCGGCACCCGCTTTGCGGAGCAGGGATTTATGGAGACTGGGGCGCAGCTCAATGTTTCACTTTTGGTTTTAAGTGTCACTGCTATCCTCATTCCTGGTGTGTTGTTTCACGAGCTTTTTTCTCTGTTGACTGGATGATGATACTGATGCTCTGTATTCCATTTGTCCTTTTTTTTGGTGGTCGATGAGTGAATAGCTGTATTCAAGGTAGCAACTACCTGGAACCCCCAACATAGTGATCAAGAGGGCGATGTGCTTCGTGCCAGCCATGGGGTTGCCGTAATCCTTCTCGCTAAGTTAGCAGCTCACACCTTCGTCACCATGAAGTTCAGCCAATTGTAATATTGCAGTTACATTTCGTACTTGATTTTTCAGCTCTGGTCGCACGCGCACCTCTACAATGAGAAGAGCGTGGGCAATGATCGTTCCCCTTCGAAGCAATACCCTCCCAAGAACCGAGCCCGATCTGAGCCAGCGAACAATAAGGTGAAGAAGCATTCAAGAAGGAAGAAGAGTAACGGCACTAGTTTGGACTCCACAGAGGAACTAATGGGGCGATCAAATAGAGTAGAAGGCACCAGCACTGTGGTTCAGGATGGAACCGTGAAGGCAGAAAAGGGTTTAGGAACTTCGGCTGAGGATGAGGAGACTCCACAGTTGACTGTGGCGATCGCGATTGGACTTTTGGTCATGGTGGTTGGCGTGCGTTTTTGCGAACGGCTTTCATCTTCCTCTCTGAGTACAACATCTCTTCGCAGTTCATGAGTTTCACCACTGTGCACCTCGTTACCTCTGTCGATGGGCTAACGAAATCTGGTTACGTCCCCGCGGAATGGGCAGGTCTCATTCTTCTCCCTCTGTTGGGAGATGTCGCCGAACTCGTTACTGCCGTGTCCGGCTCTGTGAAGGATAAGTTGGATATTTCGATTGGTGTGGCCGTTGGATCCTCGATTCAGATTGCCCTCTTCGTCCTTCCGTGCGCCGAGTTGTTTCACCACCACCCCTCCCTTGCGGTAACTGAGTTACCTTTCCGCTAGATTTCTCGTTATTTGGGGGTGGATCATAGAGAAACCTCTCACGTTCCTCTTTGATCCCTTTGAGAGCATCGTTCTTTTCCTGGCTGTTCTCACCGTCGCGTTTGGCATAAGTCACGGTAGGAGTAATTGGTTAGAAGGTGTCATATTACTGGGTTTATATTGTATACTGGTGTGTATTCTCCTTGGTTTGGTGTTGTAGCTGGATTGATCGGTGAATTGTATGTTTAGGCCACGGTATTTTGGTGGTATCCTGGATCGTGACCCAGGCTTGCATCTCATTCCGTTTGATCCATACCTCTTACATTGCATTTTTAACCTTCCGTAACTGTATGATCCCAAATTGCTAATGTTCAGATCATGTTTTGCATGTCACCCAGGAAGTTTCCCAATAGTGACAAGGCAACGGAGCCTTCGGCTGCGCCCCCTGTATTGGCAGTAAGTGTGAGAAGGTGACGTTATATAGCTAATGATGGTTTATGAACAATGTGGCATCACGTGACACCATCTCGAAAAGAGAGGGAAAACGTCTAGTGAGATCGAAAAACAACAATACCACCCCCCATTCCCCCCAAACCGCTTCCCCTTCCCACGCACGATCTCCTAACCATGGATGATCAAGAAAAGTTTGACACAGGAGGGAAAGCAGGGCTCCAAAAGCCAGCTAACCCTGCTAGCTTGAGACAGTCTAGCACGAAGCGAGATATGTACAACACGAACTCGAGCACGCCGCTCCAGCCGCACCAATTGCCACGTCGTGGTACCAAAACTACAGCAAGAGGACAAACAGGCTCAGCCAACAGTAGCCCCTGGGACGAAGCGGCAGCGACTAGTACCCCAGAAATGCAACTACTCCGCGACAAATTCGCTGAACACCCTTATCCGATTGCGCCAGTCTCCGATCAACTGGATGTTACCAGCATCCCGATGTCATGGCCCAGCACCCCAGACATGGAACGACACGCTGTACCAATGGAAGACAGCACACACACCACAGATCCTCAACACTCCTCAGAAGCCGAACACCAAGAACGGTCCGACTCGGAGAACGAAGAGATGTGGATGGAAGACCCGACCCCCGAGGATGAGGAACACAACAGGAACTGGAAGCTTTTGGAAGAAGCGTCCACGAGTATGAACGAGGTTACGGAGAGACTATCACTTGTCGGCCTTGCAGGCCTGTGGGAACAACTCCTCCCGACATACTCCCATTGGTTCGCAGGACTGCCCAAAGCCACATACAAAAGCCATGGTGAGAAGATGGTGGGAAAAGACCTAGAAAGCCGTCTGGCGGAGGCAGAAGCTAATGTCTCCAACCTCGCTTCAACTAACGCTTACCTATCCAATTGCTTGAAATCCTTAGAATCCAAGGTGTCCACGGCCCAAACCCAACCTCTGCCAGAGAGGGACCCGGATACCGTAGCGAAACCAATGGTGGCCCCGACCGAGTCTTGGGCGAGCGTAGCAGCAAAGAATCCACCGAAACCGCAACCCAGACAGGCAACAGCAAAGAAACAGATAGTGAAACCGCCAGACCAAGCCCACGAAACAGCCACACAGGGAACGGAACACAAACAGATGGCAGACCCCCACTGCCTAATCATCCGCATCAACCCTCCCCTGAAACCAGACCAACGCCCAAATGGCATCGAGATCTGTAAGAAGATCAATGACATGCTAGAGAAAAAGAATCTCCTGCACTACCTCAGGGTGATGGCAGTGGGATACTCGGTAGCAGGGAACATTAAGGTTACGATGGCCCCAACCTGCAAGGCGTCCGACCTACAGGACTACGGGAACGACATTGCGGCCACCATCACAGACAATGAGGTTCTCTCAACCCTACCAGACATGGAACACTACCGCGTGAAAATCAATAAAATACCCACCCACTGCGGCAATGACCCACTCCCGATCAACATGATCCATGAAGAGCTAATGACGTATTGCCCACCTTACGGGGAACTGAAGCAGTGGTGCCCACCCAAATGGCTGGGCTCAGATGCCACCATTTACGCTAAGAATTTTGCATCCATTGTACTGGACTTGACTAACAAAAAAGACAGAGATACACTCTTCCAACTCAGGACAGTGTACTTATTTAACTACAGATGCACCATTACACCGTATGAAGATCGTGCTCAAGTCTTCGCATGCAGCAAATGCGGCATGTACTCCCACCGCACGGCCAACTGCGCACAGCCACGGTGCTTAAAGTGCGGGGCAAAGGACCACAACACTGATGACCACCAAGCAGATGTGCAACCTCGCTGCATAAATTGCAAAGAGGCACATGTAAGCGCCTTCAAAGAATGTAAGATCAGGAGAAACAAAATGGGCCTCAAACCCATCCCGAAGAAGACTGCGCAGCCACCTAGCAACCCCCAGCCACAAACTGCACAGCCGAAGGCTGGCAACAAAAAGAGAAACAAAGGCAAAGGGAAGGAAGAGGCAACCAATCAATCAGAGGTAGCAAGCGTAGACATTGGCCTATCGGGCGACAATGTAAGCCGCATCCTAGAACAGAACCGGTCTCCGGAAGCCCAAAGGGCATCCACTGCTAAGCTTGTCCACACACGGTCAAAGACAAAAATTGTCAAACAGACCAATCAACCCAACCTGTCAACCGCGGAAAGTGGGGAAAAAATGGACATTGAAATGACAAGCCCTCACCTCACCTCCCCCCAATGAAGTGCACACCCAAAATAGCAGCCCAACTCTCGATATGCAGCTTGAACGTGAATCGGTCCAATGCGGCGACACAAGCGGCAATGCATATCATTTCCAAACGAAAGAACCCAAAGCCAGACATATTACTCATACAAGAACCGTGGTGGGAGAAGATCAACAGCACATACGCATCAGCCACCCTAAAGGGGTGGCAAGCAATCCTCCCCAAACTACCTATCGCTGAAGGCGAACGACCAAGATGCATGGCCTACACCCGCCAGAATGCACAAATAGAGCTGACACTAAGGAACGACTTTGTCAGGGCTCGGTCCTCAATCAGGGACAGCCCGACCTCGGTCCTAGGTGTGTGTGGTGTTCCGGGTGCTTGGGCGCTAGACCCCGTCCTCAGCTCCTCAAACTCACTGAAGGGACTAAGCGGGGATTGAGTTGTCATGTATTACAGAGGGTAACTACAACTTGCCTAAGCGGGGATTGAGTTGAGAAGAAGGGTAAGTTTCCCTATTCCCCGCTTGGCTACTATAAAAGGAAGTGTACTGTACAGTTCGTAACGTGATTCCGGGTAGAAGCCGAGCATGTTCCCGCGACTCGGAAAAGGTGTCACATGGGTTAAGGCGAGTTGCTCGCCTTAACCCACGTGACTTTTCCCGCGGGCTCACATGCGGGTTGAAGTTGTGAGAGGTATGTAGGGATGGGGAGGTCTGGGAAGGTGGTTCTGGGGTGTGGTTGGGTGCCCTGACAGCGGGGTCAGGGGCCGATCCCTGACAGACTTAGCATCAGATCTAGACTTCATGATCTTGGAAGTCAAAAGAGAAGGAGCGGTGCATGCGCCGATCAGACTAATTAATATCTATAATCAGAAAACCCTCACCGACCCCCAAAGCAGGGAATACACAGCGGACAGACTGGTTAACACCAGGCTGGATGTGGATGTCCCAACGGTCATAACAGGCGACTGGAACATGCGACATCCAACCTGGGATGATCAGGTCGAAGCCCCGTGCAACCGCACAACAGAGACCCTAGAATGGCTCGAAGGGAAAACATTTTCCATCTGTAACGAACCCTTCATCCCAACCCAGGAGGACAACATGGGACACTCATCGGTTATTGACTTAACCTTTGCCAATGCAGCAGCACTTGGAGCAGGCGTCCTAACGGGACACCACGTAGATATGGAAATCGGCAGTCTGTCGGACCACCATGCCCTCTCCTTCCAGCTAGGCTCCCCCAGGGAAGAAGTAGACAACCTGTGTGAGGAAAAACTCAACTGGAAACATGCGTCGGAGGACAAATTTACAGAGGCCCTGAAAGCGACCATTGAAAACAACAAACTGGCCCACGACAATTTGGTGTACAAACTCCTCAATGAACACCGCATTACAGCTACTTCAGAAGAACTCGACAAAGCAACAGAAACCTTGCACAGGTACCTAGAAAAAGCAGCAAACGACTCAGTTCCAGTGAGACGGCCAAGTAAAGCAGCGAAACCATGGTGGACAGAAGACCTTTCAAAAGCATATCGGGAACTCCGCAAAGCCAAGGAAATGCTGAAAGACTGGACCAGAGATTTGCACCGACCCTCAACATTCCTGGCAGGCCGCGTAAAAGACCTCAAGAGGGAGGTCCTCATGCGCATCAGAAAGGCCAAACGGGAATACTTCCGCAACATCACGGAAAAGGCAAACCCACACAACCTCTGGGACATAAGGAAGTGGACCAAATGCCACAGGACTTATATATCGCCACCTATAAAGCGCAGTGACAACCTAGAGCCAGCCATTAGCCATATAGACAAGTGCCAAACCTTACGGGAGAACCTCCTCCCAGAACTCCCGAGTGTCAGGGCACACCCGCCTGACCCGGTTCCACCCGGGCCCACCTGGGCCCACCTCACCCGCTCACCCGCTCACCCGCTCACCCGCTCCCCGCTACCCATCCTTCCTCCCTCTTCCCCTTTCCTCCCTCTTCCCCTTTCCTCCCTCTTCCCTCTTTTCTCTTCCTCCTTTATTTCACTCTCCCTTTCTGTTTATTCTTTCTATTTACACGGACCACCTTCCCTTGTATCATTGTACTGTTGACCCGTCCGGCTCGGACACCCCGGGCGACCTCCCGCTACGCCCAGCACGCACGGGCGCCCTCGGGATCCCCCGCGGGGATACCTGGATGGCTGCAGCCCTCTCCGCAGATGACGTGGCACCCGTCACGTGACCCAAGCCGCATGTACATAAATGTACCTGAAGTGGGAACTGAAGAAGTAACCTTCTTCTCACGTTTTCCACTTCAGGTAAGTAGTGTAGTTCTTCCTTTTAATAACAATTCACATTTTCCACTTCAGTCTAAGTGGCCAGGGACTATAGTCCCAGATCGGGCCCATCAGTATGCGCGCCCGCTTCGTCCCCCGAGAGGGTCCCTCTGCCGGGCGCTACAGCCGGGCCCCCTCCACCCCGGACGCGTCCCTGACACCGAGACTCGCCAACTCTCCGCCAATTTCTCTAGACCCATGCAACGATGACATAGAATATGTCAGCGTAACGAAACGTGAAGTCCGAGATGCCATTTTCACAGCTGCTCAACTGAATGCCCCAGGGATCTCCGGACTTACGGGGCGTGCTTGGCAGTGGGCATGGAAGACCCTTGGGGACGAGATATTCCACCTCCTCAGGCTATGTGCAGACTCAGGCTACCACCCGAAATTATGGCGCACATCCATCGCAGTGGCCTTGCAGAAACCAAACAGGGACTACTCCCTCCCCAGATCATATCGATTGATTCAACTACTAGAAGTCTCAGGGAAAGCTCTTGAACGGATCCAAGCCCGTAGGCTAGCTTACTTGGCAGCAAGACACTGCCTATTCCCCAGCACGCAGTATGGCGGAATTCCTGGCAAGTCAGCCCAAGATGCCCTCCTTACCATCGTGCACGACATCGAGGCAGCATGGAACCACAAGAGGGTAGTCTCCATGCTCACCTTTGACATCACCGGCTTTTTCGACAATATCCCCCACTCTCACCTAATTAGCACGCTAAGAGCCTACCACATCCCGCTCCCCACAGTAAAATGGGTCCTCAGTTTCCTCAAGGACAGAGAAGCGGCAATCTGCCTAGATGGAAAACGAGATCAACTAAGGCCCATTTTCACTGGCGTCCCACAAGGCTCATGTGTCTCTCCTATTCTGGCAGCATACTTCACGTCCCCGCTGGCGAAAGCCATGGAAGGAGTCCAAACCAGGATTGCACAGAACACAGAGCTAAGCACGAAATTTAACAACGGCCTAATTTCCCCCATGCCCCTCACTCTCTATGTAGACGACGGATCCATATCAGCATCAGCGCCATCCAGAGAAGAATCCACTGAAGTCATTAAGGCCGCTTTCCAGATAGTCCACGAGTGGCTCAGGGAAAGAGGCCTGAAGACCGATCCAGTTAAAAACGAACTCATGCACTTCACCCAAACCAGAACAGGCAGAAACGCCGGGCCCGGCCCATCCATCACCATCCCCTCACACATAAACGACGCCGATAAAACAGTCAACCCATCCAGCCTGATGAGATATCTAGGCATATGGTTCGACCTGCAACTCAAGTTCACGGAGCACATCAAGAGGATCACCTCCAAAGCGGCATCCGCGGCCCAAGCCCTTCGTATGCTGGGCAACTCAGAGAGAGGTCTCCACCAGACCCATGTCCGGCGCCTCTACCTGGGAGCGATACTGCCTATCGCACTTTACGGTCTACCAATATATTGGCGCAAAAAATCTAAAATGATCATTAAACATCTTTCTATACTACAGAACAAATGCTTGCGCATGATTACAGGAGCATTTCGTACAACCAACACACAGGCAATGGAAATCAAAGCATTGATCCCACCTATCGACTTACTCCTCGAATACCGACTAAAGATGGAGGCAACACACCTGGCCCGACTCCCAGATGACCACCCAGTCACCAACCGCCTCTACCCGTGGCAGAGAAGATTAACAACACCATTCACCGTACCACCACTACCGGTATTCAACCCCCACAGAAGATATCGAATAGACCCAAGGGACACCTTTTCAACGTGCATCACTCGCATCGCGGACCATATAATCCACGGCACAGAGAGGATCCGCCCACACAGCGAAGCCCCATGGCATATCTCGGAATTCGATATCGAAGACCGTATCCAGATTTACCTACCAGAGAACGTCGCAGGCGAATCCGCCAAAGAGACATGGACAGACGACCACCTGGAATTCATGACGGAACACGAGGACAACCCAGATTTCCTCTTCGTGTACTCCGACGGATCCAAGTTCACAGAAGAAGGGCAGAGATACACGGGATTTGGAGTAGTGGGCTACTCAGCAGGAGAAACAGTATTCGAGAGGAATGGTTCTATGGGCGGCTACGTAGAAGCCTTCGACACAGAAATGATGGCGCTGAGGACAGCGGCGGAAGAGACACGTCGCTTCATCGAAAACGACCTGAACACCCACAAGCCGTCAAACATAGTATTTTACTCAGACAACACGAGCGCGATCGGCCGCATCTTCCAAGGGAAACCCGGAAAAGCCCAAGAGCACACCCGGACCTTTAGGAAGACAGTGTGCAGGCTCTTGGACGACAGAGACGACCTCAAGGTCGCGATAAGCTGGTGCCCCGGCCACAGTGGTATCAAGGGCAACGAACGCGCAGACGAGCTGGCCAAAGAGGGAGCTCGCCTCAGCCCGGACAGACCCCGCTACCACTCGTTGTCCTTTGTAGAAAGCTTGCATAAACAGGAGATGGAAGAAGATTGGAAGGAACGCTGGGCAAGCACGCCCACCCCGATCCGATCAGGATTCCACACAGCAAACCAGATCCCCCCATCGATCAAACCCACCACCAGGTTCAAATCGCTGGACCGAAAAACCTTCAGCAGGCTGGTCCAGTTCCGCACCGGCCACGCACACCTGGGCGAATACTACCACCGGTTCGGTATTCACACAGAGAGTAGAGAGTGCACATGTGGAGCAGCTAACCAGACGAGAGAGCACATCCTTCAGGTATGCCCACAGTTTAAGAAACATAGACACGTACTGGGCCGGGGCCGTCAGAACAGGTTTTCGACCCTCATGGGGAAGCCCAAAGGCATTCTTAGACTAGCAGACTTCATCAAGAAGTCGCGGGCCATCGACAAAAAGAACGGACAGAGAATGACTCCGAACGGGGGAACAGGAAACAGGAGTACCCAACCAGTAACCCCCCGTAGGGAGAGAGGAGTGACATAGACATCACTACACCCCCACGCATACCCAGATAAGACTTAAACCCAGACATCACAACCCAGAGGACCCCGTCACCCCGACCACACCAACCAGACAACCCTACCTTGTATTGACGAGCCCCTCATGTACATTCAGATGTAATTATTAGTCGGGCTAGCCGCACTGCCACGTACAAACGCGGCCGCGGGGTAACAAAATAGAGTACAACAACAACAACAACAATGTGGCATCTTCCCATAAGTAGTCGGATTCTTGAGATCAGTTGTGTGCAGTTGACCATCACACTGTTTCTGCCATCGATGACAATGTCACTGAATTACCTTGCTTTCAAAAGTCGCTTGTTTATCCGGCACGATTCCTTTCCTTCCTGACTTTTCGCCGGTAGATCCGTCCGGAAAGGCGCCCGATGTTATCAAGCAACGTTGCGACCGGTTTTTGGTCAATAGTTGATGGTCAGACCCCAAGCTAGAGTCTTTACGAAGGGGGTTAAGATTGAAGGAATGAATAGGCCGTCACGCTGATAGGAACCGCTGGTACGGTGAGCTGCGGCCGCCCACCAGGAAAGAAGCATGTTTTTGGGCCGGCATTTCATACCAGTGAGGTTTGATACCTCAAAAGAAATCAAATCCGTTAAATGAGGGGTTGTTGAAGTTATACTCCATTTGCCAGCCTCATTTCAACATCGTGAGGAGATCACAAAACCAGAACAAAAAATGAGTCGGGCATACTTGCTGGAATTATGGGGTGAAAACCACTCAAAGGTGATCGACTATCAGCGAAAACATACCCAGAACGTAAGTAATGAGAAAAGCACGACATGATCAAATAGTTTATGCTGTAAGAGACAAAAAGGGGCTCGATCAATCACAAAGAGAAAAACAGTCTGCTTCATGCATACACGACAAATTCTTGCAGCGATCACAATTCCTGAGCCTTGAGAGGCAGCGATATCCCATGCTTTGCCATCTCGACTTCTTCCGTCTCTTCCTTCTGTATCTCCTCTCGCATGTGTTCTACGTCCTTGTCGACTTTCCCTGGTCCCGCTTTGTCGATGACAGCCTCAGAGAGGGAACGGTGTTGTGCCGAAGCGCGCGGTTGGAGGTGTGCGGTGCGCCTGGCAGGACGACGAAGTCGTCGTCGGGCAACCATCACGGGGACAGACGATTTCTAGATTAGAGGGCCAGACTCCGTCAGCATATGGAAGCGCTGGTTGATGACAGTGATGCTTACTTGGATGAGGTAGTGGGATGTTGAACCAAGTAAAACACTGGATAACAAGGCTTAGATTGCGTAAACCATTTTCACTCGCTACACCCACCCTTTCAATTGACCCAATCCTCGACTCCCAACAATCACCATAGAGGGTTCCGTATAATCAATCAGATCCGTAAGTAAATGACGAGCATTCCTCGCGTGCAAAGCCTGACAAATAACTGTGCACTGCAATTTGGTGCGTTGCAGAAGGCCAGTGGCTTGGCGGGCAAGGAGGTATGCCAAGGCTTGGCGCTAGGGAGCAATTGAGAAGGCCGGACAAGTCTTGAGTCAAAAGCGGGCATCCGTACCTCTTGCTGATTTCTCAGCTTGGCCACGCGGTCGGTGGAAGGTGCGTTGTTTTCTGGATCCACTGCAGACATATGTCAATAAATTTAAGATGAACGAGAATGACTAGCCCCACATTTATTCTCAGTTTCTTGCACTGACACCAAGATCCTGTAGGGCGCATTGAGTTAGCTCTCTTAATCCCCCCCATAGAATAATAAGAGTGGGAGTTACATATAATCTCCATCCCTCAACACGGTCCCTATCCCCCATTCAACAGCATAAGAACTCTCTATGCTAAGATCGCTTGCGACAACGTATCTTCTGGGTTCCCTCTTCCTTCCAAACGACTCCTGCTCTGCGAGCCAGCCCGCTGGATCCCCATGGGTCAGCACGACCGTGCATCTATCACGTTGAAACGTCGGCCTGGAAGTGTGCAATTCCAGTCTGTCCAACTTATTTGTTTTCTTCCTCTTAGGTGTATTTCGCTGTGGAGAATCAGCACCAACTGGTTCTTTCCCTGAAGTTGAAGCCGTAGAACGTGAACCGCGCCCTCTTGGGGTTCCCATAAGGGTTTGAGCAAATAAAGGTTCATGGGGACGGACAACGTTAACACCCTCGCCTAATGGGTCGGGCGAGTCGTCTACATCGTCGTTTGCCCGGCACGGGTTCCCGTTTGCGTCAAGTGAGAGTAACGCATTTCTCTCCGTGTTGCGCTCAGTTAGGATGTCAAACGAACGCGCCGAACTGGCATCAGTCGTGATTCCGGTTTCGGTGTTCTTCTCTCGATCCGATATAGTGGAGCCTTGTTCGGTCAATTCATCGTCATCAGAATCGGAGCTATTGCCGGACGAGTACTCGTCGTCTGTGCCACTACGGGAGAAGGAAGATCGTCGAACACCAAAAGTTTTGCGAGAGGATTTTGTCGTGACAGAGGAATCTTCCGCTTCAGAGAGCTCAGCATCGGATTGAGACATGCGTAGCGCCTCAACTGCTGGAGAGGGGTCACGATTTGAGAGGCGCCGTCGAAATGGAGAAGAGGAGCGTGCGCGCGATCGAAAGCTTCTTGGTTCATCTTCATCTTTATCTTTGCCATCTTTCGGTCGGCTGGAGCTGGATGAACGACGCTGCCTTCCCCCAAAGAACGTAGATTTCTCCCTAATCCTAGTCTCTTGCTCTTTGTCATCTTCATTCGCAATAGACTTCTCACGGGTGAGAGAAAGGCTGGAGAACATATTGCCTAGTGATTTCTTGGTAAAAGATGATGGTGGTGATGAGGACGGATTGTTCCCGGTTATCCGCCGTGCCGTTGTGGTGCCGTCTATGTTTCCGCGGGCAACGGCACCAAGGATGAGTTCGGATGCCTGTGCATCGAGTCCCGCGTCGATCGGCGTCAGCGGTTTCGATCTTACGACGGGTGACGACAAGGATGAAGGGTAGAGGTTGAGCGATGACACGCGACTTAGTCGCCATCCATTAGCTGGTGGGGCGCCTTCAGCACCACGAGAGCCATCTTGGGCGTCATTTGGGCGGGAGCGAAAAGCCCAATCGTTGAGACGACCCACAACACCACTGGAGCTGGAAGGGCGCTTCCTCTGCCCATTCATGGTGTGCTGTATGCAACAACTTACCTCTGCCCCAGAGACAATCTGGGAGCAGTGAAGAAGATGCAGGCGGAAGAAAGGGGCGGTAAGCCAGATGAAGGAAGACGGAGATTATGAGTGAGTACACACATATTCCACAGCCTTTGAGTAGCTATCCCCTGAACGCTAGTTTGAATCAAGAAAGTGAATCAGCCAAGACAACGAGACGCGATCAGGCGCGGAGGGCGACTGAAATAGCACTGCCTACCGAACGCCGGACATGAGCAACTCCGGCGCAACTCGGTCCTCACCTCCAAAGCTGTTCTCGCACGTTGAGGACTTATCTTGAGTTCAGTAACGAGAGCAAGAACGTCGTCTTGGCTGTTCATGCGATCCCTCTTGTGATGACCGATTCACCGAATTGATTGCACGTGGGAATCGCCGAAAGTCCATCCTTGAATTCACTTTATGCGTTTCCTGAGGAAAGAACGACTTTTTTCTTCCGCGTCAGTGCCCCTAGCTCGCCGCTTGTTCCTAGTATGCATGCAAACATGAGGACACCACGAGCTTCATGGGCCACTTATTCCCGTAATCGTCATCTATGACACCGGCGTAGTGGATATCTACAGGGATGGCCTCTTTTCCTCTGCTTCTTTTGGATACATTGATTCCACAATCACACAAGGCAATCCAGAAGTGGTATGTAGTGTCATCCATCACAATGTCCGTATCCTTGCTCGGGGTCATCTTTTGATGTTGGCCCTGAAAATGGGCTTGTTGGTACCAAACGTCCTGAAAATATCGCTGATTCCTTACTTGAATCGTCGGCATCCCAGACGCCGCTTAAGATTGCTTTGTTAGGCTAGTCAATGCCAGGAGCCGAAAGTTAGTGCCACCGCCGATGATTGGAATGCTGCTTGACGGTGGGGAGTCATCTGGATAATCATAGCCCCGCATTATTCTTTCTCCGTGCCAGCTGTATGTAAACATCACTCCGTGGACTGCCTCTATCGTAGGTAATGTAGCCGAAGGATAGTACAATGCTCTTCGTTATCCATTCCCAAGTTGATCACATCGTTTGGTGTGTGATACGTTAGGTCTCAGGAATACCAATAATCCAGAGGGCACGTATGAGAGCGCTGACTCGGATATTCACATCAATACGGCCCGCGCAATATCTATGTTGTGCAGATGTGATGGTATCACTGTCGTGATTGCAGATATCTACAGGCCCGCAGAAGCCTTCTCTGATGTTTGCAGGGTTCTGTACACACTGTTAACTTTTTTGCGATTGATTGTCCGCGTCCAACTGCTGCAGACGGACTGAAACTACTGCTAGGGGACGCAAAATGCGAAGTTTTGAGAGCGCGAGTGAATTGGGGATGTTCCTCGCATCTGCTTTAATTAGGCGTTGAATAATTAGAAAGGTCCTCATCTGAAGTGGTGAAGAACCACTTTCGGCGGAGATGGTAAACGCCCATCACCCTCTCCAGATGCTCAACAGCAAGAAACATCGAGTCATTGGGGATACAAGAGATTCAACGATGGGTTGAAACGGGCAAAGTGTATCCAGGTCGACTTCATTAATTTCGGTACCCCCGCCGATGAGTCATTGCGCAAAGTTCATAATCTGCCACCTTCAAAACCCAGAAACGTATCCTTGAGTCCTCCGCCATGTTTCCGCATACTCTTCTTCCGCCTTCACGTCGTCGCCGCGGTCAGATCCTCTCATAGTGGGTTTAGCGGTCACTCGTTCCACCGCATGTGCAGGCTTCGGAGGAGTGAACGAGAACCCGGAAGCGCGTATTTGCGTGATGCCGAAGTTCAACGCTGCAGGGAGATAGGAGGCCATGTAGCCCACACCACCTCCTAGGAGGGCTGCAACCCCGAAGAATACGTATCTGGTCAGGTAACAATATTAATATTTAGGGTGGAATCTGGGTAAACCGATAGACATACAGCGGATATATTGCTTCCGTGACAAACCAAGAGATGATGGAGAAAGTGGTTCGAATAAAGAGGATATAGACAATCTCGAGAAGAAGAGTCACCGGTCGGAGGACTGACCATACCATGGCCAGGGGGAGCCTCAGAGGACGGAACACGGCTGCATGCACAATATTAAGTGCATATATGGAGATGCGCTGGAGGAACCTGAAACCCCCCTTGACAGCTGAGATCACAAAGGGGACAATGTATGTAATGGGAGCCGGAGTTGGAGGCTGGACCACTGCTGCGACCGGTACTGCATGAGGCAGATGTGTGGAATATTGTTGCTGGCCGGGCTCTGGATGTTGAGGTGATCCAATCATATGAGAGGGTTCAGAAGCAGGAGAGATGACCGTCGATGGCACTGAAGTAGCATTTTGGTACGTGGCTATTGCAGGCCCATGGCGCCCAGTGTAATACGGCACAATGACACCCAGAGCAACAACCACAAGGGCGAAAAGGAACGTTTCCGACCGAATGACACTGGGGGCTACCCTTCCTGAACGGCGTGTATTTGTGTCAACCATCACTGAACCAGGTGTCCGCGATGGTATGGAGATGGACAACCTGCAGGGTGTCGGAAATGGGCATCCGATTTCGTTGAGCGGCAAATCCCCGGTAGATTCCCGCGGGTGTAATCAGAAATGGTCATGTCATGAGTGCGTCCACAAAAGGCTCTCGAGAATCACTCTCTGTAAAGGTAATATGGTTTGGGTTTCATTCGGACGAAGAAGGACGAGTGTTCTCAGATCGGACTTATCTGTTCTTTTTACTTTATTTGCGTGTATTTTTCTCGAGACCCCTGCCCTTGGCGCTCGTGTGAGCAGCCTGAAGCTCTGCAGGTTAAATATCCAGAATAAAACAAACAAACAAACAAACAAGCTGGCAGTGGAAACCCTCCTAGGGAAGAATTGCACTTGGCACTCAATATTGTGTGGCTGTACCCGCAAGACGCTTCTTTGCACGTTCGCATGCACTCGGATAGGGGGTGCGGTCAGCACCTATATATGTAGCATCACTTATTTTATTTCCAGCAACTCCCGTACCTCATGGCTGTGGTTCGCGAGCGGCTGTCCCAGTCACTGGGAGGGTTGAAGTACTTTTTTATGAGCAGCTGGACCACGCAAACCTTGCTTGCGTTGGCAACCATTCCAATTGTGGGATCCGCATATGGTGAACGAAACCTATTCTTGGGTCCGCCTGGTTTCTCTGAGCCTGCATTAGCCCCATCTCTTGCACCATCAGCCTATACAGCAGGCCCTATTAAGAGTGTCTGGAAAGAAGGGTACTATAATAACCCTACAGGCACTGCTGAACAGCCCCAGCCCCGCGTCACGGACCCTGTAAGGTAAGGATGCTCAGCTTACTCATTTCCGTCCCTTACAGCCCCTTGCAGCGGTCGTTTATTCGACCAAAACCTATCTTCTCCAGTGTTCTACCCTAGAAACAACACACAAGACCCAGCCGTTTTCCCGCCAACCCCACCCGCGGATCAATTATACACGCTGTTCTTGAATCAGCTTACAGAAATAATAGAAACACCATCATTCGGTGGAGGATGTGGCAGTTGCTTGGCGGCTTTTCAGGGTGAGCATGTATTAGCGAGCCCATGACCCGTTATTAAACATTCGATGACCAGTTGGACAGGTCATTGCCCTGACAAACCCCCATCTAGTCACTGATCTCCTGGTATCCTTGTGTGAGAAGTATCAGTATCAAGTGTGTGATCTGTATTAACAAGATGAGATGTTAAACTCATGAAGAACCAAGACGGACTGTCGTGAGCGGTATTATCCCTCGCGGTTCGGAGCTATCATAACCCAAGTCCTCGCTAACGCAAATTTAAGTGGTTATGGTGGCCAGGTGCGTAAGCTGTCGTTTAGCATAGTTGGTCATGATTCTGACGTTCGTCGAGAAGATCATTTGTTCCCAGTTCTTTCTGAATACTTGCTCCCACCCGCCTCCGCCAACTCTTAACTTATCCTCTTGGTTTTCTAAGCCGAAACCCTTGGATGCTGCCGCACCCATCCCTTCCACTGGTGGCAAAAAACTGAAAATCCTCCATATATCCGACCTCCACCTTGACGTCCGTAGGTCTCATTATTGATGGTGTTGGGTAGAGCGCTCATTTTGATCAGGATATGCCACCGGCTCAGAAGCTCAGTGTGCTTCAGGCTTGTGTTGTAGGCTAGAAGTCGACCCAACAAAAATTCCTGAAAAGCCCATATTCCCGGCGCCACGATACGGGGCGTTTGAATGGTAATCCTGGGTCCCCTTGCTGCAGCACCATTGGTTGTGAGAGGCTGACTGATACAACTAGTGACACGCCCCTGTCCTTGGCATTAGCCGCACTAGAGTCTATACCAGTTTTGACGGACACAAAGGAAGGAGGATTTGACTTTAGTATCTACACAGGAGATCTTGTCTCACACGATGAAATCGCCGAACAGAGTCGTGATTACACTCACTTATCAGAGGTATCTCAAGCTCGGCAGGCCATTGAACATGTGTCCTGATCTGCCTTGATAAGGTCCTTGTGTATGAGCTTCTCCGGCAGCAACTCAACTCTGGGCCAATCTACGTGGCTGTGGGCAATCACGACAGTTCCCCAACTGATCAAGTCGGTCCTACAAAGGCGTCAGACTACCTGAACACACTAGACAAGGGACTCGCGGAGCAATTCAACTATCATTATGAATATCTTTCGAAACTCTGGAGCCACGAGGGGTGGCTGAATGATGCCGCGAGTCAATTGGTGAGGACCCATTATGGAGGCTACAGCGTTCAACGCGGTGGGCTTCGAATTATCACGTTTAACACTGATTATTGTAAGTCCGCCCCCTTACTAGGGTGAGTCACCCTAATGTATGGAATCTGTAGGGTATTTCCTGCATGTCGCTGTCTTTGAATGTTGTGCGGCTCATCTCGAGTGAGACAGGTACCCACCAAACTATTATAACTACATCAACCCTGAATCGAGTGATTCAGGGGGGGCGTTGCGTTTCCTCACGGATGAGCTACAAGCTGCGGAGGATACTGGCCAAAGAGGTATGACCTCTGCGAGTTCAGGGCTTTTGCGATCTTATCAAGTTGATCAGCTTGGATCATTGGGCATGTGCCTTCTGGATGGGACGGGACGAATACCATGCATGCGTCGTCTAATCTATGTATGTTTCTTCTCCCTTCATGCTCGGGCACTCTCGTTCATGCTTTATCCGGTCTAGTTTACCAGATGTGAGGCCCCTGATTCGACATCTGTATGGTCGTACATCTAACCAATACGTCTTTACATACGGCTCAGAGTCGACCGATTTTCCCCTCATGTCATCGCGGGTACGCCAGTTCCTATTGCTTTTCATGGCTTGATGTGTTTAATGTTTAACAATTTATCTAGGTATTTTCTATGGACATACACATGAAGATCAGTTCATGGTTTATTACGCGAACAATGGTTCTGTCATCTCTGGCGAGCATGCGTTGGCGGCTGCATGGGTAAGCTCTTATCGCTCCGAGTCACGACCGTTTGTCTAATTTCTAATCCTCTAAACTAGATGGTTCCAAGCCTTACGCCATTGGGTAACCTGAACAGTGGGTTCCGAATGTACGAAGTTGATGCGGAGGTGGGTGTAGATCGTTGATACCCTTGGTTATGGGTTGATAAATTTGCATAGACTTATGAGATTATTGATGCCCACACGTATGTCGTTCCTTTTTTTGATGGATTCTCATTAAAGTGATCCATCCACTGAACATTCAATGCCTTAGATGGTATTCGAACGTCTCTTCGTACCCAGGACTTGATTCTCAGGCTGAACATGGTCCAACGTATACGTACGAATATTCGGCGCGCGAAGTGTACGGAAAAAATATTTCGTGGCCCGGTAGTGCTCCGCTAAACGCGACTTGGTGAGCAACCATGGCAGCAAATAAACAACCATACTGAGAATCCAATTGCGATGCTTTTAGGTGGCATAGAGTCACAGAACAAATGGAAGCCAACCCAGATCTTGTAGAGGTCAGATTTCTCCTGCGTCCATCTCCACGTTCGATGTTTTAAGCGGCGCTGATACCAAAAACAGACCTTTACGACCTATCAGGGCAAACGAAGTGTCCGGACGCCTTCGTGCGTCTCCAAGGAATGCGTTGCCGCCAAAATTGTATGCCAGTATCCAAATCTATTGACACGCAGAAATTGATGTCCTGCTGATTCACAGTGTTACATGCGAAGTGGGAGCGCTCCAATAGCGCGTCAGAACTGTATTCCGGGATACGGTTCCGTTCAACATGGTTAGGAATTTGATGGGCTGCAATCGACTCGCAATTATTTGTTTTTCGTCCTTTTCATGCCGAAGACCGTTGAACGTGTGTTTACAGTGTTCGAATTGCTCAAAACGATTCACCCGTCCATCCCTCTACGATTGATGCGTATTGAAATAGCATAGGGTTGTATTCTCACTGGGCTCATAACGGCCCTCAGATTGCAGAAAAGATTAAATGAATAGCCAAGTCCCCATCCTCCAAACGCGCCAGTAGCAAGCATTGGCCATACACCGTTTGCCGAGTGAGTATGGGCGGACCGAGAACGGAAAATGGTCGAAACGGGCGCTGCCCGTTAATTCAGAAACCGCTTGACTTGAGTCCACTGACTGCGTACACATGCTGTTAGATGAATTGGCGGCACTGCCGGTGATAGACGTTAGCGAACGTTGTGACTCATAAGAAAGCAACTGCACCCAAACGCGGCAACCGGGTTCGCCGAAAATCGTGCACGCTTTGCGTTGCCAGAACAAGATTTTCAGAGCATGGTCGATCTGAAATCACCAGATCATATTACAGCAAGCGACAGAAAAAACCGCACACCTAATTTGGATGAATACTATTCAATATAATTCTGAATATATTGGAAACAGCTGATTGACAATGTAGGAAAATAATGAGTGCTAATCACCCTGTCCCAATGGCACACTCTATTAGGATGTTAGCGATTTACGCTCAGTCAATCGTTGTTGAACTAATAGATTAGAACTAATTACCTAGCGTAAAATGCTAGGGCATATGAAGATACATGAGTGACAACACAAACATGTGGTAAAAGCGTAGTCTCACCTCAGTCAATTGTTGTTGAACTGAGGGAGACGAAAGTGAAAAATTGTTCACTGCTTTTATAAGCAGTTGCCTCAATGGTGCACTGACTTTGGTAGCAGGAATACCAAGAAAGGAAATGAAGCGCTGCTAGCCCAACGTCACATTGTGAGTTGGCCACAGCGCACAAGAAAACCAAGATTTCAACACACTCTTGACCATGTTCACCCGTAACAATGGGAAAACACCTCAAACCACCCGAGGATCCCCTTGCTGAAACCCGTGGCCGAGTGTTACATGCAAAACAAGCTAGGTTCCTTAGGACCCCAGTTACGGGCGCCAAAATGGAGATTGTATTGGCACCCTGATTTACTGCCATTTTGGATCATCACGAGACCCGCCTGGGTCATTCATCCAAATTAGGTGTGCGGTTTTTTCTGTCGCTTGCTGTAATAGCGAAGAACGTGTCATATTCATCATCCTGCAGAAATCGTGCCTCTCAATGGCCTGATGATGTTAAGAGGCCTTTGTATGGCGTGCACAGATCCAGTGTGGTAGAATGTACAACAGTGATTATTATTTATCCTTGGGGGCCAACATTGCCTCAAGTTGCTTGGGAATGGATTGTCAGCTAAAAGCATTCTAAATAATTTAGTCGATTTCACACCTCAACTGTCAAGCTCAATGCAGCGGCATCCCATGATGGATCGTCTCCCATTCCTTGTGAATCTATTGCTGATTGCGATGTATCACCGGGGAGACCGTTACTTGTGCCAGCGTTCTGGATGGCGGAACCACTCTCCCATTTGACAAAGTCATGTGGCAAGAGCACTGCAAACGTCAGATACGATGTGTGGCCCCGCACCTCGGTAAATGGCCGTGTCACATGGAACGAACTCTCTGGGAGAGGCGGCGGTTTACCACCGACAGGCGTTCTGGAACCATCGCCAACATCCTGCCGGACTGACACAGGGTGCACAATCTCACCATCCTCGCCGCCCTCAGAAGTCCCAGCTTCATCATCTGTTTTAGGCTTTTTACAAGGATTCCCACCCGCCGACGCCGTTGCCATTCCAGCATCGTCGTATCCATTGTCTCCAAGTTTTCGCTTCTTATTTTTTTCATTCGCTTTCGCAATTTGTCTCAACCGACGGGCCTCCCCTTCGACCTCCGCGTTCCTCAGTCGTTGGATTACTTGTCCAATTGGTGGAAGCGTTATGGGTACTACTTCCTGTGGACGCATCAGAGTCTCATACATTGTTATTTCTGCAACAATCATGTAAGTTGTGAATCCCGGGCGAGGAGAGGGAAACGGCACATGCCCGTGAAACCAGCATCGTTCAAGGCTGAAACAGTGCGAAGAACTTGTTCGACACAGGGACTGAAGCAACATATCCTGCCTATTTGACGTCTCTGTTAGGCAATGGCAATCAATGAAGGCCTAGACATGATGCAAGGATTGTCACCTTCATTGCAGTTTTTGCGTGTCTGATGGCATCCCAGGGGGCGGGTAAATCCAGAAACACTTGTTACTTGTTGAGCTGGTCTTTCGAGAAGCCTTCATGCAGTAGCCTCACCTGCGTCTGCAGCGTCTTCAAGGCCAAACCCCTCTTTGCACACATTTCGATGTTTCAGAGTAACGAGATCAGCCATTCCATGCTCCTGAAACTCAGCTCTATCAACAGAGGTCAGGTCATGAGAAACAACATTTTTTCCGCGTTGTAAATCCCGAACCTACCTTGCTTTCTTTGACCGTTCCTCGTGATACTCAAAAGAATGGAGGTGCCCATTCGGCTGAATGGTTCGGCAGGCGGAGTGCGAGAAAGAGCCAGATCCCGTCCCTTCGCTAAGCAGTTAGCTCAGTGGCGCCAAAGAAAATCAACTTCACGAACCAGCTTCGATGACAATGCTCCCTGGCTTCAAGTCTAGCCATGCTGTTATAAAAGCAATATCCGCGAGGTAGAGTATTTGGGTTCGATGAGGCAGAGCAAGTGTCCAGAGTTCAGGAGTGGGTCTCAATATATGTACAAAACCTCTTCCATTCTTCGAAATGACTTTAGAGCCGTAAGGCACCCCCACAAGATCATCGTGACGATAAACGCCAAAACGTCCGTTATATACCTTTCCAGGAGTGATGACTAGCGGCTCCAAGCTGTCTCTGGTCTTCAGGGATTCATTACTATCTCCTCAGCACTCAATTGGGTTTGCTTCACTGACCAACCATAAGATAACCACGTCTCCTGGAGAGATTTCTCGAGCCTTGGTCCACATTCAATTTTCTCTCTCTGATGGAACTTGCCGGCTCCATCAGCCTCATTATTTGTTCATGCCCAGCGCTCGTTCGGACACATTAGCGGGCTCAAGCTTATTAAATTGCGAGCGGCTCTTATATATTGGGCACAGCGAATCACTTGGCAGAACTCCTGAGATTCCTAGAACGAAGCACTCGATTAGAAGGTGGAACCGCCTCCGATCTCGTCTTTCTTCGGAGAACAGAATCGTTATCTTCATCTCCCGACTCGTCCGCATTGTAGTCAACACGCTGCCGTTGGCGCCGTCGAGTGGAACCGGCTGGCGGTGCATTACCGGTATCCCGACCCATCATCTGTGAAGCTTTACTATCCTCAGCAGGTTTTCTCGCAAATTCCGCGATCGAGGCTGCCGCAAAGGAGTTCATGCTTTTAGGCGTGACCAGGAGAGCGCCCTTGAGGGCTGCCGAAGTGGTTCCTTCAGCAACTTGAGACACGGAGGTCTCGGCTCTGTCCTCGGCACAAACTGGTTGTTGAATAACATTGGTCATTGCAGCTCTGTCCAGCTTTGGTGGGACACTGGGACTGGAATGATCCTGACTCTGTCCAGGAGGTTGCTTCTCACTCGTCTCATGCCAGTCCCGTGGGAGCGTGTACGGGGTGATGTTTTCGTCGAGTTCACGTGCGAGACTCCCCTTGTTATGTTCATGATGGTCATGAGCAACGTCGGATACAGGGACCTAAGCCAGGGGCTCGTCAACGAACATTAGAGTTAAAAGAATCGATAGATACGTTTTCTGTCTTTGACTCGGCTGCTTCGTGTGTGTCGGTCTGGTAGTATTTGTCCTGTAATCTTTGTCGAATTCGCAATCCTTGCACGAGCCTCGTCCAATGCTTGATGACTTTCTCGAGCTTCTTCTGCTTCTCCCTTTCACTGGCAGCTTGTGCCGACTTCCAGTAAACCTATCGAAATGTGTCAAACAGGAATGAGTCCATGAATGCGAATATCATACTTCGAGAAGCTCGCTTTCGCGATCCTCCGGAATCACCACTCCGTCGAGAACCGGGAAGGCACGACGATTCTTGAATTCGAAACCAGTCTGGAGGGGAGGTCAATGATCTTTGGGCCCTGTTCAGGTGACCTCGAGACTTACCACGGCTTCCGCGTAGTCGATTCCTAATTGCTTCGCAATCTTCGCGGTCCCTTTGTCTGTGATGGATCACAACACTCAGAGTACGCAGCAAGAAGAGATAGCATGCAGATATTACATGGAATGTGCACGCCCCCCTCTGGTAACATGGAAGGAACATATAGATCGATATTGCCAAAATCATTTTTCGGAACTTTTCCCTGAGTGAGATGTCAAAAAAATGTTGGCGGCAACAATCAATGCGCACCCACCTCAATTATGGGCGGAGGAAGGTAGAGTTTGGTCTGCCAACGGGCATACATTCCTTGCTGTAATTGGGTCCCGTCCATGCCTTGTGCCTCCGCTGCCACCTCGATAGCCCTCTGTTTGTGAAGTGTCACTGCCCTGATCTTGGACATCTTGAGCGGCTGCTCCCCATCCTTTATCACCCTGCCAGAGCGCATCCAGTTCTCTGCCGTCTTTACAGAAGTGACATTTGCACGGGAATACACAGATTCGCCTCGAAACGTTCCGATTTGCGTAAGAGGGTAAATGACTTCGTCTTGATGCAGGTGTCGCCCCAGAACATACCTGGACGCAAAAATCGCCGATGAATACCTACTTGCGGAAGAGCCCAATACTCACAAGGGATGATCCTTGAAACCACTTATTGAACTAGGCATTCCTTCCAGCTCTTGCATATGTTCGAACTCCTCGTCTTCCGCATCATCGCGTTGCTGAATTTTAACATTTGGGACATTGTCGTTTGGGTGGTTGGAAAACTTACCAGTCTGTAAGGTCGGGTCAGGAATGAAAGAACACTGTCCCACCAGTCCTTCTTCCCCATCCCAGTCCGCCTTTCCTTAACGATTTTTGTTCCAAAATTCTTCGCGTAGCGCTGGGTAACATCACGAATGTAACCGTCTAGCTAGCGAAGTCAGAAGGAATGGGAAAAAGGATCGTGAAACGGACTTGTTACCTTCTTCTATCGCAACAACGTATAACATATGATTAAATTTGTCATTAGACAAAGGTTCAAAGCGTTTTCTCTTGTCAACATGGTTATGTATGGGATCCACTGGTAACCATCTGCCGTCAGGTCTTGAATATACTTCTGTCCAGAACACTGGCGATGATTCTTCCCGTGATATATTGCCTAAGAATGATGGAATAGCCGTGAGGGCGAAAATTGCACACACAAGTGAGTAAACGTACGTTGTTTTGGTAAACCACCAAGCCTGCGCCCAGTCGGACGGCTCTTCCGAAGGCGAATTGGCGGTTTCGATAGTGGTGTTGGTGTCTGATTGCTCGATTCCGTGTGAGATGTAGCTCCTGCAAACGTATTCCCTTCACCAGGAAACATGTCTCTGCCCTTTCCCTTATTTTTACCATCAACATTCAAAGATGTAAGAGCCCCTTCCATATCTGCGTCACTTATCTCAATCTCCTTGCTCATGGGGGACGGAGAAGCCTGTTGCCCTGAGGAGCTTCCAATGTCTCGTGCTGATGAGGCAACCATAGAAGCCTGTGCTGCCTCGATTTGTGCATCCTTTTCCTTCTTACGAGCCTGTTGGCGCAATCTGTTCGCATGAAGGGACTCCTTTTCCGAAGGCTTCCGTTTGTCCGTTCGCCATAGAACGGATTGCAAGCTAACCACCAGCCGGGCAGGCAGTCCAAGAGCACGACACAGCGCAGTGAAGAGCTGCGCGCTACTGTCGCGGGAGCCTTTCATCATAAGTGCATGTTTCATGAGGCTTTTTGCGCTTCGGATGCGATCTTCACCGTACAACTCATCCTCTGAGTCATCCTGTGCTTTTGCTTTGCCCTTGCCTTTTGCATCACGAGACGCCTTCGCAGCAGTTTCATCGAAGGACTGATGTCTGATCCCGAGTTCGTGATTAACGAGGAAGCGAGTAGACCACCAACCAACAAGTCGAGTCAATGCAGCTTCGAACTGGCGACCCCGAAGCTGGCGATCAGGTTGATTTCGGGGAGTAATTATCGCGAAGGGTGTTTGCAGAGATAAAGGGGTCAAAGACATAAGTCGCGCCTAATTATTTGCATGAGTGTTATCTTTATAATATTCATCCACAAGAGCATACATGAAGCAGTTCATCGTTTGCCCACCAATTTCGGATGGTGGCGTTGGTAAGAAGTGCGATTGTATGTAAGCGATGTGCCTGCAATCGAATGAAGCGATTAAGGGATTCAGCCTTGGTTTTCTCTCGTTTAGCGTGAGTCTGGGCTTGTTTTCCGCCAGACAGCGGGGCTTGGATAGTAATCTGGAGCGATGCGCTTTCTTCGGGTGGATGAATGACAATTGTTTGGGCAGCAATTTGAGAAGGGACAACTTCCTCCCAGTCCATGTCATTGTCGCTATCGGTGTCGCTCATATTGGTAACCTAACCCTTTGATTTGCAAGTTCGGTATTTAAGGTTGCGAAAGACTTTCGGAGAATAGCGCTCGCACACGAGTACTATATAGAGGCAGCGAGTGCTGCCTATCTCGATATCGCAAAATGTGTTCAGATTGATTTTGGAGTCCCAGTAATTGACGCGAGAGATCACGAAGCTTACTGTCTGGAAGCAAATTCCCGCTACTCTGTAGCGGGTCTTGGAAGCGTAGACTGAATGGCCGTGCACAAATATATTGGTTATACCCCTGTTTTACCTCAGCTTTCTGACACACGATATTAGCTCATCACGCTTACTGTCAGCTGAACACTGGACACCTCACATGCTCTACAACCTGGCCCCCTCGATCCTCCCCCCTCCCACCGCGACAGCGAGCGGCGACTGCACTCATCCCTCTACTAACGGGGTTTCCAATTACCATCTAACCAAAGAAACGATAGCTCACGGCCTGTATGACTTCTCATTAACGATCAACAATCAACGGACTTTGCTCTTACACCATGTTCTGCGTGCTGATTGTTATTCCGGCTGTCTAGATGCGTGTGTTGCCCACCACTCTCAAATTCCTTCGCGCGATCTGTTTTGCTGCGCTCTTTTTGCCTCCTGTCTTCTCATACCTCACACACCCCCTTGTACTCCATGTGCATCGCTCTTTATACTATCGACCCTAATCAATCCCCCTCTTTCGTGGGATTTTGCTAGGTTTCAATAACATCCACCAACAATTCCCCAATCGGTTCACGATCACTTGGACGTCTCTCTCGGTTTCAACTGCTTGCGCTCCGTTGGTTTCATGGCTTACTTAACACTCTGACTTGTGGTTACTCACCATGTGAACATTTGCGCAGGATCGTGTTTGAACATACCGTAAGCGATTTTGGCATTATTGAAACATCCACACCGGAACTTCGCACCTAGTGTTGCACGCTTCCCACATCTGACCATCAAAGATGGAGTTATTGTGCTCAGTCCCCCCGATGGATTGTCTCCGTTAAGAGTATTGAGACATTTGGTAAATCATCTACACCTCGACTGTGAATCAACGGCTTCTCTAGCTGTGAAGATGGGTCAACAATGCGCCATTGATTATTGATGTGAATTGTCGCATTGAATTCGGCTTTGTTTTCTCAGAGGGGTTCTATATTCAGATCGGGTCGGGGGCCTGTGGTCTCTGTGTGCACTTGCGACGAGCGTGCATGTATGCTAACTCATTGTTTCTGAGTGTTGTGGCATTTAATTGTGTCGGTGGGGTTGTATACGGGTGTTTGTGGGCCTGTGGTCCCTGCGTGCAAAGACGGCTCCAGATTGACATCTATGTTTGCTTGTACTTACGTTTATTGGGTGCTCGCGATGTACCCGGTTGGTTCTATGTTGGAAATGAACATCTTTACCCTTAAGCTTTTGGTTGGATGACTTCTCATGGCCACCGTTGGCTTGTGAGTGGCGGGTATTGCCGCTTCAGGCGGGCTCATCAGTTATTATTGCGTTACTTCCGCACAAGTCATACACCCGTGGCAATATTACGCTTTTTTCGACGCTAAAAACTTGTCATCATCTCGCCCTTTTTATTTACTTACGTTTCCTTACGTTTCTTTTTGCGCTCACGTCATCCCTGTTGTTCTGCCGACTTCTGCCCAACCCAATATCAGACCCGCGCTCATCCACTGCTAGTATGATAACTAGCGCTAAAGAGAGGCTGGTCACCTGCCTAAATTAGCGCCTCCTCTCCCAGCTGTGATATACTCATTGACTTCCGAGAATGGTTGGAGTGGTACTGGCTTGATCAAAAGCTTGGTAAAGAATCGCAAACTCGATATTGTTTTTGCTCTTCAAATTCACAATACCGTTACCATCGATGCCATCCGAGCAGAAGTAACGAGCACCAACACAATCCCTAAGGAGCTCATTCATATAGTCTCTCGCAAATCGGAACGGTACATTCGGTATGAGCAAGCAATGAAAGACCGGCATCGATAGCGACTATGATGCAAGTGGACACAACCAAGGACGAGGTGACTGCTTAGATTGCGGCCATCACTCGTCGAGGCGCAATGGATGCGTCATTACCTCATGCTGACGGTGGTCTTAAGCGCACGAGAAGGGCACGAGCTACGTCTACCATTCTAGAGCAAGGTGCAGAATACTTCTCAAAGAAGCTTAACACTCGGATGGGGCTGATTACTAGTCAATTGGACAAGGTTCAGCAGTCAACCGCTCAGATCGGCTGCTTTCTGCCCGTCACGAGAACGAACCCTTACCAGCATGTTTGCTAGAGTGCATGTTGCCGGAGGTGGAAATCCCGATAACAAGCGTCAGCCACAGCCCCCGAAGAGGCCCAGTCCCAGGACAAGTTCGATAGAGTTGAAGAGAAGCTTGATTTATTCCCAGGTCTGCTGAATGTTCAACATCGGCGGACACAGGCTCTGACACTTTAAGGGAGACAATGAGAAGCTATTTTTTAATTTATCATACACGAGTAGACTCGCATAATTCATTTCGACATGTAAAGGTCATCTGTTCCCGATGTGAACAGGAAATGAGGGGTGATGTTGAACATAATGCGCACCATCCAGTGAGAGAAGGAGGGTCTTCGAGACCTGGCGCCCACCAGAGATCAAAGCATTAAAAAATGGAGAAACCAAGGGTGTGAACCAAAAGCTCCATAGGCTTCGGACAGTCTGACGCAGCACAATTGGCAAAGATAGCTCATAAGATAGAGCGACGACGGAGGGTAGAGGACATCACCAAGAATGGATCAGAAAGGAGATACTGGGTCTTAATGGGTCGGTTGTTTCTTGATGCCGTCGAGGATTTTTTGACCAGAGGAAAGGGTGGAAAGTCCACTAGTTCAGGACCAGATGACATCGGGGGGTCAATAATGTGTGAAATGGTATTTGAGAGTCATGGAGGCACACGCGCGAAGGTGATATTAGCGGGTACCTTGGTCCTTGGGGGAAGAGTGACTGAGGTGTGGCACCTCATTGTGCGAATCAGGGGGTGGTTCGGATCAAAAGGTTGTGGAGCCGATGGGCGTTCGGCCAACTGGGATTACATAACATGCTGGGCCGAGGACGGGTTTTACCGCGCTTAGTGCATGTGACTCACATCACAACAAACAGGGGGCATCAAAAATAAAGCCCCACGCCGAGATCCATCGGGACGTCGTCGCTTTGGCAATATGTATAATCATCGAGTCACCTGGTTGCCGACAGGACGATCCGGGAAACGGGTTCAAAATTGATTCGGCTCACTTGGTCACGTTGACTGATGATGCCCGCTATTCTTTCTTCTTCGGGGTTTGGGATTGGGCGCTGCATCCCAGCAACGAGAGGACCCCGGAGAGTCAGGTCCTCCGCATCGGGGCTACGGAGTAGCAGAAAATTCAACTGCTTAGATGACTCGTCCAATTCGAGCCCATGATGTATAAATGGTCTCATCCGCTCGGAACAAAGCCACAAACAAGCGCGTCTAAGCGCCCAAATTGATCCATTTAATCCCTTTGTTCATGTGTCGAAAATTCTGTGATCGCCCAATTCAGGCTGTGTGTAATCTGATCTCGGCGAAGCATAGCCGTGTTTGAACGTTTGACCATCTCTTGGGTGTGTATGACAAAAAGACCCCACAATCTTGGGACGCCTCCATATATTGGCTCTTTTCCACCCTCTCTCTTGTTGTCGTTGTCCTTCCCATCTCATTCGTTGCCTCTGACCGTACCTGATGATGGTCTCACCCGAGGACCCTACTGAACTTACAAATCTTGACCCGAATATAATCGAAACTACCGCAGATGAAAGGGCCGACAAGCTTGGTAAGAAGAAGACCGTCGTACGCCGATATGTTTGATACTCACCTTGGAGGATTTTATAGACGACACAATCCATTCTATAATTAATCCTTTTGAAAAGGCCAAATCGTTTTATACCGACAACAGCGATGTCATTCATGCCACTGTTCAGCTATTTACTGGTGATTCAGCGGCGGGGAAGCTTGTAGATGGCTGGTTGGGCACTATCGACAGAGTGGTCAATGGTCTCGATGAGCTCGCTAAGTCTCAACCCTTTCCATTCGTAGGACGTGAGGTCATCGTTACATCATTTAGAATGTTTGCTGAATTTTCTTTTTTCATAACCAGCCGCGATACTTGTCTTCACGGCCCTGGTGAAATTGGAATCTCAGCGTCGCGAGAACAGCAAGCGAGCACGAGCGCTCCTCTTGCAAATAGCCGATATGCTTTCCGCCTTGTTGCAACTACATTTCGTCAAGGATCCTGAACTCAAGGATGCGGACGGGCAGAGTGTCCAAGGACGCATCCAGGTTCTCATGGAAGACATCAAGAAGGATATTCAGGATTGCGGGAATCTTATCCATACGTACCACAACCATAGTTTGACGAGCAAATTCTTCTTCAGCGGCTCATACGCTGCTCAATTTAACGCTAAAGCAAGCCTCCTTGTGGTATGTATTCGTGCTGCACCCGCCAACATTCACTGAATCAACACCCCTTGAAGAACCGCAAATCTGATATCATTTTCGCTCTTCAAATCCACAACACCGTTAACATAGACGCTATCCGAGCAGAAGTGACGGATACCAACGTAATGCTCAAGGAGCTCATTGCTGTGGTCTCTCACAAATCTGAACGACACATTCGATGCGAGCAAGCGGTGAACGATCTGGGAGGACGAAAGAAAGTCCTTGGGAATGACGAATTACTTACCTCAATGGCGACCATGATCCAGGTGGGAGCAAAGGGGGACGAGAAGACTGTTCAGTCAGTGACCGCCGCACTCCAAGGACCGTTGGGTGCGGGTGCGTCGTTGTCTCGTGATGAAGGTGTTCTCAGCGCACAAGAAAGGCACGAGCTGCGACTACCTTTAGACACCATCCTGGCCCAAAATGCGAAATACTTCTCAAAGAAGCTCGGTGTTCAGGTGGACGTGATTGCCAACCAGTTGGACAAAGTTCGGCAGTCAACCACTCAGATTCTGCATTCAATCGGCGGTGCTTCCTACCAGCGCATTGTAAACCCCGTCGTTCGACGGATATGGAAGGAAATGGTGCGTTGAAACTTTGCGCCCCTGTTTGTCATGGATGTAACTCTATCCTATCAGGGCTGGCATACGAACGTCAAAGCACGGATCTTCGTCATGACTCTACATGATTACTATCAAGACATGTTCTCTAGTTCTTCAGCAGTACCAACTGGCGGCGCTGGTGGGGAAGTTGCAGTGGGTGGTGAGGATGATGCAAAACCCTCTGACCCGTCGGAAGAGGCGGATTGTTTGGATTATACTCCGGATCCTGCTAACAAGTGGTGCCTTCAATTCTTGAATCTACGATATCTGTCGTCGATCATGGAAGCCTTTGACGATGACAGTTCGGGTTTTGTGCGGATCAGCGAGGTCAATGACTTCACAGCTTCGATTCCAAAAGGTTGGAGTTTGCTGCAATGGTTAGCGTACTGGGCACACGGTATGATCTTAGAACTCCTACTCTATTTTTGGCGTTTCCGTCTTACTCCGAGGCTTTGTTACAAGGTTGGCGCGTTGAGGCATCCATTTACGCCCAATTGATGCACGCACTGCTGAATCAGATGTATGAATTAACCAACACCGTACACTTGATGAACTCTCGCATCATCCATGTCTACTTTCATGGTCACTGGGTCCCCAAGCTGGATAGACTTCTTAAGCGCGCGATGTACAGTACCTGGAATGTCACCAGCACTCCGCTAGACGATCTGGTCCTGGTTCAGATGGAGGAGCGGAGGAAAAGATTGATGCCTGCACTACAAAGGCTTTATTTCAACATTGACGATGCGGAGTCTCTGGGGTTGATCAAGGAGCCAGGTAGAATCGAGAAAGTAAGCGTTTATCAATTATGTATCTGATCCTCTCAACTTACTTGTGCCGGCAGGACTTGTTCGCGATTCTTTATCTAGTTCTTCTTCGCCACGCGAGTATGATCAAACTTGGCAAGACTGTCATTCTCGACGATCGTGAATTTACGGAAGCTTCCAAGACCCTGAATTGCATCTTCTCTGCTATCGACGATCGCCTCAGCAATTTGGACGGTAGGAATGATCCCGCTCCCCACCTTCTACCGAGAAGCTTACATGATATTGATGACAATAGAGGCTTTGAAGGGACGTGGCGTCGACCCAGCTCCTTTCATCGCAAGATATGCAGGTGGTGTTGTAAGCCAGTCCACGCTATGTTTATGCCGCACTCTAATTTGCTTTTGATGCAGTACGAATTCCTGTATCAGGGGAATGTTCCCGACAATCTCGGGGGAATCGTCAATGACGACGCTGTCGAAGCCGCGGCCGCAATATTTGAAAAGTCCAATATTGATGTCAAAGATTTGCAGTTCGGCGAATGGCATTTAGATACTTCAGGTTATGAGAAGGTGCCAGAGCCTGAGGCCGAACCTGATCGCGATGACATTACGTCTCCAGTCTTACTGGAAGCACCGGTTCTGGTTCCTGGAGCCAGTGTCAATGTGGAGGCTTACGTCAGACAAGTGGTTTCAAGACTGGAGCATTTGGCGACTCACGAACAGTTCAAATTTGTGAAACGTGAGTGGAGGCGTGTGAATACGTTCTTTCTCGATTTTCCTTTGCTAACGAGCCACTTGCGCAGCGTCTGTCAACATGCTCAAGTCAATAGCTAATGCCGAGTTTGATAGATGGCTGAAGAGCGATGTTCCTCGTACTCTCATTGCGCAGATGGCGGACATGCTAGATACCCTCTTGCATCTCCGACACATGGAAAATCTCGAGCTTGTTACTGATACCGCCGTCACTACCATGTGCCGCGTGCAAGACCTTGTGCGACGTATCGAAAAGGATTTGAGGGATTGCAAGCATCTCATCCGAATGTATCACAAGATCAACGTCTCAAGTAAGCATTCCGTTTGTGCGCTCCTCGGCTGAACCTCAATCATGCGTCGACTCGAATCTCAGGGGAGGAACCGATAACTCTTTACTTCCGCCAACGAGCCGAAGGCCTCCTTCGTCGAAAAAATGATCTGATTGACGCGATGTCAAGATCAGACATCCAAGGCATAGCGCGCTTTCGTGCTCTTGGCTATACAGTAGTCCGACAGGTCAAAGAGATGCGTCAAAGACTCAAATGGGAGTTCTACAGAGACCGTCGAGACACACGAAATGGATATGTGTCGCTCGTTGCGAAACAACTGCAATGCGCGGAGACGAGAGCCATTCGGCATGTTGCTGTATCCATGACTGCAGAAGAAGAAGAGCGGTTAAGGGATCTGTCTGATGATTTGTCTGAAGCCGATTGGGCTTATTACCAGTCACTTGCCAAGGTAAGTGCACCATACAGTCTTTCCAACAATGGGTTCACACGTCTTCCGCTCACATAACAGCTCAAGTACCGACTAACTCGTGCTCATCTGTAAGTGCAAACCACCAAAAATTACTTCATCAACCACTCACTCAGTCTACACCCAGTAATCTGATTTGTTACAATTGCCCAAAGGTATTAATCGTTGGTAAAGCCTACCAATGCCTTTCATGCACATGTGAGTCCGATAGTATCCACCCTACAATATTCCCCTAATAATGGCATTGCCTATCAGCCGTTGTTTTGTGCGAAAAATGCGAGCAGAAGAGCCCTTCTGGAATCTCAGATGCCACTGGGAAAATGCATCTATCTTCCCATCCACTGCTCCAGATCTCCCGGCCCGTCGTTCAAATTACCAAGACTGAGCTGGAAGGCATCGTTCGGATGTACGAACGACTGGCCAATGGCGCACAGGATAGTGATGGATCGGATTCCGATGGTGAGCGTGTTGGTCTTAGGTGCTTCGACATGACTAAATGCTGACATCGATACCGCGTCGGCCCAGTTCAATGGAGTGACGAGGAAAACGATCCGGAATCACACAATGAGGATCTTGATAGTCGTTCCGCATGGTCATTCTCGGCTATAGAGAAGCTGCCTCAGGGTCGCCTCCACTCTCTATCTGTGGCCAGCAGTTCGGTAGTAGAATCGCCCGCCGAGTTAACACGGCAGATGATATGGGAAGACGCCGCGACTAAAGATGAACACATTAGCGACCTCGAAGATGAAGGCTTCTATAAATGTTCGCATTGCCATGAGCTCTATACTGGTGTCCGATTTGTTATGATCAAACAGTATCGAGGTACGACCTTTCCCAATGGGTTATGGGGTAATTCGAAACTGATATGACATATCCAGGCAAATATCTTTGCCCCGACTGTGAACGAGAGCTCTCTGCCCGTCACGAGAACGAACCTTTGCCGGCATATTTACTGCTGCTGCTAAAATGCACGTTGCCGGTGGTTGAAACACCAATACTAAAGGGTGGGGCCTTGGAAGACATACAAAGTTTACAGCCACGAGATGAACGTGCCCAAAATATCGAAGATCAACTTCAGAAAGTTGAAGAAAGACTCAATCTACTCCTGGGTCTGCTGAATGGCCAAAATCGGCCGACACGCGCTTTGATGCCTAATTGAACAGTTACGCTTTCGTTATACGATACATTTAGTTCTTATAATCCTTTGTAATTCCTTTTTAATGGTCATCTGCGCTCTGTATGGACAGGACGTCGGGGTGTGAATTAACACTTGGAACATCTAACGATGATCATTCACGAGACGTGGGACGGCACTGCAACCATGAATGACAGGGATGGCGGGGCTCAAGTAGGGACTTTCTGCCTTTTGGGCGCACAGAACAACGCAAGATCGACACCCAATACAGTCTGAATAAGAAGGAGAAAAAAAAACCAGGTGCCTGAACCGGAAAGTCACGGGGAGCTTCCAAGAATGAATCGGAGACCGAGAAAAAGTTGACCCACGAGGACTGGATGACAGGTATCCAGACGGTGGATGACGAGCAAGACGGGATTTGGGAGCAAATCCTTGACTATCGACAAAATAAACACTGGAAAGGGGAATATTCAGTGTTTGAGGCACTCAGCCTGAGTGCGTCGCACGGCGTCACAATCACTTTGAGCGCGGACACTGTCGGGGGAGAGGAATGTGGGGGTACGATGTTGTAAAATCGACAAGTAGGACTGCATATGTCAGATGCTGTACGGTAGTGCAGAGGCACCCAGTGTGACCGGGCCGCAAGTGGAATTTCTTGTGTGGACATTGGAATGGGCAATTTTCGGAGAAACCTGTTGAAGCCATTTAGCAGAGTCGGGAAGATGCAGCCGACTCTCGTTCATTTGCGAATTTTGATCGCTGACAGGAAGGGGAAGTAAGTAACACATGTCGGCGTTTATCGCTTACATAGATAATATCGCACGGCGACCGCGAGGTACTGGTTAAATGCCCAAGGCAACTTCCAAGGAAACAGAATTGCATATGTTGAATTCGAGATGCGTCAGCTAGAACCTCAAGCACCTTAGCCGGGACCTCGATGACCAATCGGTGATGCTCGCGACTGTTGCATGGTTCAATAAAGTGCAAGGAAACCAAATTGATAACAAGTCCAGCAATTATGTAAGAGCGTGAGGAAGACCACGCCATGAATCGCATGTCGTAGATTGACACTCGACTCGGATCGAGTCACCATCTTCAAGTTTCAAATCATCACGTATGTTTTCGAACCTTGCAGCAGAGGTTCATGAGAAGTCCATTGGAATCAAACGTGAGCTTGCATAGGCAGGATATCAGCCTCTATGGATAGAGAGCTTGCGGGGGGTTGGCGCTTCGGGACTGCGCACGTTACCGCAACTGGCAATTCTCACATTACGTAAACGGCAGTCCCGCAAGTATTACTTACGTGGTTTCCCCATAGGCCAGATATAGTTTCGACTTGCTGGCTTTCATCCATCCGACTTTAAATCAAGGCGGTTCGATATTCCGACGATGCGTTCGGCCTTGCGTTACACGAGACCTGCGTTGTACTTCCGGAACACTGATGGCACTCGACACAGGAATAGAGCCACTTCTCTGGGACTATCTTCCATGTCGATCATGAGACTTTTTCGCCACTGTTTACAGCGTCTATCATCTTTATAACAACTGTGTTCATGAGTTTTTGGTGCGAACTGGGTTCTACTTTAGTAAAGGCTGGGATCTGCCGGGATCCTGCCTAGAACTAGGTAATGGGTCGCCGAAACCCCACACCCCGGATTTTAGTTTGCATTCGGAGTTTTGCTACGCTTCAGAGCCTGGGAGAACATGTGCGATCAACTTGCTTGGGGTTTTGAACAATTGACCCGCTTCAACCATGATGACTAACCCCGCGTAGTCTAGATGCTGCGCCGATTCAGCGAAAAAGCCTTATGAAGTTCTTGCAGCAAGGTCAATTGTCCGTGGAAACATTTTCACGAAAAGCTTATCTGCGGAAGGATTTCACCGTGGTTCGGAAGCCCTCCTGATGCGACCTTCAAAGTATTCCATGTGGATGGGCGTGGATTCTATGATCTGAATGACTTCATTGTGCTATGGGTGACCAATACAGGCTGCGAACCATTTGCGCCTGAATAATGACAAAGAGACTGTTGCGGTAACTCCGAATGGACATAACGGACGTTTCACTAATCTCATTCATTTCAGTTGGTCTTTCATATATGACTCGTATCTCTCGTTTGTTTCTCCTGCTTCAACCCGCATTTTTTAGCTAGTTATCGTGCATTTAAGCTGTTGACCGGTAAAGACGGTTAACAGAGATTGCAGGGGACTCCTTGCTATATTAGCCCCCAGTAGCCTGAGCCATTTTCCCACCTCTCATCTGTCACTGTACTCCTCACTTTTGGGCTTTGGTTACCCTCAATGGCCTCGCCTCAGAAAGCCATTACGGATCTTGACGCGAATGCGGTCGCAACCTCTGCAGACCAAAGGGCGGACAAACTTGGTATGAAACAGATCATGCCTGTACGGACATGTTTGGTAATCATGGAGAATTTCGTAGATGATACAATCCATCTTATCACTGATCCTTTCGAGAAAGCGAAATCATTTTATAGCAAAAACAGCGATACGATTCACGCCACTATTCAGCTGTTTACTGGCGGTTCAACGACGGGCAAGATTATTGATGGATGGTTAGGCACTGTCGACAGAGTAGTTAATGGACTCGACGAGCTCGCCAAGTCTTCACCCTTTCCATTTATAGGACGTGAGATTGTTGTCACATAGTTTGGGACCTCCGCTGAAGTCACTTTTATCACCAGCCGCAATACTTCTCCTTTCAGCAGTTGTAAAGCTGGAAACTCAACGTCGAGAGAATAGCAGGCGAACACGGGCCCTCATCTTGCAAATGGCGGATATGCTTTCCGCTTTGTTGCAACTTCATTTCGTTCAGGATCCTGAACTTGAGGATGCTAAGGGACAGAGCGTCCAAGGACGCATCCAGGCTCTGATGGAAGATATCAAGAAAGATATTCAAGATTGTGGAAATCTAATCGACACGTACCACAAGCACAGTTTGACGAGCAAATTCTTCTTCAGCGGTTCATACGCTACCAAATTTAGTGCCAAGGCAAGCAGCCTCGTGGTAAGTTGTACGCCCGCATCCTCACCATCATTAACTAAACCACACGCATTTGGCGAAGAACCGCAAATCCGATATCATCTTCGCTCTTCAAATCCACAATACCGTCAACATCGATGCTATCCGAGCAGAAGTGACGGACACCAATGCAATGCTTAAGAAGCTCATCGACGTAGTCTCTCACAAATCTGAATGGCACATTCGGTATGAACAAGCGATGAATGATTTCGGAGGACGGAAGAAAGTCCTTGGGAATGACGGATTACTTACATCGATGGCGACCATGATCCAGGTGGGGATGACAAAGGACGAAATGACTGCTCAAACTGCAAATGTCGCAGGTCGAGAGATGCTTGGTGGTGTCAGTGTTCTCAGCGCACGAGAAATGCACGAGCTGCGTCTGCCACTTGATGCCATTCTGGCCCAGAATGCGGGATATTTCTCAAAGAAGCTCGACGCTCAGATGGAGGCAATCTCCAATCAATTGGATAAGGTTCAGCACTCCACCACTCAGATTTTGCGTACAATCACGGGTGGTGCCTATGAGCGCATTGTGCATCCTATTATTCGACACATATGGAAGGAAATGGTCCGTCAAAATCATGAACTTTTATTTGTCGTGCGTCTCACTCTTGCACACAAGGGCTGGCATGCGAATGTCAAAGCACGGACATTCGTCATGACTCTGCATGATTACTTTCTGGACATGTTCGCTCACACTTTAGGGGCATCAATCATCGGTGTTGGGGGGAATTTCTCGATGGCTAACCAAATTGATTTAACTGGAGGCGATGCTGAAACCTCTGTTGATGCGTCGACGGGGACAACTTGTTTGGATGGTGCTTCAGATCTCGCTGACAAGTGGTGCCTTCAATTTTTGAATCCCCGATACGTGACCTCAATCATGGAAGCCTTTGATGATGATAGTTCGGGTTATGTGCGGGTCAGCAAGGTTAATGACTTCACAAATTCGATTCCGAAGGGTTGGAGTTTGCTACAGTGGTTAGCATACTGGGCACGCGGTAGGATCGTTCCCACCTCATTTGTGGTTTTTTTGTCTCACGCTGAGCCTCTACTACAAGGATGGCGCGTTGAGACATCCATTTATGCTCAACTGATTCACGCACTGTTGAGTCAGATGCGTGGGCTTGCGAACACTGCACACGTAGCGAACTCCCGCATCATCCAGGGTTACTTTCATGGCCGCTGGGTCCTCGAGCTGAACAGACTTGTCAAGTGCACAATGTTCAAGAACCGGGACTTCACCAACACTCCTCTAGATGATCTGATCAAGGCTCGGATCGAGGAGAAGAGGGAAAGATTGGTTCCTGCACTGCAGAGGCTTTACTTCGACCTCGACGATGTGGAGTCTTTGGAGTTGATTAAGGAGCCAGGTAGGATCGAGAAAGTAAGTATTTGGAGGCAATATATCTGAGCCTCTCAATTTACTTGTGCCGGCAGGATTTGTTCGCGATTCTTTATCTAGTTCTTCTTCGCCATGCGAGTATGATGAAACTTGCCAAGACTGTCATCCTAGATGATCGTGAATTTACGGAGGCTTCTACAACCCTTAGTTGCATCTTCGATGCTATCCACGTTCGCCTCAGCGATTTAGAAGGTAGGAATAATTCCGTACCCTCCATTTATGGATGCTTGCTCAACATTTGGTGGAAATAGAATCACAGAAGGGACATGGCATGGATGCAGCTCATTTCATCGCGAGATACGCGGGTGGTATCGTAAGCCAGTCCACGCCTTCTATACGCCAGATTCTGACTTGCGTTTGGTGCAGTACGAGTTTTTATATCAGAAGAATGTTCCCGACAATCTCGGGGGAATCGTGAACGATGACGCCGTTGAAGGCGTGGCCGCAATCTTGGAAAAGTCGAGTATTGATGTCAAAGACTTGCGGTTTGGCCCTTGGCATTTAGATACTTCAGGTTACGAGGAAGAGCCCGAGCCAGAGATTGAACAAGTCCAGGATGAAACCATGCCTCCACTCGCTCCAGGATCGCCCGTTCTCATTCGTAGGGCTAGCATCAGCGGAGAGGCCTACGTCAGACAAGTGATATCTCAGCTGGAGCTTCTGACAGCTGATGAACGCTTCAAATTTGTGAAACGTGAGTCGGGACGTACGCTAGTACCCTCTCCCAATCCTCTTATGACAAACTACTTGCACAGCGTCTGTCAGCATGCTCAGGTCAATAGCTGATGCCGAGTATGAGAGATGGCTGAAAACCGATATTCCTCGGGCCCTCATTGCGCAAATGGCGGACGTGCTGCATACCCTCCTACAACTTCGGCACATGGATAATCTTGAGCTTGTTACCGATTGCGGCGTCACTAATATTAGCCGAACGCAAGACGTTGTGCGACACATTGAAAAGGACTTGAAGGATTGCGGGTACCTTATCCGAATGTATCACAAGACCAACGTTTCAAGTAAGCCTTCCGTTAGTATCCCCCTGGTCGAACCTCAATCATGCGTCGTCTTGAATTTCAGGGGAGAACGCGATGGCTATTTATCTTCAACAACGAGCCGAACGTCTCCTTCTTCGAAAGAATGATCTAATTGCTGCGATGTCAATATCATACATGAAAAGTCTAGAGCGCTTTCGCGCTCTTGGCCGCACTATTGTCCAACGGATCCGAGAAAAGCGTCAAAGACTTAGATGGGAATTTTACAGAAACCGCCGCGATGTGCGAAATGAATATGTATCTCTCGTTGCGAAGCAACTGCAATGTGCGGAGACGAGAGCAATTTGGCATGTTGGTATATCCCTAACTCCAGAAGAAGAGGAGCGGTTAAAAGATTTGTCTGACAATTTGTCGGATGCCGATTGGGCTTATTATCAGTCACTTGCCAGAGTAGGTGTGCATACAATCTTCCCAACAGCGAGCTCACCAGTCTTCTCGCCATCCAACAGTTAAAGTACCGACTAACTCGTGCTCATCTGTAAGTAAAACCCGCCAAGAATCGCCCTACTCACTTCTCACTCAATCCAGTAATCTGGTTTGTTGCAACTGTGGAAAAATCCCTGTCATCGGTAAAGCCTACCAATGCATTTTATGCACATGTGAGTCCAATAACATCCGCTCGGAAAAATCACCTTAACGATGACATTACTTCAACAGCTGTTAGCTTCTGCGAAGAATGCGAACGGACGACCCCTTCTGGGATTCAAGATGCCATTGGGAAACCGCACTTATCCTCCCATCCGCTGCTTCAGATTTCCCGACCCGTTGTTCAAATAAGTAACACCGAGCTAGAAGATATTACTCGGATGTATGAACGGCTCGTCCATTGCAAGCAGGATAGTGATGAGTCAGATTCGGATGGTGAGCGTTTCGACCTACTAGATGCCTCTACATGGTCAAATGCTGACATCGACACCGTGTCCGCTAGCGCAATGGAGCGATGGGGACGCTGATCTAGAATCGAGCGATGAGGATCTCGCTGGTGTCCACTTCCAATCCACGAGTAGTTCGATCAGAGAGTCACCCCTCGAGCTGGCACGACAGAAAACATGGGAATTCGCCGCGATGAAGGTTAAGCTGGAGCACGCTGTCAATGACCATAAAGGCGAAGGCCTCAGCCCACGATGCATCAGGGAACTGGGCTACAAATGTTCACATTGTCACAAGGGCTATACTGGTGTCCGGTTTATTTTGGTGAGCCGCTATCGAGGTGCGATCCTGCCCGTGTATTCATGAGGCAACCAGAGGCTGACGTGACACCCAGGTAAACATCTTTGCCCCAAGTGTGAACAAGAGCTCTCTGCACGTTACGAGAACGATCCCTTACCCGCACATTTGCTGCTCCTGCTAAAATACACGTTGCCGGGGGTCGAAACACCCACACCAACCGTTGTCGGCGCCTTAGGAGGAGACCACGATCTACAGCAAGATGAACGTGTCCAAGCTCTCGAGGATAAGCTTGGTAGGGTGGAAGAGAAACTCAATTTGCTCCTAAGTCTGCTGAACGCCGAAAATCGGCCGACATGGGCTCTGATGACAGATTGAGACAATGGGTAGCAGCGCTACATAAAAATGGCGTTTTTACGCTTCGACAATTCATTTCACTTACAAAACTCATCTCACTGCATGGACGGGAAATCGCGGCATGGATTGACAGTATACTGGGCATATCCAACAATGATCATTCACAAGGACGAGAAAGGCGCTTCAATCATGAGTGAGCATCGTAGGAATATGGGAAGGTTGAATTGGAGGGAACCCTGATATTTTAGCATGGCCGCCCGGCCGAATTGTGACTCAATATTTGAGCGTTGAGGAAATATCAGCATAGTAAGGCAACCAATGTCACCTCTCCCTTTGAGTATGTACGGCGGGACAAGATGGACGCCCAGGACGCCACCGTGCAAGGCGGTCAAAGAAATAAAAATGGACTGGGGGATGAGACAGAAGGGCCGTAACGCAGAATAAGTATTCAAAGGGATATCAGCGGAGATGGGTTCGAGGCAAGGCACAGTATTTTCATGTAGCAGTTATTTCTTGACGCCTGTAGAGTAGCGGAAAGGCGCAGGGGACAGGGTTACAGGTATTCTAGGCAGTCAATGACGAGCGAAATAAGACTTGGGGAACTAGACGAGAGCCAAATCCCCCCCTATCCACAAAAATAATAGAGAAAGCATATTTGGTGAAGGAAATCAGCTGCCCTTGTGGTACGTTGGAAGTGATTCGCGCATTGGAGGTGCGGGGTACGACGCATAAATTACATTCACCTGGGGAACTATTGAGCGTGGTTTGAGGCTAAATACCTTCAGCGAAGAGCGGGAAGCAGGGCGCTAGGCAGGACTCTATAGCCTAGTTCTATAGGCATTGCACTGACCCAAAAGGCGTAGCATCGACGGGGGGCGTTATGTCGGGCGCTGGGAAGCAGCGCAGAGGTGCGTTTAATACTGAAAAGCACAACATATGTCTCTTTTTCCCGCGAAAGCTACAGGGGGATCCATAAAAGAAAAGGCCGTGTCGGGGTCGTTCTGCCCCGGCAACCCACTGAGCCATCACAATAGGAGATATGTGAGATAGCCGCAATGAACCACCACGAAGACGAAGGCTTCTGTCTCAAATGCTCGTATTGCCATAAGAAGTATGCCGGTCTCCAGTTTGTTGTGATTAAACCATATCGAGGTTGGCCTTCGCTCGTGCACTTGTGGGGTAATTTGAAACTGATAAGGGCATACCCAAGCAAGCAACTTCGCCCGAACTGTTAACAGGAGCTCTCTGGCCAAGAATGAACCCTTACCGGCATGCTTGCCGCTATCGCCAAAATGCGTGTTGCCAGAGGTAGAGACTTCAAAACCAAAGGCCGCCAGCGACTCCGAAGAGGCTTGTGATTCCCAATAGCAGAGTGGAAATGTCCAGGTTCTCAACAGTAAGCCCGGTGGAGTAGAAGGAGAGCTCAAACTGCTCCTGAACGCCAAAAAATCGGACAACACACACTCTGATGTCCCATTGAGACAATGAGTATCCTGGAATTCATATATCTGGCTGTGCCAACGGCGCATCCAAAACGAACCTTTTCTCTATTGGTTACACACAATTGATTCCCTTGTCGCAATCGAACAACATAATAATTTGTCCGCGCGTTGTTGGGAGCTTATGTTACTCGTCTTCATCTCCCGCTGCTCCGGCGCGCGGGCGCCAAGAGCCTTACGCGTGATGCCTTCACATTAGCCCGTTGACTTCTCCGAGGCACTTGGACATTTGAACAACCAACCACGACGGGCCCGCGCGCAGCTCAACTGTTGCCCCGTGTTGTACTTTATTTGCTGACCAAGCAGCATCACGGCGTGGGATTACAACGGCGTCAACAACGACATCAGAAACTCGCGCGCGTGAATCTGAAATCAAGTGCTTTTGTCCTCGAGGCCGGGATGGCAGTGAATCTGACAACAAAGGCAACCCGCTCAAATTCCTACTTGATTGACTGGCAATTTTCCGCAGGAATTATATTTTTGTTCAAGTGTGACGATCATGAGACTATATAAACCTCGCATGGCTGCTTCAAGGCATACCCAGTAATCCTGGTGGTTTCCTCCTCAAGACCTGGTGTCTTCATATTTACGTTTAAAGAATACACATCTAGACCCGGCCCCCCCTTCCACGGTTAGTGGCTTACGAATATCGTACGTTCGGCTTGGTTCTGGAACCCCTTTCTGATAATCGTGACTCGCTCGCTATTACCGGCAACAGCTAACTTCGCCCAACTAAAAAAGGCTTGGACTCTTTACGACTTATTACGGCTTCTCTCCTCGTCCTTCATTCTTTCTTCTGGACCACCCATTTGCTCCCCTCTCACTCTCTTACAACGATGTACTTCCGTGACGGTCATACCAAGCGGTTTCCAGACTACCTCATCTTAAGAACGCCGAAGTCGGTTTTGAACTTTGTCTTCAGAGGAGTATCAAGAAACGTTCTCCGGCACATCCATCATTTACGAATACAATTTGACTTCAACTACGACGCCTGTGATTATGAACACGAGATATGGTCGATAGCGATTGGAATCGTTCTTCGGATCCTCCCGGAGCTCAAAGATCTCGTCTTGCTCTGGAGCGGTGCTCCCTCCCGTGTATTCAGAGGTGTACCGTTTCAACTGGAAGCACTCACAAGTACTGTGGAGGTGGACGAGGAAGCGCTCTTATTCTTGCATTCTCAGCCACAACTACGTCTTGTCGAGCTTCCTCATTGGCGAACTGTTGAATTCACCAATCCTTCATTTTCCCACCGCAAATGTCGCTACCCCATTTCCTTTGGCCGGAAAATCCTCCGATCCTCATACCCTTTGATCAACCCACAATCATATCCGCTTTCGCTCTTTTCGGACGAAACGTTCCTTCCCAACCTGTGTGAGCTCAGCGTCCCCCCGTTGACCGCGCAGATGCTGGTTCCTGGGCGACCCGTGCGTTCTGTTGATATCAGACTCACTCGAGGAGAGCGAGTCAGAAACTGGGACGCCCTAACGCGCGCGTTTAGCCAGTCAACGTGTCCCATGGATGATCTTGCAATTGCGACCCTGGACGAGTTTTCATTTGAAATGTTGGATAGCCTGAGATGGTTGCCGAGTTTGATGACGCTTTATGTGCGTGTGTTGGCCCCTGCACGCGTGGACTCGGTAAGTCGGACTATCGTATCATTTTTCTTCCTACTTTCTCGCCACCCCTGAACCTATTCATACTGATGTGAGCGCTTTTTTCATTTTACTTTTCGCATGAAAATAGGACGTGCTCGAGTGGTCCCTCTGGGCGCCCTACTTCACTCCCCTCCCCTACCTTGAGAGTCTCAAAGTGGAGTTTGATGCGCGTCACCTTACCCGGGTTCATCCTCAGTGGCCGGTGCCAACTCTCAAGTGCATCCGGTCCTGGCACCGAACGTGTCCTGATCTTGCGTCGGTTTACGTGGGCCTTTACGCGGGTGATGCCCTTGTTCTCTGGGAGAGGACTCCAGAGATGCCCATGCGGACTGGAAGCAGTGGGTCGAACGACAGTCCCAACGCAGGGCTCGGCGAGACTTGGCCTGCTGTCCAAACCTCGGTCGAAGAAGTCCAGGGCGTTTAGCAAGGCCGTGGTATGATCGGCCGTTTTGGGACGAGACTGTTCCATTGAGGCAGATCTGTGATGAAGCTATCTACGTTCAGTGGATCTGGAAAATGACGACTTGACCCTTTAGTCGTTGCAGAAATAGTGTAACGGATTTCGGACCTCGTGTGTTTCTGTGACATCATCGCGATTCTCGTTCGCTCCCTTGCTGATCATGACAGAACTTATTGTACTGGCAATGTGTAGTTAATCGCGTAGCCCCTCTCCCTTACTTTGTTCGCTTTTATGCCACATGGATTTATCTCAAGTCGAGGATCAAATGAAAATTGTCCCTTCCGATGCAAAAAAGCAGTGATGCTCATTTTGGGTTGCTTTGCGCAAAGTATTGAAATTCCAAGTATCCAACATCATGCCCGCCCCATGCCTCATGGGGAGTTGTCAGCGAACTTCAAACCCTTCTCAATGTTCTTCTTGAGTTCTGGGAGTGCATTCTCGATGAGTTTCTGCTCCGCAGGCGAGATGGAACCCAGTGGGTGAATTTTGGTGATGCCTTCGGGCTAGTTATGAAGATAGAGAAGATTTTAGAGCAATCTAGTGGTGCGAGTGATTTCACTTACACCCAGCTCGACGTTGCTAGAGAAGAAGCTGACACCCTGGTCTTTGAACAAAGGAGATTCGGTGAAGGTTGGGGTGATGACACCTTTCTCGCCATTGAGGGCCCTAAGGAGCGCATGAGTGAACTTGGCCGCCGCTGGAGGATCGCCGACCAGTGGTTGTAATTGAAAAGGCGTATGGATCGCTCATGAGAAAGCGTTAACCAATTTCAAAATTCATCAAGACACACCATAAGCCATGGAGAGCGTGGCGCTACCGGCCCCATCCTTAGCCTTAACAACTTCATCACCGCCAAATTGAATTCGATGCACGAGGCTAGACCAGTCTTCGGAATCCTGGCTAAGGGCTTTGCCCACGGGAGACTGAGAAAGGAGTGGAACAATTGTAACCCCAGAATGTCCACCGACGACAGTAACAGGTGTCTCCACTGGATCCGTACCCCTGACACTAGAAAGGAAGCGCGAGGCACGGACAACATCTAGGGTCGTGATACCATAGAGCCTGTTGGACTGGTAATTACCCGCCTTTTTGAAGACCTCTGAAACGATTGGAACAGTCGAATTCACAGGATCTGGAGAAAACTGTAATTTCGCCTGTCCCTCATATATAAATCCCACGCTTACTGGAAATAACGAGGACGTGGGCGTCGGGAGAATGCTCAGAAATAGACTTGGCGAGGTCCCGAACGATTGAAGCATTGGTGTTGAATAGGTCATCGCGGGTCATACCAGGCTTCCGGGGGACACCGGCAGGGATGAGAATGATCTTAGACCCATCGAGGGCCTGAGCGACCTGATCCTGGGCGAAGCCCTGGACATCGCTTTGGGTGTCAATGTGACTGACATCGGCAGCCACACCGGGAGCACCGCGGATATCGTACAGACTCAACGCTGAGACGAGAGGGTCCGCCTTAAGAAGTAGAGACAGCGGCTGCCCAATACCACCTACGTCAAACAGCAGGAGAAAAAAGCCAAGGTGAGATAACGATGGTCAATTAAACCCCGAAATAAATCTGGCACGTACCCCCGGCACCCAGGACAGCGACTTTTGTCTGACGAATTGGGGTTGTAGAGAATGATCGCAAAAGCGAGCGAGAGTGAATAATACTCTGGCGAGCTAGTAACATTGTGTGTGCCTGCAAAGGGGAGCAAAAATTGCCGGATTCGGTTGTTTCCTCTATATGTGAACTCGTGATGGGAAAACTTTCGGCCGAAGTGTCTTCATTTACCCAAAGCTGCAGCCTGCTGCAGCGCCATTTGATAGTACTTGAGCTAACTGGCGCACACCATACGACTGTTTTGGAATTGGGATCATTTCCAGTCCGGTGCGCCCATCCACTTGCGATCAATAGTCGAGTCCGTATCACTCGATGGCCCATCATCGCACCGTTGGACCGCCTTTAGTCCCGGACACACGCATTTTTTGCTCCCTTGCCACCCTTCCTGAGCCACCACCCGCGACAATTGTGGTCCTTCAGAGACCAAGACGTACTATTGCTACACCTTCCTCATCAAGCAGCCAACGGTGTTTTTATTGGTCAAATGATTCCCAAAACCGCTCGCCAAGCGAGCACCGCGACGGGCAAGTCCTTTGATCTATTATCTCCCTGGATCTTGTAGGATGGGCAGCACCTGTCCATGGATGCGTAAAGTATTTATTGCGCTCAACTTAGGACGATATTAGAACAAGCTCGAAATCGACATCTCGCATCGATGTCCGTCCTTGACTGTACGGCTCAACTGAAAAGGAAATATGATGTGGGCAAAAACTACAGTTTGTGTCGCGGAACAATTCCAATGCAATCATGTATGCAATGTCCGATCTGATGGCAAGTTTATGTAAGGTAGTAACGGTAGGCGAGGATGATGCCAAAGAGAGCAATTAAGAAGAGGAAGAGGTTTGCGCTATAAAGCAGATAACTGGCTTATTAGTCGATTGAAATTCTTTTAATCAAGCGTACTTGCTTTGTGGGACTCTTTGCGGGACCCTCTTCGAGGCGTCCGCATACAGGACCCCAATTCTTTCCGGAAAGATTCAGTGTGAGGCGGAGATGAAGCGAGAACGCAGCACGCGAATGTCACTCACGTCAAAATCACCGACATACAAACCCTTCAACAAGTCGCGTGCTTCGTCCGAGTGTCCAACATCCTCGAATGCCTCTGTGGCGTCTTTACCTACAGATATGCCAGGCCTATGAGGAAGAACAACACGTCCAAGTAAAAATAACCAGGGACTGACCAGCTTCAGCGAGGATAACCTCGTCGCCGCCAGGATGCTGCGACGCATATCACGAGGAAATATTGAGAGCGTGACCCCCAGTAGTAGGAAAAGTTACACACCTCGTCCAGAAATTGGGTAGCATCATATACTGAAATTCCAACGTAACGCTATTTGGCCTGACCTGTAAACGAGACTCTGACGAACCTTTGCCACTGATAACGACGTAAAGACTCTCGCGCGTACTGTGAATCTTGAGGGTTTTGAGGCTGATGAACTTTGTGGGTGGATCCGTCATTTTTGATGCTGGGAACAGCATAAGGAGAGTCGGTGTAAGCTGTTTGGCCTTAGAAAGGGGATCGCTGAATGGAACCACTGGATATTCAGCCCTTCACCGAATGACGCTCGATGACCTCGTGGAACTATTATACGCCCTTCGAAGTGATGATGCAATCGATTGAGTGGAATGCACAAGGTTTGGAATGATGGGATGCTGTTTGAGGGCTACAGCCAAACTGCCAGATCGTGCGAAGTTTGCATGGTCTTAGCCATCCAAATCGCCACGTTCCAACTCCCTTCAGCATGCATCAACACGTCTGCCTGTAGCTAGTATCCGGAAGTGCAACGTGCCTTGTAGCCTTTCCAGTATTTTTTATCGCCTTGCGCTCGATTTCTGCAGATCATTATCTCCTGACTTATTGTCTCCGTGATCTTGTCACCTGCTTCATCCATTGCTATCCGGCAGGATTAGATGCTGCGATAGGGACCAGGTTCTAGTGGATGTTACACAACGCCTGTGCATCTTATTGGTTTTGCCTAAAAGTTGTACTTTGCTTTGAATAATGCGCTGACAACGTCCTTCACCTGGTGTTACTTGAGTGGCGGTCGAGTTTTGGAATTATGGAATGAGCCACCGAAAAATAATATACTTGTCACGGGTTCATGAATTATATGTCTGACTTGTCTGACTTGATCGACATACTCAAGTCCGGATTCAAATTTTGTATTACAAATGTAGAAGTCACGCTCTGCTTTCAATACAAAAGTCACATGCTACACGGGGATAAACCCAAGTCCGGGTTTAGGCATTTGCCGGAGTCTGGGGCCCATGCGAGGTTCCCATGCAGAAAGGAAAAATCTAGACATGTAAACCGGTTACTTTGGTATGAGGTCGGCACCCAAGCCGGTGTTGGGTGTAACCACTTATATATTACTTCGCATGTAACAAGAATGTTGGGTGTTGCGGTTCAGATGGTGGAGAGTTAACTTTTCATTTTGAAGCCATGGGTTCGATTCCCACTAGGGGTAAATCTTGTTTGCTTGTTTTTTTTGGTTTTTGCATTCCCATCTGGTTGCAGTGGGAATTTTTTATGCACAATGCCAGTAAATTAGGACATCGGAAAGGGATGGAACCGAATCCATGCCTTCATATAAGTATTCTGGCCCAGGTTGGAATACAAACAAAAAGATGTACACAGTGGGAATCGAACCCGTGGCTTCAAAATGAAAACCCCAAGTTAACTCTCCACCATCTGAACCACAACACCCAACATTCTTGTTACATGCGAAGTAATATATAAGTGGTTACATCCAACACCGGCTTGGGTGCCGACCTCATACCAAAGTAACCGGTTTACATGTCTAGATTTTTCCTTTCTGCATGGGAACCTCGCATGGGCCCCAGACTCCGGCAAATGCCTAAACCCGGACTTGGGTTTATCCCCGTGTAGCATGTGACTTTTGTATTGAAAGCAGAGCGTGACTTCTACATTTGTAATACAAAATTTGAATCCGGACTTGAGTATGTCGATCAAGTCAGACAAATAAACGAATAAACGAATAAATTCGGCCAACTCCGCTACAAAGCAGCTAAGGTAAGACATACAAGCCGACCTCGTTGGTCCGTAACAACGCATAGAAAACACAGTGAAAACCAACACACTCCGACCAATTTCTTAACTACTTTCCTAACTTTCGACGGCCCTTAACCATCTCCCCCCAAACCCAAAATAAAACCCCAAATTCTCCCTGCCAAATGAATGAACCCGGAATGCCACACATGTCCCATAGCGGATGCGCAACGCGAGGACAAAGCCGGAAAGCGACGATGGATGAAAGGGATGTGTCCTAAATACCACAAATTCGCTCCATGAGGCCAAAAATGAGAGTCGTGAGAAGAACATTGAGGGGAAAACAAAACTGGAATGAAGTCGATGATTGCCCTTTGCAATGCCTCGGAAGCTTTGTCTTCCAGTAACTCCTTGGTTCTAGAACAGAGCCCTGACACTGCGGATATGCGAAAACTTCGGAACACTGGGCATTCGGAAAACAAATGGTGCATGGACTCTGCGGAAATGCAACCCAATCTACACTGCGCTGATGCAACCAACCCTCTTGCATGCAGAAGAGCGCGAGTTGGAAGCTGCCCCGAACGGGCATACAGTTGAACACATGCTGAAAAACCCGCACTCGTTCGTTCATATGGGAAAGAAGGGCTCGTCATTGCCTGAAAACCAGGCATTCGCTGGTGTGAAGTCCAGAATAAGTGCCTCGCTGACTTCTCAGACCACTGAGAAGATGCAAAGGATAACACATTATTCTCGATGAAACCCAGGAAAGGACGCCAAAGAGAAAAGGCATCCATGGTGAAAGTCGGCAATGGAGCCAACGGAACGATTGAAGGACGAGAGTGTGCGAGAGAAGCAGCATGATCAGCAGCGCGGTTTAAGACTGAGGGCATGTCCACGGCCTGAGTGTGAGCTTTAACATGATCGAAATGAATGCCGTTTAGCCGAGTCAAAATGTCCTTGAACCAACGGTAATACGAACGTGCATTCTTGTATGCCCAGAAGTTTGGAGGGAGAGAGTGTGAACGAATATCCTCTGTGAGCCGAACAGATTGTAGATGATCTGAGTAAACGTGCGAAGGCCCGACACCAAGTGCTGAAATGAGCAGGCCAGCGGAGATGAGAGCCAGAACCTCCCCTGAATGCTGGAAGCATTGACCCCAACAATTCTCAAGGACACAGGATGAGGCCCAACCACCGCAGATGTTACTGAACCTGCAACCTCTCGACAGGAACCATCCGTTGCCCACATAACAGGATCCAAAGGAATAGGATCCAACAACGCTTCCAATCTAGCCAAGGCCACAATACTGTTCTCTGCAAGGAGTTGTCGTTCTTGAGTAGGCAGGGAGAGAGAGACCGGACCTGACACCAAGTCGGACAATGACAAAAGTCCGAGCCAATGGCACATAACCCGATAATTGTAGAACTGTGGTGAAGGGAACTGGAATGGGTTAGGAAGGGAAGTGCCAAAAGAGGGAGGGGAACAATTCTGCACAGGTGGATGACTCCAAGATCCCCAAGCCCCAAGGAAAGCGTGAGATGTCCCTCGATAGCAGCGAACAATCGATGAATGCGGTGCCCGTGACGACTTCTTAGCCAGGTGGGAAAGTGATACATGACCGTCCAAGATATCGGACTGGTCCATGTGTCGGATGTGGAGGTCAAGTTGGCGGAGACAGTCATGAGCCACAGTAAAAAGAAAAGGTAAAGAACGCCGATGACGGAGAAAAGACAAACGTAACCCAACTGAATCAAAAGGGAAAATACAAGGCAGAACAGAACACTCCCAATCCGCCAAAGATATGAGAGACATATGTCTGAAAATCAGAAGATGGTGGTTCAAATCACGGAGTAGTCCAGCCAGAGCAAGAGAAGCATTGAGATGTGGAATGGACGTGAAACCGAAGCCATAGTGATTCGAGGGGAGAGAAAGCACTTGAGTGGAAGGGGAAAATGGGAAAGGAAGATAAGAGTGGACGAGAGACGCGATTTGTGACTGAAGGGATGAGGCATGCGACGGGGAGACTGGATGCAAGGCCAAATGAGCCCGAACTTTTGATATCAATAGTTGGTTAACAATTTTCCGGATCACTGTGATAGGGAAACGTTGATAGGATTTCGGAATGATAAAAGATGAAATCAAAGATGATAAATGATTGAACTGTGAGTTTGGGTCATTAATGGATACACGGAGGAAATGAATATGATCACGACGAACTGGGACCTGGACCATTGGGACTAGAGGAGATGAAGGGCAAGAAAGTGAAATTGTTGGCATAGAGATGGAATCGGCCTTGAAGGAACTCGAATTGAGCACAACGACCTCCGATTTTTCCCAAGCCGTTAACCAACCATAAGCCAGTTGGAAACGTTCCATAAGTAGACACATTGAGCGGATGGAAGAGATGGAAGATGCAAAAAGGAGGGAGTCATCCGTCGCCTCCACCATAGAGATTCTAATAGACAATGAATCAGCATGACGATGGGGGTCAGCATTGCGCGCCTTAATAGACGAAATCTTGACCCCGTGCTCCTCTGACAACCAACGATGACCTAGACTAGTTGTAAGGGCCGACTTGAAAGGAGATAGCGAGCCACCCTGTTTTGTTACCCCGTTAATGATGATTGGCGGAGTATCGCCATAAGCGGTGCGAAGAGAGCAGCGAACATCGAGCTGGGATGACTGGTCCAGATTGATTATGCTCTCAGGCAGCCCGTAGGCTAGGATGGCATCATGAAAACCCGTGGGGGAAAGGAAATCGAAGCCCTTCTGTTGGTCGCGCTTCAGAATAAAGAGGGGTGTAGACGTACGGTTGGACCAGGCCTCAACTTGGGCAAGGAAGCTGGTCATGTCTCTACCCTGAACACCCTGCTGAGTTGCGACTTGAGTTTCGGGAATGAGCTGAACCTTGACATTGTACAAATTTAATTGTAAGCTCAGCCAGGCAAAAGGAAGATTGGCAAGAAGATTTGAGAACATGATTCCTCGTTTATTCTGGAGCTGTGTAGTGAGCCCCCGTTTGTGAAGCGTAACCAGGACTGTATCCCTGAGAAAAGCTGGAATGAAGGAATGAGTGATTTGGAAATTTAGGAGGGATTGCACCAGGGATAACGCGGAGTCTGACAGTGCCTTAACACACCACTTCTCCCATCCATCCGGGCCTGGGGCTGGGTGAGGGTTACCCCGACGGAGGAGTGAACGAAGCTCAGGTAAGGAGACACAGCGGGGCCATATGAAAGGAGAGTGTAGGACCCGATCTCTCAGTGCGCGAACTGGGGAGCAATCAAGCCAAGGTTTGTTGTCCTCTGGGGTAGGATGATGATGATAGAGATTGGTAAAGTAGCGAATGGTTGCATCCTTCACTGCCTCCTCTCCTGATACTAACTGATGTGTGTCAGGATCCTCTACCACCAAGGGCGAGTCAGCTGCCAACTCATATGGCATGAGAGACTTCGCTGAGCGGCCTCTAAGAACGGCAAGCACCTTTCGACGGTGTGCCAATGAAGCACGTTCATGAGCCAGTCTGTTTGAAAGGGAATATCGCTCCTTGAATAGACATTTCCGACGTTGGCGGAGGAAAACAATGGCATGTTCACGGTCCATCGAAGAGGGAATACGCAAGAACTCTGGGCGCAGTCGCAAAGGGAGAAAGTGAACAGAAGGTAGAGGACCTTGGCGAAGTCGGAACAACAAACCACCAACAGCACGAATGCAGTAGTTGACTTGTCTAATCTCGGGAGAGGAGATTGTAGGAGGCCGTAATTGAGGCGAAAAAGCTCTTCGACGACCAAATACATCCTCCCCTGCTGAGAGTAGAATTTTTGAGAGAGCACGATAGACAATCTCGAACTCATCTAGGGACACAATCTCATGAGTGAGGAGCCCTTGGTCCGCTATTTCACGGTCCACCCTGCCAGAAAAATCCTCAAATTTCGCTTTAGTAGAGCTGGACGGGTAAGGATAGAGCAGACGCGGAGGTGGAAGGGAACGCTGAGGTAAGAAAGGCACAAGAGAAGGGCCTTCTGAGCCAAGTATGTGAGCGGAGATGTGAATGGCACGGTGATCTGTGGCACCCAGGAAATCCCGCTGGGTCTGGATGGATGCGGAGAAAATTGGAGAGGATGAGATCACTGCTCTATCCACTACTGACTTGGCCCCATTCGCATAAGACCTAAGCGTGTAATCTGAGTTGACATCCACGTCGTGCTTCAGAGACCATAAATCGAGAGCGTCCGAAGCTGTGAGGAAATCTTGGTAGATCAGAGCCTCTGGTGAAAGAGCACCCGATGACCGTTCCCTCGGGGCCATGGTCACATTAAAATCCCCAGCAGCCATCCACAGGTGAGGGAATGGTTCTTGCAATATGAGGCTCCGAATTTCAGACCAGAAAGAACGGAGGGATTCCCGCGCGGCATTACAAGGGGCATATATCCCCAAAAGCCGTAGGACCTTGGGGGCTAGAGAGGAGGAGGCTAGGATAACGTCGAGAGCAACTACCCTGCCCTGTAAAACTGGAGGGACAGAGAGACGACGCAAAACTTGGAAGTTTTTCCTCACTCCCAAAGCTAGACCCCATTTCCCACATCGCCGGGCTAGTGGCAAAGCTGGACTCTCATATACCATATAGTTGGGAAGGCTCAACAAGGGCATAGATGGTGTCGTTGATTTGGTCTCAGATAGAACGAAAGCGAGAGGAAGAGTGGATGTGATGAGGGACGTAATGAGATGGAGCTTGAAAGCATTTCCCAATCCGTTCACGTTAGCCGCGAGAACACTGAAATCCGTTGAAGTCGCTTGGGCCCCCGGTAAGAAGAGAAAGAACAGGAAAGGTAACAACAAGAAATGGGGGTTGCAAACCAAAGCCCATACAACGGTTTGTATAGAGAAGTACACCCACAAATAGGCCACAGACAAAGAAACAACTGAGACACGGGGAAGGGAAACTGGGACAGCTGCAGAACAGAACACTGAAACACAGGTCGGAGCAGTAGACAGGAGAGGTCCACTTGCATGTGCCGACTGAAAGGGTAAACCAGAGGGAAAAATAACATGGGGAACAGATGGAGGAACAGAGGGGGAAAGCGAAATGTGATCGGACCGCATGCAGAAATTCAGCCCTGAAGAAGCAAGCAAGGCGGGGGTAAGACAGAGGGAAAGTTAACTAGCGGAAGAGATGGAGCAGTAGGGGAAAGGGAAACATGATCGGATACCAAGCGGAAATTCAGCCCTGAAGAAGCAGGAAAAACAGGGGGTGAGTAAGGGGGCCCAAGAACAGAGAAGATTAGATGGTAGAGAGCATCGAAGGATCGATGTAGTCGAATGACTGAGGCATGAAAGAGCAAAGAATGCATCAGATACGGCACCTTACGATGGCGTTTAGCTGATGGGCCAGGATCATCGGGCGTGCCCGGGGACTCCAGGGCCATATCGGCGTCGTCAAATTGGATGGACGATGACTGAATCGCCTGTTGAGGAGACAGGCAGTCGATAGTCATGCTGGTGCCAATTTGGAGATCTGAGAGGCTCTTGAACAACACGCTATTCGTTTTGGAAGCAGACTGAACTTGTTGGTGAAGAACCATAATTTTGTTGGTGATGGCATCCTTCTCGGCATCCGTCTTTGCGTGATCCCGCTCCAACACAAGAAGAGTAATCTCTTCACGAAGGCCCGAAACCTGCATCTGTCCACCGATAGTGTGTACCATTCCAGCCATCGATTTGTTAAGCGCGGCAACGGCGTGGCTTTGAGCTTGAACGACAGAAGACATAGAGCTCACAACCTCATTAGTCTGACGCATCTGTTCAGTCAGAGTGGTGATAGCACGGTCAGCTCCGGCAGTCACTGTCTCGACCTGAAGGCGGTGTTGAGCCAGCTGGTCATATACTTTGGCCATACTCGCATCGTGGGAGACTGCGAGAGTGTTGATTGCGGCCGCAGTGGACCTTGGTATGAAAAAACCTTTACCGTTGAGTTGATAAAGAAGTTTTGGAGGGGAGATCTCGGCCTCTGAGGACGCGAGGTATTCAGAGAAGAAAGAGACGTTGTTGGTGATCTCATGGATAGTGTCCCAATCCTTGACATAAAACACCAAAGCGTTATTTCCTTGCTCCATCGTATAGCCTATGAATTGTGCAGGGTAGCGGGTCTTGACCATGCTGGCAAGCTGCTGTGCGAAATCGTCGGTATAGCGAGCCATGCCAACTATAGCTCCCGCGTACGGCCAAAGGGGTTGGACACATGCCTTAGACTTTACGCTATAGGCCTTTCTTCCGATGGTCAGGCCGGAATCGACCAGACGGGCAACGTCTGACTGTGAATGAAGCAACACAGCGGTGGAAGAGCCGTAGACGCTGGCATAATGAGCTCGGATGTTTACCGCGCCAAGAGCGCGCAAGACCTGGGCTTCCCAATCCTTCGGGGTAACGCCATCTGAGTCGTAAACCAGCGAAATAATCCTGAGGTTATCCACACCAAACATAGGACTCCATACTGTTCCGAAGGCTAAATCCTCTAGTGGTTTAATCCATTTCTTCATGTGATGCGCCTGTTTAACTGAATTGACTACCGACGCGTCGGGTCGGAGATAGGCGTAGTCGACAGATTTCCCACGCGTAGAGGAACGATAGACTGCGACTTTTATGAGATCGGTATGACGAGAAAGTAGGTCAGCGACGACCTTTTTTAGATGACTCTCGGCGGAATCCGGCGTTGTGGCTGGGAGGTTGCGGACAAGTAATTCGCAGCATTGGAGCGACGACGATGGGAGGGTTTGCTGGTTTTGAGAGAGATTAGATTGGACGTCAACGGATTCAACCCCCGGCAAAACAAAGTCGGATTCATTAATAGCTGTGTTTGAAGTCTGGGCTCCGGAGTCGGACATAGTAGATGGATAGAATAGGAGTGAAACGAGGTAGGGGATAGGGGGACAAAGGTGGCAAGGGTCCTAGGGCGACAACTATAGGGCGAGAGACGGGAAAAAAGCTAGGTTAGTGCGATCAACGCGCTTTGTCAGCCAAGAAACACAACACGAAAGGAGGTTAGGACAACAGAGGCGATGAGGGTGTGGCAAAACTAATCTGAAGTTGAAGGCGACAGGCTCTGCTTAGGTTGGTGTTAGGTTACTGTTATGGGCAGCGGTCGTGGTCGTGGTCGTGGTCAGTGACAAGTCAGACATATAATTCATGAACCCGTGACAAGTATATTATTTTTCGGTGGCTCATTCCATATGGAATGCAATGCCTGATGATTGAGCGCACATGAAATAGCTATTCGTCATTATTCGACCTCGATCCAACCGTCACTGCAGTACCGCCGTTACCATCTGTTTGGAATCTGTGTAGCGTTGCGATCATGATCCCATCACTCCGGCATCTTGATCCCCAACATACATAAACTAGGCGTCCTTGTGGTGCTTAGCCCCTCGCTGCTGGCGTCAATCAAGCCCTCTAACCTATTTCGTTGTGCGTTTCCCTCTGACCCGGTGTACTGGTTACAGTGAGTGCCGCCGTGCCAGCCCCACTCACTACGACACTGAAACTTAACGGGTCGTCCGCAGCTTGCCGTCCCTCATTCCCGTCGCGCTTCGTTCCAAAAATAATTACTCAAGAACCGTACTAGCTAACATGCGTGTATTTGTATTCGCCTCTCTTATCGGCTGCTTCATGGTCTTCCCAGTCATGGCTACTTCCTTCAAGTAAGAATCGTGCGCTACGTATACACACGATGGGCTAATCGTGCATGCCTTCAAGCGTTGGCGACATCTTAAACTCGGGACTGACAGAGAAGCATCATGAGGAAATCACCCACGAGCGTCGGGACGGGTGAGGTTGAGGTAAATGTATGTCCATGGACTCACCATCTGATCGACTTCCATTCAGCGGGACCCAAGGCTTAGGATCCTTCGGTGATTGGGACTCGGGGAGCCCGGTTTCGTTCACCACACGAAGCCTCCTTGACGAACTAATCAACAAAATTAGTTCCAAGCGCGATGAAGAGGTCCCCGCTGCTGATATCGGTGCTGATGCTGAGGAAGCAGAGCTCCTTAGGCGTGCACTTTTGTCCAAGGATAGACCCCTCGCCAAACTTGTTCTGGCTCGTAAAGTGGCTGATAAGCAAGGACGAGGTTCTGGGAAGTCCTGGTCCCGTCGAAGTCCCCAAAGCCAGCTGCCCAAATTCAGAATTGGCCTTGCAGGAGCGGGTTACTTCGCACCTGCATCTCGCATCAACAGACGTGCATCCGAAACTAATCATGGTTTGGCTGATATCATCAAGGCAATGAGTGTTCGGTAAGCCTTTCCTGTTGTTTGTTGCGGGGTATCAACTCACGCATGGGTCATGCATTAAGCAGGAGTCACCTCACGTATGACCCACTTGTTTACGCTACTGGGAATTACAAAAATCTAAACCTAATTTGATGGTAATCCCCATTTCTTTGTTCCTTTGGATCTGCTTCCCAGTCCCGCGCTATCTAATTTTATTGAGGCTCTTGGAGAATGAACGGGGTTGACTGTTTCTGTTTCATCTTTGGATGCCCATCACATTGACCACAAGATTTATCTGGCTCCGCTTACATGTATTGTCCAAAAGTTGTACCTGCGTAATGGCTAATCAGACAGATTCCCGTCCTGACTGACGATGCGGGCGACATTCCTCGGGAGTGGCGTTCGAGCCAAAACTGTCGCCGCAACGTCATCGGTCTAGACCAATCACCCGGTGTTAATTCTGAAACCGCGTCGAAAGTTTCGCTAAACTGCACGTGGGCGACTGTCACCGAGTCTGAGTGGTCGGCAACTGAGGGCAGACATCCAAAGAGTGACACGTGATGCAAAAAAAATGGCGATCACCTCGCCCAGAAACCATCCCATCACATCCATTGGATGTTTAATGGATTCGGAAATTCATGGGCACGAAGCGGATCATTCAGTGGAAGTACTTGTACTGAACTTTCGCTGTTGAGGACATTGTCTAGGCCATGCTTATAAAAGGGCCCTGATGGCCTTTTTCTCCTCTCCCTGTTGCCTGGTATCTCGCGCTCTTCTGGTGAATGAGATCCAACTTGCTGCTCGTTTTCCGGGCTTACACCTTTTCCCACCTGCTGCTACTCTCGTTCACTGCTTGGTACTTCCACTGGAGCCAGCTCTCGGTGTTACGGCTTATAGGGTATTAAACGTAGATTGATTCCTAGATATGCGTATCCTGTCCTCGCAAGCTGAGCACTTACGTAAGCGCTCAGCTTTACACTCGCCCTCCTGCGAAGACAGGATAAGTACTCGCATCTAGGAATCAATGTTAGTCAAATGGTCGGGTATATAGACCTAAGATTGCATAATGAATATCTAATTTTCAACTGATGAGGTGCTTGAGTAAATCCCAAATTGTTCTCGGAGTTTCGTGTTGCCACCAGCCGTCAAATGTTTAGAATTAACATTGATCATGCAACAAATGACAGGGGTTGCTACTACTGTGTCCGCCGTTCGCATTTACAGGCGCTTCAAGCTTGTGAAGGCCTTGATAGAAAAAAAGCAGCCTTATCATACAGATCACAGCCATTCATCATCCTCGTCGAGGGGTCCCCAGGGCTCGTCAACATCAAATCCCCGCGCGGTTGTCACCATGCATACAGTGCCATACGCCGTCGCCAACGAGGGCTCATTACCGTATGTGACAAAATCCACCTTAACGAACTTTTTAGGGTCCTCATTCACCTCGATGATCCCTAGCACCCGAGGGCTTCAACCGTTGTGTTCATGGATGAGTGTATTTACGCCGCCTTCCATCTCACTCCATGTGTAGAGCTGGGCAGATCGAGGGAGTATTGCACGAGTTCGATCCTCGGGTTCATATTCGGCGAAGAGAACGTGGTGAAAGGTGACGCTGACGCCCGTTTGAATTAACATGTGATAAAGAACGGCATCACGACCTTTGAGCTGAGAGAAAAGATGAAGTATGAATGCAAATACTACGCCGTAGGGGCTGCATCGTCCCTACCCTGCGACTGACTGAATCCGCCTTCTCCAATGCCCCGCCATGGGCTAGGTGGATATACTCATGAGCCATCGAGGATGATCGCATAGATAATGACTCACATATTGATGTTCCAGATAGAAGCACAGACGAGGATGTTTGATGTTGGTGAAAACACCGGGAGCAGTGAGTGCGTGATATAGCAGGCTGAGATTGTGATTGGAGCCCGAGGATTCAGCCAAGATTTCGGTGCCAAATGATGAATTGTCGCTGCTAGTGCTATCAAACGAGAGCGTGTACGAGAGCGTCACTCTGTCAAATATTAGAATGGATTGCGAAAACGGTTATTGGATACGCTCACCGATGGCCGCTCGTGACCGGCAAAACTTCATGCTCACAATCAGAAAAGAAGGCTATCCACTCGAGATTTGCGCCGCTTCCCCATTGAGTAGTGTACTCCTCGCGGCCCTGGCTGTTGTTGCTGCTTTCCGATCCTGGTGCTCTGACCACAAGCTGACCTCCCTCGTGTGGGGCAGGCAAATTAATTAGCAGTGTCCCGAACATGTCTGAGGAGCGAGGGGTGTCGATGTGTCCCTTGAAGAAGTCGCCAGTAGAATAAACGTTAAGTTTGTCCAAAGAAGCAATGATCCGGACCCTTCCAGTGTCTCCCTCCAGCGCATGCAGAAAGTTTTCATTATCGCTCATCTCTTCGGCGGGCGAGTGCAGATTCGAAGGAAGCAGAAACTTGGATATGGAAGTAATAATACCTAGACTGTAAGGGTCCAGGCTCCCTGCAGGAAAAACTCCAAAGTTCTCCTTTTGCAGCACGAGGGCGCGACGGTACGAAGGATCGAACACGTCTTCTTTTCCTCTCCCAAACGAGGCCTGACTAGATGCATTAACGAGTGGCACGATTTCGCTCACATTCTTCAGCGGGAAAGAGACGGGAGTGAATTTGGGTGATGATCCCCCAGACGTTTCAGACAGAAGTATAGTTAGGGGTACGTTCTCATCCAATGGGATGTTACCAGTGCAGAAGAAAGGACGCTTGGTCGCCTCGAGAGCGGATTTAATGGCCTGAAGTTGTTCTGGGATGTCAGTGCTTTCAGCGTTTCTCGACATTGCAGGAGAGTAGAGAGAGGTGGTTCGAGTCAGCAAGTAACGACCACTGCACTCAAAACTCAGGTTATTGAGCAGACTCCTACCCAGTCGTCTGGTTGAGCTAACACGAATTCCCCACATGGCTAATCTAAGATCCAATTCCTATTACTCTGTAGGGGTCTTGTAAATTTTTCGGTTCCGAATTGAATGCCAAAAACGACGGGGTCCTCTATCATTTCATAACTCAGGGTCCTGCCTTTATTCTTCCGTTTCTTTTTTAATCCTCTCTTTGTACAATCCAACGTCTCTCGTCCATTATGGGCTTTATTGCGGTGGGCTGGAGACTTGTATACGCAGCCGACGATCCTTTCGTCAATTTCCATAGAAATGGGACTGCTGTGACATCCTCTACACCGAGGGCAATTGCGACTTTTGAGTTCTCTGGAATTGGGATATGGGTTTACGATGCTAGACGTGGCGTGTTCGTTCCAGTTATTCGATTTCGGTACCGAGATGCTTATCGCAAAGTTTGGAAGCATGTTGTCCCGTTCGAACATATAATGATTCCAAATATTCAGGCCACGGCTCTCACTAGTCGTGTAAATTTTAGGAAGTCACGTCATCAGATACAGAAGTATGAAAGGCCTGTCTTTCTTGGTCGACGCACTCAATTGTTGAAATCCGGTTTGAGCAGAGTGAATGGAATACGTACTGTCACTGAAGTGATTCTACATCATACTACATACCGTTATTCTTTTGAGTTGTTGTCAACATTGGTTAGAAGTGATATATAAAAAATAGGTGGGGCCGTATGTACGGACGATAGCACAGGGAGTGCAATCAGCTATACGAAGATTGAATAAACGAAGAAATAGCTCAGTCTCTAACTTGAGAATGAGGGAAGGGAAAAAGTCCAGCGCCCCGCCCAAATAATGTATATATAAAGATTTTCGTTAGTCGCAATGATTTCCAACCAGAAGAACATAGGCAGGAAGGACAATTGGTAATATTCCCACGGGTCTGGCTCTGACAACCCGCGGTGCGGGATCTTCAGATAGATATACGCGCATGACGTTCAAGGCCGTCTTCACCCACGGGTGTAGAACAGTTTTTAATCTCCTGTGGTCAAACTCACGCGAATTTTCATCAACGTCTCGGCGCGTACCTGGGAGAAAAAAGAGTTCTAGACATCGATTAGAGGATCGGCAACGCGTCTCATTAGGGCCCAAACCAAGTGGTAATAGAGGTATGGACTTTCTAACTCCTTGCGATCCGTTGTTGCGTTTTAGATGCTGACTGTATTAAGGCAATTTTGCAACTGGGTCAAAGGGACACGATCAGCGCAGAATACGGGGTCCGTACATTACATCCATAACCCCTATCTCTATCATTTGCACTGCTTATAGCTTTACCGACAGGTACTCGCACCTCGCTGTCCTCCATTCATGGCATGCACAATTTCTCCTTTCATGTTCGAATCATTTGGCGCTCAATGTTCATTCAGGAAGATCTTCACCTGTCCAAAACCCTTCAAAGTCGCGTCAAGTCTCTCACCGCCCCCTTTCAGGCCGATCTATGCAGAAGGTAATTATCCTTTCAGTGTATTTTCTGTAGCACTTACACAGAAAGCATAGAAATCATCCTTGCGTGGCGGATATGAAGATAAATTTGTTGCTTCCAGAATACCAAAAGCACCGAGATTGCACGAAGAAACCATCCATACGTTTGAGTCTCCCCCTTTGCTTCAAGGGCTTTCTAATGCACTGAAAGAGGTCCTGGGCAAGCAAGCACAGCCTACTCCAATCCAAGTGTTGTCCCTCAACAATTACTTTTTTCACCGAAAGCAACGTGCTCTACTGAGCCAGACTCCCACTATCACACTTATGGCGTCGGAAACCGGCTCCGGCAAAAGCATAGCTTACCTTCTACCTGTGCTTCAATCTTTGAAAGAAACGGAAAAACCATTACTATCGACATCTTCACCTCTTCCACAAACACCACGAGCAGTCATCCTGGCACCAACCCATGAGCTTTGTCGGCAGCTTAGCGCGTATGCGAAATCCCTGTCTCATGAAATCAAGATAAAAACAGTATGCTTCTCTAACCCCTCCAAGCCCTCGACAAGTGCGATCCAAGCAATGAGGGAAAGCCTCAGAAACGAAGATAGAGGTCCTTCTGTAGTCTACCGCCAGCCTGATGTCATAGTTTCTACCCCTTCACGTCTTGCTCACCTCGCTGGATTGGAAGTGATTACCGATAAGGAAAGCCCGTCCGCTGCGTCGCGTCCGAAAAAATCATCTTTATCACGTCCTGAAGTGGCCCTGGACGGAATGGAATGGTTAGTGATAGACGAGGCTGATGTACTATTTGGTCAGACCCTTTCATATTGCAAATTAAGACTCGTTCATTCTATTCTCTTCGTCACGTAGACCGCGATTTCCGGCAAACTGTCGAGGCTATACTTGCATCAAGGTTTGAGGGACTTCAAAATGGCCCTCCCTTGACCGCGGGCCCTCGCCTTAATATTATTGTTAGCACCGCAACAGTTCCCCAATCGCTCAACAAATACTTAATGGAGAGATTTCCGAACATGACGCGACTAACATCACCGAATCTTCACCAACTTCCAAAGCGACTACGTACTGAACGTGTGGTTGTTTCGGGAACCCATCCCTTTGCTGTGATGCACAAAAAGCTAGTGGAAATATTCGCCGCTGACAGCATGTCTATCGGCAATAGACAAAAACAAACTCCATCACGCGTTATCGTGTTCTGTAATCGGTCTGAAAGAGCGGAGCAACTGGCATCGTATCTCAAAAGCGTGGCTATGTCATGTTTCGTGATGACGAGTAGCAGCGCGGGTCGAAGAAAAGGATCAAATAATCATATAGCCGAATTCTTAACCTCAGCCTCTCCGCCCGATGCCAATTCTCAGAACGATGCCATACCCTCACCACGCGTGCTAATAACCACTTCTCTCCTTGCGAGAGGCCTCGACTTCGCGTCTTCCGTCACTCATGTACTCATCGCAGATGAACCGCGCAACGAGATTGATTTTTTGCACAGAGCGGGACGCACGGGTCGTAGAGGCCGACCTGGTACTGTTGTCCTCTTCGGCAAGGTCGCATCTAGGGGTCCGAAGCGAGTTGGATTTACTTGATCTAGTCCCGGGAATTGTAGGATGTTGTCTCCAAGAAACATGTACACCTTCACATATGCGTTAGGTAGCGAAAGTGAAGACACTTTCGCCGATAGTCACTCTGGCGGTCCGCGGACCTGGCCAATCAAATACTAGTGAATCGCAAAGTTGTTCGTATGTTGTATCTGGGAAAGTTTAAACAGGCAATTTCAGCCGCAGAACTGACACACGAACCTGTTCTGACGGTTATGGGGAACTTTTTGAAAGGTTCGGAGCTCGAGTTCCCTTGTCGTGGTGGAGCACCGGGCATGAAGAAGCTGACAAGGCTCGATCCAACTTTCCACACCATCACAAGCCCTTCTTCCAATGATACTGTAATTAATCGACGCCCATCAGGAGAGAAGGTGCAAGCGGACAATCGTTGTTTGTGTCCATCAAGCACGTATAACCTGGAGGCCAATTTCAAGTCATACATGATGAGGGCACCTTCGTTCGTGCCGACCGCCAAGCGCTGAGTGGGCATATAGAAATCAATACTCGCGTACCTACGAGATATGAGTCAAGATTTGACTTATGATTGGAGACGCTGCTCACGTTCGCACCACTTGCCCAAGAAATTCGATGGCGGAGTCCAACACTACTTCTCTTGCAGATGAATTGGGGTCCAGGGATTTGACCACCGCTTCCACAAGACGAGGTAGATTTGGATACAATATCATTCGATCCTAAGAATGGAACGAGACATGAATCACACCTAGGGATTGAGAAAAGTCTGTGTACTCTGCGAATTATGTATGCAATAAGCTGCATAGTGGAGCTACGATATTCAACGGAGTTGGTATCCATGATGTCCAATGAAATCGTTGAAATGAAAAGAGGTGTATTGGCCTTGGCAATCTGCAGAACACTCGTTCGTGCTAGTTGAACCAAATTTCGAAGTTGAGTGCTGTCCTTTTGTGCCGGAGTCCCAACAGCGAGTCGAGAAAGGGATCTTAGAAGATCCATGGCGTTCACATAAATTCTCCAGATATGGAACCCACGAGAGCATAAGTCAATGGCGGTTGCGCGATGAGGGGACTGATCGTCACTCATGTATAACTTGATTGATCGTGAGACGTCGATTAGAGTACTGGCATCCAAAAGTGAGCGTTGCATCGGTAGGAAGTGAGCAAAATTACCTTGGGGAACAAATGGCGTATTTCTCAACAGCCACATTTCCTACCACAAATAAAGCAAGTGCCGATATGGGAAACTGCTTATGGGCATCGGCTTGCAGGAACGGAACTATGGTTGAAGGTGAGTCTTACGAGATTCTGCGCAAAGCATCACGTACGGTAATGCTGCCACTCGTCAAAGAGATCGGTGGCAGCTCGATCCGAGAGCAATGTAGCACCAGCGTCGAAGAGATATCTTGCGACGTACTTCTCTTCGCCTGATTGAAAGTATCAGAATCCTCGGGTCATAGGCGCATATTCGCTACTTGCCTGATGACTGTGACCAAATCGAGCCAAGAAGGGGGAATGAGATATTTGGGCACGACTCTCTAGGAGTTTGTGCCAGCCCAGCTTGAGAGAGTAATTTATTGATGAGTTTCGTTGGATCTATCCACTCCGTAAGGCGAGATTCTCGTTGTTCCGGTGCTGAGAGACAAACCTAGTCCAGCTTGACGAAACGCCAACGCAAGGGCAAATAAGCGTCGTGTTTTATAAATTAGAGACAATTCGGTGTTACAAGAAATGGCTGGTATGGCTACTGAACCGCCGTAACTTCAACAAAGAATTAGCGGATTGTGTGCTGCAGAAAAATAGACAGCTCACCCATACATGCCAACTAAAGCGGAACTAAAGTGGCGTGTTTTCGCCCCAAAATTTGCATAACGAGTTTCTTCTTGAGTAATGAGAAAGGAAACAGCCAACATGGCGGCCTCATCGCGACCCGAAGAGGGTGGAGAATGTTCTGGTCTTTCCGGATGCTCGGGCCTCTTACCTTTACCGAATGCCTGCTCAGGAGTCTTGTCACTTTCTGTCGGCGGCAGCGATGCTGAAACGGGCGCCAAACCAAGCAACCGCCACGCATCAACGATGACCGTCCTGGCTGAAAGAAGCGGCGTTGTGGATTGGTATTAATTAGCAACGAGAACACTGGCATACCAACATCCAGTGCACCGGCACTGGAATCGAGGCGTCCCAGACTCCAGCAAGGGAAGTCGGGCTCTTGCTGCTCCAGAGGACCACTAGGACAGCGACATTGAAGACATAGTAGTAGATGATAGAAAGGCCACCCACGCATCAAACCATCCCCCTTGACTCAAAAGCTCCATCGCCTGATCTTGACCCATTGATCTCCAAAATTCCAGTGTGTTCGTGTCCCAAAGGCGAGTTCGCGAATTGCCATACAACAACAATATGCTGTTCGCGCTAACCCAAATCCGCTCTAATGGAGCGACGGATCCCGGTATGACATACAGCCTTGTGAATAGGGAAAGGCAATTACCCTGGCTGCGGGAGTATTGGGCGAGGGCAACTCACAGCTGCAGTGTCTCTACACTGATGACCGCTATCGTACCGCTTATTGACATACATAAGACACAATCATGCATTCGACCTGGATGAGGGTCCGGCAACGTGATCACATATCGTAATGCATCGTGAAATATTGTCCATTTCTTGAGCAGATTCAATGATCTATAGACATGGTTATCAGTCTTACTTCCTTAAAAACAGCATGAACATCTACCCCGTCTCCCACAGAGATACGGTGCCGTCTGCCGTTCCAGCAACAACCAGAGTTTTCATAACATGATAATTGAGGGTGACGTGGAGACTTGTTATCGGCTGGTGCAAAGATCGTTTCGAACCCGCATATCTCGGCAGGTCAAGCCCGTGAACCAGTTGGGAGAGTGGAGCCACTCTTAGATAGCCGTCGCCTAAAAATTGATGAACGCAACCGCTTTAAATCATAATCCAATACTCAACTGCAACCCAGGTATATTTGACTAAGCTCCAAGGGTAGTATTGACGACACGGTCACCGATGGCGGCTTGGACGAATGTAACCTACGTGCTTCCCAAATTCTTGCAATTTGAGGCAAGACGCACTCCTGCTTCTTTGCACGTCGGCTTCCACTTTCATATAAGGGCAGCTTATACAGACTGAGGCGACGAAGTTGAGAACCATCATCCGAGATTACCAGGATCAACGTCGGGGATGCAAGATATAAGGTTACAGTCTCACTTCCCGCCGATTTCGCAACGCTGCATGGCCCGCTTAAACTGAATTTCTTGCGTTGTGCAGAGGCTGCGTACCTAAACTGTTGTATGGATCCTTCGACTGTTGTCTCCAGAGTATTTTCCTGCCCCAACCTTCGATCCTCAAGAATCCAACGCGCTCCTAATAGAATGAGGCAATAACAGGAGCACAAGGATAAAGACTCACAGAGCCTAAAACGACAATACATGACCCATCTAGCAAATGACTGGCATCACGGATGAGACCTAAAGAAGGGCAGGTCTTGAACAGAAGCTGCATGGGCTCGTTTCGGTTTGATTTGTATAACTAAAACATGTTGATATTGGACCTATTGCACACAACACATTTGAACGCACGAGAAGTGTATCTGATGACCAGATTGCGCAAAGGAAAGCGCCTGGGGTATCCGTGGTAAGAAAACAACGCACTCCTTTCACTTGCCTCCCGTCGAGATCAATCCCAGGGGTAGAGATATTATCACCGAGCAAAACTCGATTGTCCAAAAAGTGGATGTCATCTTTCTTGTGCTCGTAAAGCGAAGCCTGACGTCGCGGGATCAGCTTCCCTCCGATTTTAAAAGGCCGATAAATTGCAGAGAGAGGGAGGCGAGGGAGATGCAGCTGGTTTGAAGACGCATCATTTGTTCCTCGGTCGTCAACTGGCCTATGGAGCAAACCACTACTAGACTTCGGTAAGAAGTTTACTGGAGTGACAAGAAAGATGTGACTCTCGGAAAGTCTGTAACACAAAACTTGATCTAAGAGCGGGAGATGAAGGGCGAAGATCGAGAGATTAAGGCTGAACTATACCAGGATTATTATCGGTTGGGCAGGAGAAAGCGCCAGAAGCAGAGGCTGGGCCTTGCACGATCCACTCTCCGAGCCATTCAACAGCTTCATCGTCCACTAAGAAAGGTCTGAGTTCATGGAGATTCAGCTTAAGACACGATACACGCGTTGTCGACATTGTGTCGGTATAAGGAAGGTCTAGCTGAGAAAATTGGAAAGGGTCCGAGGCCGTGATATAAACGATCAGACTGCTCTGCATGGTCTCGTGAGCAAATTTTCAACGAGCAGGAAATATAAAGTGCGTGCCTCGTTGACCAAGGGTATGATATTTAATCCTTTCCATTCCCAGAGACGCGAATCCGCTGGAACATTCTCGTATCCCACAGGGGCCTGGCAGCGGGGTGGACCACCCAGATCAACAGAAATGAGGCAGAGACCATCCAGAACAGAGTACACGGACAGCCGCCTATTGTGGGATGTAGAGAATATCTAACGGCCAGACTTCGATCACTTACCCTGCCGTCTGGAGTGACAGAAGAAGGTTTCCGTCATTTATGAACTCGAGGAACACAGTAGAATTTCCAGAACTTGTTTGTGGCGGATAAAGATGATATCTCAAGGCATAAGGATATAACGATTTTTCGTCTGTACCGTTCCGTGAACCAAGTGAGGAGCCAGGGTAGGTATCGGCCAGAACTGCAGCATTCGATGTTCGCTGAAATGGAGGCTTCAACGAGGGTTTGTCAGTTGTCTGTTCAGTTGCAATATCAATGCGTCGGGGAGGTGCGGGAGGAAGAGCTTCCCTGTCTTTAGGGGGAGCAGGGGCAGACTGAGTGTGAAGAAGTGCACGGAGCTTGTGCTCGTCATCGTGATCGATGAAATTCATTGGTGCCTGCGCTTCGTCCATGCTCAAGTCAGAGATGGCCAGCGAGCGACTAGGAACAATATTAGTAGGGGAAAAGTGATTCCCTGAAGATTTTATTGAAGATATGGATGGAACTGGAGAGGTTGGCCGCATGCGAGGGAGTTGTCGTGGAAAGAGTTGGCCCAGGTTGTCGCGTGCGCCATGAGACAACATGAATATGCTCCCGTCTGTGCACCCAACAGCAATCCATTGCGGAGGATTAATAGCTGTGGTTGGTTCGAATACCCCAGGATATGCAGCGAGTGCAGTAGCTGTAGATGAGGAGAACGCTTCATCCACGATGTTGACGCCTTGACCATCGCCCCCGTCTCTCAGAGTCAAGGGAAATAGAAGGCTGGAGCCTACAGGCATCTATGAACGATATGCACGCTCAAAGCGGCAGATACTAGTCATACCACGCTCCATGAGGTCGCGTTTGATGCGTACGTTGATGTTTGTTTTCGCCGAGACGGCTGCGAATATTTCCCCCGGAAGAAAAAACGGTTCCACATCACCCCCAAGAAAGTTTTGCTGTTACGATCTTCACTTCATTATGGGTAAGAGATATTCAATTACGGATTCTCAATGGGATTGAGTGTAGTCTGACAAGGACTACTCACCCTCAGCACCAAAGAAAGCCAAGAAGCTAGCCCTCACTGAGTTTTTGGCCGACGAAAGTTTGTACATGTCAACTGAGTCGTGCGATCTATTCTAACAAAAACCCCCCCTATTAGGTCTCGGATCATGGGCGGATGAGATGGATAGCCTGCCAACTGCTCGTATGTTTTGATGACGTATATTGTTATCCTGACGTCCTGGCGTCTTATGCTACATTAGCGACGATAAAAACTGATGAGGACCGCGCAAGAGACAGGGAGGGGCGGCGTGGAGGAGACTACGGCGGAAGGGAAAGAGACTTCCCTCCTCGATGTGAGTTAATGCACACAGCATCATTCATATTATGTTGATGAAATCTTCAGATTATCCTCCACGTGAGGAACTACCGCTGCCCACGAAACCCCCATACGTAGCATTTGTTGGGAATCTGGCTTTTGATATCCACGAAGAAATTATTGCAGAATACTTTTCTCCGAATGTCATCAAGGACATCAAGATTATCAGGGATCGAGAAGACCACCACCCCAAAGGTTTTGGCTACGTCGAATTTGACACCCTGGATGGCTTGAAAGACGCATTATCGAGAACCGGAGGAGTGAGTCAGAACAACTTGATTTGTGAAGTGCGTTCATCATGGTAACCCGCTGTTCATCCAGCAACTTGCTGGGCGAAGCGTCCGGGTCAGCGTCGCAGAACCCCGTACGTGTCACCGCTGACAGAGGTTTAGCACGGGACTTCCTCTAAATCAGATTGATATTTCAGCCAAGGAACGCACCCATTTGGAAGACGAACGCTTAGCTGGTCCATGGCGGCGAGAAGGCCCACTGCCACCACTGCCCCCTCCATATACAGAGCGCGCAGGTTTTGGTGGGAATTTTGCTGGTCGTACGGGACAAGATGGAGATGGGACAGGTCCACCACTTGCTCTCACGAACGATGACTGGCGAAGCAATCGTACCTCTCGCCCGCCTCCTCCGCCTGAGCGGGAACGCAGCGGCCCTCCCCGACGGACTTCAGTCCCCCCCGAACTTACGAGCCATCCGGCTCATGCGGAATTCACATGGACGAAGGGAAGCAAATTCCATCCTTCTGTTGATGTGTCTCCACCTCCAGAGCGCAGGAGTATGTTTGGTGGGAGGCGTGGGGACGGGCTCGGGTCTGGGTCCAACCCTGATGAAGTCGATTGGCGTGCCGCACCCAGGCGTACACTTTCACAATCCGGATCAACTCGTGGTAGCCGTGGGTAGAGCTTCATCCTAATCGAAATGAGTTTACCTTAAACATCTTTCAGCAAACCCCTCGAATCCGACTACACCTCAGCTAGGCGGTCGCCGTAAGCTCGAGTTACTCCCTCGAGGCAGCTCAACCCCACCTGCAGAATCCCCTATGACATCACCCAAATCTTCAACCGTGCCCTCCGCTAAATCTAATCCCTTCGGCAATGCAAAGTAAGTCACTCGGGCTTTGGATGCGATTTCGATTTCTAATTGTAATTTATACAGACCTGTGGATGCCTCGGCTAAGGAGAAGGAAGTTGCAGAGCGTCTCGAACAGGAAAAAGACCGCATCGCTCGTGCTGCTAGAGAAAAGGAGAAGGAGCGCTCGGGTTCAGGCTTTGGAACCAGTTATACTCGGCCGACATCTATGACTCGCACTGAATCTCATAAATCCTCTTCCGCCCTTCAAGCAGCTCCAGCCTCCCCATCAGCCACATCTCCATCTCTCCCTGCTTCTCAGTCCGCCCCTCACAAATTTGCCAAAGATGCTGGTGCTGTTAGACCAAAATTTAGTTTCGCAGCTGCCGCCGCAGGTGCGAAAGGTCCTGTCGAGGCCACGGATGGAACGCATACAGCCGCAAAAACCGAGTCATCGAATGGCGACGCTGAGTCCCTTGCCAATGGGGAGGTGCTGAACGAGATTACTGGAGACGATACTGTAGAAGAGGCGAGTCGGAAACTTGGAGAAGTGACCATCTAAGATGATGGGAACCTTGGCCGTCATTTGACGGTTTGTTGCTCGAAAATCATCATGTTGGATTAAAAACTATCGTGGTGTCTCACTCTTACGAGCAAGACGACACACACCATTTTATTACATTCGTATTAATATTCGCAGCGCCAGATGTTGGTGTCGAGATTTTCCTGCAATTGTGAGCTCGACTACAACTTCTGGTCCAGGATCGCTGTAAGTCTGACCCAAACGCCTTCATCCCACAATATTCGTGATGTCATCGCACGTGACATTACTTTGGGGAATCAGAGTACCAGTCCCGCGGCCTCTGAAAATGAGCCATCACAATCATCACAACAATGAAGGCTGTCACAGCCATGATGATAATCATGATGATAACGAGTTTCCCGAAGCGAGTGGAAACCTTTACTCGAAGATCGATCTTCCCAATGTCGCGCTCCTCAACTCCGAACACCCTGCCACTGGAGCCATCAAGCCTTGGAATGAGCGAATGAGCAAAACAGTGTGCCCGCATTTCTCATTCTGCTATGGTTATATGTAACAGACCAATTGAACTGGTTTCGTGCAGTACATAGAGTCCGATGCGGATGACCAGTTGATTATTCGCGTTCCGTTCACCGGTTCTGTAAAGCTCAGGAGCATTTTATTGAGAGCGGGACCTGAGGATCAGACTCCCTCAAGAATCCTCCTCGTACGTCAAACCATTTAATTCATTTTCACTTGAATTTAGAGGGAAGATGTCCCCTAGTTTGTGAATGCTGATCAACTGGACTTCAACGACGCATCGCAAATCACGCCGACGCAAGAGTTCGAGGTGGCTCAGAGCGCAGAAATCGGCGAATATGCTGTGAAGTGAGTTGACGTCGATTTGTGCTTTGAGCATTATTAATGGTGCATTCGATGCAGGCAAGCGAAGTTTCCGAATGTAAGATCCTTGACTATTTTCATTCCATCTTCCCAAGGAGCGGAGGAGACTCGCGTATTGTATCTGGGATTTACTGGGGAGTTCAAAGAGGTAAGCTGCCAACTGCAGTAACATCTCTGCATGCAAGTGAACCGCCTACGGGTATTTGCTTAAATAACTAGCTGAAAGAACAGCCCATCATAACCGTGTATGAAACACAAGCCAATTTGGCTGACCACGAGAAGATTCAAGGAACTAATGGAGTCCCGACCAGACCAGGAATGTAACGATAGAAACTAGTTGTTACAAATTGGGCCCAGCGTGCGAGCAGTCTTGAGTAAATCAAACATCCCACATCCGCAATCTTTGCTTGATTACGTAAGGCCTCGGCAATCTACATATATAAAGTTTTCACTCCCATCGTTTTCTCATAACTACAACAACCCATTTCACCTTTCTGCTGTGAGTACTGGTGAATTTCTTTTTTTTTCACTTAGCCTTAGGGGTTGTGTGATGAGTTCTTTCCCCGTCTTACACGACCGAGATGAGAAGGGGAGAAGTCGCAGTCTTTTGATTTGCGCACCGCCCTTGCTTTCACGAGGGTCATTTGGCGCTAAGCCAGCGTGTTTGTCTGATTCGCACCCGTCTCTCTTTTTTTCTTGCGCATGTGGCTAACTTGCGTTCTCACTGGCACCTTTCTTGCGTAGCATTGGTAACGGTACGTCTATGTCACCAATCCCTTCTTTCGTTATCGTTGTCATGCCCAAAAGGATGAATATCAAAAACCATTCGCAGTTGTTCACAGAACGCACGGGAATCTACCCCAACTCCCCCCAACAGCCATTCATATATTCCCCCTCCCACATGCGTTGACATTCTTGCTCGCAAACCCTATTCGGGTGGGATTTGTCGGCGCGGGAGCTAAGGGGCCGATCCCGACAAAGGTTTCTGCGCTGTGTTTGTGCTGGGTGGTGTGCGATGATGTTCATTAACCTTCCTTGGATGTCTGAAGGGCACATCTTGGCAACTTCCATCGTAAATTTCTTGATGCGACGCTGATTTTTTTTTTCACCCCGTTTTTTAGGTTCATTGCCAGTCTCTTCTTTTTTTTTTTTTTTCTCTTTCCCGTGTACTTACTGTTGGCTGTCAATCCTTTACATATCATGAAACTTTTGCCTGTGGCCACGAGTATTCTTTGAGTCGTGAAAAGTATCTGAGGAACGCTGGCCTCCCCAGTTCCATCGCCAGAATGAATGAACGCTCCTGAGGCATAGGCTTTTGATCCAATTCCATCATACATATATGGTGTCAGCCGCGATGATCTGGTACAGGTCTGCCATGAGGCCTCGCTCGCATCCGTTCCATATTCGGTGAATTGAATTGTGGCAGTTCATAGCCACCTCGGATTAGGCAATTTAAATTTCACATCAACCTCCACTCTGTTCCACTCACGAAGGCGGCCTTTCTGACCAACGTCTCTATTCCTCAGCATGGCGAGCGCTGGGTTGTCGTTCACAGATTCCTACCGACCCCGCTTGCCCACTCCTAACATTGTCGATCTCACTGGGGACAGTGACGATGAAGACATCAACTCGTCTTCCTCCTTACCACGTAACCACATCCGCTCTCCTACAGTGACCCGTGCAAGTACCCCCAGACCGTTTCATGCAGGCCCTTCTTCGACCTCTTCGCACGGCGTTTACATCAACCTACTGTCCGACCAGCATTCTGATGACGAAGACATAGTGTATATGGGCACTCAGCACCAGCCTTCTAATCTTATCCTTCCAGGAGCGCACGGTAACTCATCCGACTTTGTTGATTTATCCAGTCATCCAGACCCGCCACACCTCCATGCTCGTTCCATGCCAGGTGTGCAAAGTCCCTCTACGTACTCATCTTTATTTCTGTTTCATGCTTATCATTTGGTTGCTAGATCCCCGACACCGTTTGACAAGACCACAGAACTTCTCTGAGCCAGGGAGTGCAGGATCCGGACATATTCCTCCACCCCAGGCACTGAGGCGGATTGTCAATTCACCGCCGCCCCTACCACCCACTCGTCAGGCTGCTTCCATCCGACAATCACGCCCTGGTGGTGCGATTCTTACCTCAAGGTCACGCGCCACTGGCCGCCGTCACTATGCTTTCCGGTTTCCCACCTACGATGAGCCAGAGGATATGCGTGGTCCAGCAGACAATGGAGACTGGGGCAATGGATGGCTTGGAATGATGGCCAACGGTTACAATGATGGCTTTGGCGCACTGTACCACGGAATTCACGCTTTCTTTGATAACATCAGATGGGTGGGGCCTGTCGGTGGTGCTGAGGCTGCCGAAGTACCAAAGTTTGAGGAGAGGTTCATTCATAACGGGCGATTACCGCGCAAGGGCTTTACGTATGACTTTGATCGCTTTGGGCCGGACGTCAGGTTCAAGATTGGATCATTTAAACTTATCGACGGTCAAATGAGGCATCGTCGTCTAGCAGCCGTTCACGTTCTCCTGCTGTAGCTGATTCCGTTTTAGACCCTGATGGAAAAAAGCTCAAGCGTAGAGCCATCTCCAAGCCAGAACCTGCGGTGATTGACCTTGATGCGCTCCCTGATTCAGAGGAATCTGGTTCCTCGTCCCTTCCAACAGTCATATGCGCGGGATGCGATAAGCCACTGATGCAAGGCCTCGACGGCGATGATCGAATATGGGGTCTTCGCTGTGGTCATTTAATATGTGGAGGCTGTTTAACGCGTGTTGGAAGGCCACCTCCTCCCGAACAACCCACCGCCGTACAGCTCCTCATCGGTGGGGCTGACAAGCTGCTGGAGGAAGCTCGCAGCGAATGCGCGCAAGGGAAAGGCAAGGCCATTGAGCTTGATCAACACCCACATGAACCTGCCAAATTCCCTTTGCTAGAGGATGCTGTTGACCATGATCACTCTTCTGTCGTACCCGTTTCTACCACTTATCCACGTCCCATTGGTATGCGACTTCGCACTTTTGGCAACAACAGCCTAAGAGAAACCATTGATTCCTCCTATTCTCCCCTCAACCCTATTGACCTCGCTTCTGGCGACAATAATCTGGGAGAAGCCACCGATTCCTCTTATTCTCTCTCGACGACGTCCTCCCCTCACCTTCTACTTCGAAACCTACTCGCGGACGCGGCAACAGACGCGGTCGGGGACGAGGCAGAGGCAGAGGCCGAGGGAGAGCTGTAACGAAAGGCAAAGGGCGCGCGATTCCAAGAGAATGGACCTATCACTGTCCGGTAGAGGATTGCCGGAAGGCGCATGTCAGAGTTGTTAAGTTGGGTGACACGAATGTACTTGGACAAGAGGAATGGGTTCCACATGCTGATATGGGAGAGATTGCCGTTTACATTTAAATATTAGCGCTCGTTGAAGTTCTGTTTAATGCAACTTTTGATTTGTGATATAGTTCGGATGTGAGATGATACTTCTGCATTATTCTCCTGCGACCTAAGCCTTGTATGCACCTAAATAACCTGTTTGGACTCGTTGATACAGTAATGCATGGGTTAACCCCACCTTGATGTCATTGTCATGCTCCGAACCTATTTGGTAAGCGCGAAACTCTCAAATCTCCACAGCTACTGGTCTGTTTGGGATGGGGTTCTGGAGGCTAGTACATTCGAATTTCCTCTTCCTAAGATCATTCACTACTGACAACTTTGAATTTCCGACATTCAGGTACTCTGACTTCATGCATCAGATCCATTCCTCCACGTCTTTTTCCTTCAAATCTCCACCAAATTCAATGGGGTATGATGCATTAGAATCATATGGTCCACCACTACTCATCCTAGGACTCTCCTTCCTAGTGTACAAGGGCTGATGAATGGTATATATCATGATTTGGACCGTTTGTGATGTGTGCCCATCCATCCTGCCTATATACAGTGCAGCTGAAGTATTTTACAACTTCAGCGAAGATCCTGAACAGGAATATCAGGCAAAAGGGATTATCAACCATCAATGGGATGACGATGAATCAATATTTCCGAGCCAAATGTCAAGGAACGCGTGTCAGTTTACGCTAGAGGGGTCCTGGCAATCTAGTCAATCACAAGAGCGAGGGACAAGCCACTCGCTACAGCCCAGATACACATGTAAATGTTATATGGGCTACTAGGGGCTAGATCGGGCTGACCAGGAAAGTCGGGACAATGAGATCTCCCAAAGCACAGTGCTTTGATGGCAAGAAACAATTAGTTCACATCCGAGGGAAGATGTGCAAGAAGGTAAGGGATCCCTAAGTACAGCAGGCACTTAGGCTACCCACATCAGGTGCGGATCATCAGATTACTGTCGCTGCGTGATTTTCAGGACGACAAGATGTGATCGTCAAATACATACACTACCATTGCAACGAAGCTCGTAATCTCAAAGCATATGGTGAATCGCCAGAAAATGCCAAGGTCAATGTTTGGCAATGGAAGACATCGAATACTCTGATTTCGGTGAAGATCGTGGGGACGTCGAAATTGACGACCTCTAGACCATAGAGGCTGCCGGTGTCAACACCTTTCCACGTGCACTAATCAAACTGTGATGGATATTTCGAACATTATAAATTGCACTGGTCATAGAAGGTATTCCAAAGCATTAAACGATGGGGCAGTGCCTTTCATGGCGAAGTATTCAGCAATATCGGTAGCGCAGGCGCGTATTGCCTCTGTCACCAATTCTGGCGTTATACGGACACGGTCTTGTAATCTCGGCTTTTCCGTCCTCGTGCAGCATGGTTGCGACTCTCGAGCTTCAATGACTGAGGGCGCTCTTCGTTCAACAAGAAGTTTGACAAGTTCCAAGTTGCGTTGTCGGATGGCGATTTTAACAGCGAGCGACCCCTGCGACCCAGGGTCCGCACCATAAGACAGAAGGAGTGTTACCAATGGGATTGAGCGTCGATGGCAGGCCATTATAAGGGGGTAACCTTTATGCGAGTTAATGTTTGGTTTGTAAATGTTATGATGTCGGGCGAGTTCATCAAGTACGTTTGTAATGGCATCCTCATTATTATTATGAATGGAAGTAGAGGGTGATGCGTTAGGGCGATATCTGAATAGCCTTCGGGGCAGTTTTATCCAAATGACTGGAAGCTTTTTGGAGAAGGGAACTAGACCATGAATTCGATGGATAGCACGCAGCACTCCTGGAGTGCAGACGGGGTGCAGCAGACTCGCCTCGACTATATGAGCAAGTTGGACGTTCGGTTGACCACCCTCATTCGTAAGTGGGTGCAGCATCATCAGCCACCTGGCGCGTAAGGATTCCGGCGCGGAACGAAGTGTATGGTGCATGGACTTTGAAACTAGGGGTAATTGTGCATTCAATGCAAACAGGTGAATTTCGTACAGCAGCTGTAACATAAACTGTGTGAGAGGATGCAGGCCAATGCAGCCACGCTACGATACCTCGATGGGCAACATGGCCAGCATTAAAACTGCCACCTGATCTGCGAAATGTTATGTAATCAATGTTGACACACTCAGCTCAAGGCCTGAAAGCAGTTGTGTCTCTTGCGCTGCCTTCAACAAATCCCATAAAAATGCCCAATGAGGGTCCATGCATGTACTGAAGGTCAAGCTCGAATACCTGTATTTATCATTGTTTACATCGAGTTTATAAATTTAGCGGCCTTAACTTTGTTTTTTAACAGCATGAATTGTCTTCGTTTGTGCCAACCTGACTTCACCTCACTGAAACTGCACATGGTATGAGGAAGATGGTATACCCGATTTTTTTGCGATGATTATGGGTGTACAATATATGGACTTTCTGTCACAACCGACAAATCCCGGGGCTCCGTCAGCGGTGAACCAATGCCGATAGGCGAATCTGCCAACCTGAAACCCGATCTAACCAGCCCTCAACCTGATGTCTGGCCCCCTGCCCTATCAAGTGAGACTTGGCCAACAATCAGACCCTGGACCCTGCTGGCATTCCGACTTCACCACCAGTTCTGTCAGAGACCGGATGCGGGATGAAGGAAATGTCCCCATGGTGGAGGGCTTTGGCCTCAGCGACTTAGACCAGGAGCGCTGTGCCTAGTTACATGTCTGTGCCCTAATTTACTTACTGGAAATGAGAACTTAGAAGGGGGAAACTCTAGTTGATTTTGTCACTGGGGTGTAACCTATCTACAAGTTATGTATATATAGTTACATAGAGGGTGGGCCCATGAATGGTGGGGCTGAGTGGAGTGGAGCTAACTATTGGAATTATGAACTAGTTGCAAATTAGCACTCAGTTCCAAGGATGTGAACTGAGGAGAGAGGAAAGAGAAAAATCGCACAAGGTGGCTTTTAAGCCATCCTCAACTGCGTTCATCAACATGGATGCCAAAAGTAGAAGTATCAGGCAATCCTTCATGGAAATGCCCATGTGCAAGATGTATAGTCCGATGGACTCAATGGATGGTCCACAGTGTACCAAGAAAACAAGGATTTCAACACTAACGGAATTACATGTTAGCTGACTGAATATTACCAACGAGTTGGGTTACAGGGTTAGTGGAGTGGCAGGCTATAACCCAGAAATGGAAAGGAGGGATTGGCCCGAAGGTAGGCTTGCAGGGCAAGCAAGTGAATTGCCCAGCGGAGGCAGGAGTGTGCTAGTGGATGTCGGAGCTGTCCGGAGGCCTTTGGGACTCCGTACTTAGGGAGGTGTAGGTAATATATTGGATTGAGGGGGTGTCAGGGCAACCACACCTGACCATACAACCCCAGAACCACCTTCCCTGACCTCCCCCCACTTCCCTCATCCTCCCATCTTCACACACCTTTCGCAACTACAGCCTGCACGCGAACCTGCGGGAAAAATCACGTGGGTCAAGGTGAGCAACTCGCCTTAACCCATGTGACACCTTTTCCACATCGTGGGAACATGCTCGGCTCCTACCCTTAGTCACGTTACAAACTGTATAGTACATTTCCCTTTTATAGTAGCCAAGTGGGGAATAGGGAAACTTACCCTTCTTCTCAACTCAATCCCTGCTTAGGCAAGTTGTAGCTACCTTCCATAATACATGACAACTCAATCCCCGCTTAGTGAGTTTGAGGAGCTTGGGGTAGGATCCAGCACTTGGCTGCCTGGGACACTGCAAGTGTCCAGTTCTGAGGTAGGGCTGCCCCCAGACAGAGGCCGGGCCCTGACAGGGGGTGGTGACCATCAAGGGAGTTGGAGGTGATTGTGGAATATGGAGGCTCTGAGGTTAGTGACTGTTAGAGACCAGATCGAGACGAAGGATTTGTCTCCATGGCAGAGGGCTTTGGCCTCAGCGACTCAGGCCAGGAGTGCTGTGCCAAGTTACATGTCTGTGCCCTAATTTACTTACTGGCAACGAGAACTAAAGGGGGATCAACTCTAGTCGATTTTATCACTGAGGTGTAACCTATGTACAAGTTAAGTATATATATAGTTACAGCGAGGGCAGGCCCATGAATGGCAGGGCCGAGTGGAGCAGAGCTAATGGAGTTAAACATTAGCCAATTGAATATTACCGACAAGTCGGGTTATGGGGTTAGTGGAATGGCAGGCAATAACCCAGAAACAGAAAGGAGGGATAGGCCTGAAGGTGGACTTGCAGGGCAAGCAAGTGAATTGCCCAGCAGAGGTGGGAGTGCGTTAGCGGACGTTGGAGCTGTCCGGAAGCCTTCGGGGCTCTGTACTTAGGGAGGCGTAGGTAATATATTGAAAAGAGGGGGTGGTGACCATCGAGGGAGGTGGAGGTGATTGCGGAATACAGGAGCTTGTTAGACACTGGTCCGGGGTCGGCACTGAAGGTCGCCGATGCGGGCCGCTATTGGCCGCAATGGCTGCGATGCCTCAGACAAGGCCCAGGGGTAGGGCATTTGGCCTCAGCAACTCTAAAGGGAGTGCTGTGCCCCCTAGCTGTCTCTTGGCCCTCATTTCGGACTCACTGGGGTTGCCTTGTTGGGGTCAGGACTTAGGGGTCGTGGTCACATCGATATTCGAGCTAAGGTACAATAAAGTATCATACAGGATATATATAGGAGGAAGAAATGAATGGAAGTGGACCCGGGCCGGAGGCCGAAGGGTCCGGAAGCAAACAAGAATAAGGAGCGGGGTTGGCCGCATAGCGGCCGGCAATGACCGAGGGTCAAAACAAACAATAACACATAAATAAAGGAAAGAGCATAGGGCCGCGATAGTGGCGATGGTATTGTAGCAGCGCTGGACTTGGAGTTGGGCCGGAGTCGGGCGCGGGATTGGTAGTGGCCCTGTAGGGGCCAAGTGGGCGGGGTAGAGGAGTCGCGCTGGGCATGGTGCCGGAGGCGGACTCAGGGCGGGAAGGTTGGTGTGGCTGTGGGGGAGTCGGCCAGGTGCAGGGGTGTCAGGGCACATACCCTGACTTAGCCCGGACCCGGACCCGCGTCCGGACCCGCTCCACTTCCCGCGCACTTCCTGCGCCGCACGCTCCGCACGCCGCATGATCCGACCCCGGATCCCACCTCATGTGACTTCCGGGTATCCCCAGAAGTTTTCGCCATATTGGGGCCACTGTGGGAAAGTGAGAAGTTAACCTTCTTCTCACTTTCTTACCCACAGTAGGCAAGTGTAGCCTACTCTTCATTTATCTATACACTTTCTTACCCACAGTAGTTATGCCCTGAGATGGGCTGTGTTTACAGGCTAGACTGTGGACTGTAGAGAGGGGTCATGGGGACCCAGGGTCCGTCCCCTGACAAGGGGAGCCTAGGGGCAAGCAGGGAAGTGAGCAGGGGGTCCTCAGGGAGGATAGGGCTGAGGTCGGGGCTCACGCTCACGCTCGCATAGCGGTAATGGGCTCGGGCGGCATCGGGATGGGCGGTTAACGGGCCGGAATGCACGGCCGTGACAGAGCTCCAAGGTTAGTGAAGGAGCGGAGGTAGTCCGGAAGGGTCGGAGGTGGTGGAAGACTGTCATATCCATACAATCCTGACCTCCGCTCCAGGCTCCTGGGACTCTGAACCTGACTTCCGGAGTCCTACTTCCCTTCCGTCACCTTCTCCTTGCCGACCCCCAAGAGGTTATCCCACCTCCGGCTCCAACACCACCTTCAGTCCGACTCCGGAGCATTCTGGGTCCGACCTCAACCTCGACACCTCCCAGATGAGCATGCAACACCTATGCCCCTGACTCCGGACCTCCACTCTGGAATCCCGTTTTCGCGTCTCTGTCTCCGGAACCTCCAGTCTTAGCTCCGACCTCGGACTTTGACCCCACCTCTGCTTATACCCATTGTATTGGTTAGCTCATTCCATTTAATTACGTTTGCCAATATTCCGGAGTTTAACTTCCGAGTTCGGACTTTCTGGACTTATGTCGGACCTTGCAACTATTGCATTGCTCCATTCAATTCCGCTATACTCCCTCATTCCTATTTGGGCTACTGCTTCCTTTCTATTCAGTCAGCTAGCCATTCCCCACTCCCAACCTCCTTCCTTCCTCCTTGGGCCTTGGCCCTTCACTCCTCCTTTGGGAAACACCATTGAGTCAAACCCTTGACCCTCGGTGTTGTTCCTCTTTCCAGCTCCCTTTGTCTCCTTTCGGAGTACCCTTGCTCCTTTTGATTCCGGACCCCTCCTTATATACAATGTACATAGTAACTTGTAACCTCAGTCCAAAATCGACCTGAATTCCCCCCAAGAGACTTTCCCTCTGCTAGATCCGAAATTAGGGACCCCCAGGACAACCAGCAATGGCACAGCGCTCCGCTTGAGTCGCTGAGGCTGAGGTCCTTCCATGCTAAGTCTCCGATTCCACTCCAGAGTCCTGTCAGGGGACGACTCCCGGGTCCCCATGACCCTCCCCTATGGTCCACAGCCTACTGGTGTAACCAGCCCTATCCAGGGCACAACCTACTGTGGGTAAGGAGATGAATAGATAAAGGCAATGTAGAATACACTTGCCTACTGTGGGTAAGGAGATGAGAAGGAAGCTAACTTCTCATCTTCCCACAGTGGCCACAATATCAGCAAAACTTCTGGGGATACCCGGAAGTCACATGAAGGGGTAGGAACCGGGTCCGGACGCGGGTCCGGGTCTGGGCTAGTCAGGGTGTGTGCCCTGACAAGTCGTCCGAATCCGCTGGTTCTAACAAAGATGATGGCCATGGATGGATATGACAGTGACAAAGGAGTGGAGGTAATCCGGAAGGACCGGAGGTAGTGGAGGATGATGGCCATGAATGGATATGACAGTATCCCCTTCTTAGGCCTGAACCCTTGAAGGCCCAGAATTAGTAAGGTGAGGGGAGCTGTACTTACAGAAAAAATAAAAATGGAGATGAGGAGTGGAGAGAAAGGAGAGATGGAAGAGGAGTTGGGATTCCTAAGGAGCTTCGGGTCCAGGCTTATCTGGATACTGAGAGTGGAATGCTTCTGTTACAGGAATGGGTTCTGGGGAACCCAACCTGAGCCGTTCTGCTCACAAATGGAGGTGGC